CGCTGAGTTGTCTGCATTCTGTCAGCAATGCTTAGATCGAGCCAACGAAAACGGCCAAAGTCACTTCTGCGTCTAACCCAGCAATAACTGGTTGGTGGTTTCAACCCCTCTGAAAAATATTAGTCAGTTGGGATTATTATTCCCAATATATGGAAAAATAAAACTTGTTCCAAACCACCAACCAGGTTTATTGATGTTTATTGTTTGCTCCTCGGTGGATCAGCTTCGATATGGATGTGTTTGATACTAGGATACCCCCTAAAAAATCCACACATCAAAATATCATTCCTGAAATGGCCTTTAATTTTAGGCACCACACCCACATCTACAATCGAACGCTAGATGTCATTGAAGATCACAAGCAACATGTTCCTGACAGAATTTTGGCAAAAGCATGGCTGTGCACTGCTGTGAAAAGATCTTTTCGGCCAGGGCCAACTACGACTGTGGGAGTTTCGCCAGAATGTGGCAACTGCATTTACTCACCTTCCAAACATTGGAAAAGTTATGTCTTGCCATGCCTTGAAACATTTTAGTCCCAAGAGAAATGGCGCATTTAGGATGTGGGTGGCAGCGCTGCCAATATTTCAATATATTCAATATATAGAACATGGGAGCTCAGTTGTGGCAAAAAGTCTAAACCGCAATGATAGGTCAGCCAGAACGAAGTCTAATACGCACAATTACACAAAAAGGTTGCTTGGTCATTATGTATTATTTCTATGTATGAAACATGATTTTGCTGCAAAACATGTTCCGGACATTCCTTTCTGCCATGATCATGGCAGACCATTCTGAGTTACAGCGCCGCTGAAAGAAGGCCGCTACCCGGCAGCTACCCGGAATGATCATCGAGCTGGCAGGGCTCATGGCTCAAGGTAAAATGACGACATCTGTCTCACCAAAGCTGCGTGTGTAGATTTGGCCTCGCCGGGTCATCACAGTGATCATCTGTAAGGCTTACAACTTTGAAAGGAATTTGACTCATACATTGTGGGAACTGTTTAGCCTTAATGACCATCATGGTGTTTGAAGAAAATTAGAATGCTCTTGTATCTTTATACACGTTTGTCTGCAAATGTTACCTTCTGGAAACAGCCGTATCAAGAGTTTGCTGGTCAACTCTGCCATTCTTTTCTGTAGAATTTATGGGTTTCGTACATTTATGTTAATTAATGTTGGTAAACCAATAATAAACAATCCCCCAAATCACCATTTTTATAGGTGGTATGTTTACCATTCCCAGGTCCCAGTCATGGGTGGTTTATGACATTGTTATAACCACATTATATGTTTTGTTGGGCTATAGATCAACAGCGATGGGGAGCCCATTCCGTCGCACCATCAAACTCGTGAGGAGCGCCTCCAAATCTATACTGGATGGTCAGCCGGGCGGCACCACCCGCCTTGATGCCCCAGGTCGCTCGCAAAATCGGTGTGTTTTACTATCTGTGGTGTATTGTACATATGTATATGTATATACACATATATAACTAGTTCATGATTCATGGGCGTTCCAAACAAACTCGTAACGGGAGGGGAACCTACCTTGTAGAATTCAATGCCCTGATCATAGTAAGCTCTGTATGTTTGGCTTCAAAATGATAGATCCAGGATCCATTACCGCAGAGTTTCTAGGGGCAGTGTCTATATTATGATGGAATTGGTGGTTTTAACCATCTTGAAAAATGATGGAGTTTGTCACTTGGGATGATGACATTCCCATATGTGAATTGGAAAATAAAATTCATGTTTCAAACCACCAAGCAGATGATATAGGGGGAATTGGCGGCTGTTACCAAGTCGCGATTACAAAAACATCCAAGTTTTTTGTTGCGGTCGATGGGACCCCCTAGTGAAAAACATGCTATAGCCCCCACCAATACTATAGTTCTATCAACCATAAACCAGAGACGTCACCTACAAGGTGGTGCCCCCCCAGTTATAAGTCCGTTTACAAACCACAATTATAGATAGATCTTGATATATCTACCATAAACCACAGTTCTTGGAGTTATGTGTACCAACTTAGCTATCCTTTGGGCCCTTCACCTTGCAAATCACAGCGTTTTAAAAACGGGTCAATCGCCACCCCCCTGGATTCCCCCTGTGAAGGGTTGGACATCCTCATCTTTTGGTGGGTATTTTTTTCCCAAAATTGGCTGATAAAATCACACATGATTGTTGAACAAATATACATATTTTGCATACATATATGATTTATGATTATATATATATACATATGTGTCTGTGCATATTCATGAACATCCTACTAGCATATTGGCTGGGCACAAAAAAACTTTGATTGATACAAATGTGGGTCACATCCGACTCAATCAACTGGTTGAAACTTCGGACGAACCTCATGGCGACCGAAGCCAAGCAGGGTGGACTTCGGCGTGTTCTTGGCAACAAAGGTCAGGAGAGGGCTGGGTAGAAGCCAGCAAAAAATCAGGATTTTAACCTAACAAAATCGGGTTCTATATGGATTTGTACTTGATTTATGTTAGCAAAGTTGAATTACAACTTTAAATTTCTCTGTTTGATGGTCGATATGAATCTATAATGGTGAATGGTGACTAGACATGTTAACATATGTTAACATATGTTAACATATGTTGACATCATGGATTTCCATGGGGATTCAACCCCTCAAAAAGATGACCCTGCCAATGAAGGTTTTTTCGTGTGGATGAACCACCAGGCACTGTTCGTCGGAGTTCATTCATCACCCCCATGAGTGGAACCGCACCCCATTCCGTAAGCGAAACGACACAACTCAAGGATTAGGATCGTAGCAAAACAAAACCGGATTTCTGGGGAAATTGGGCTGTACCATGCTGTAGCAAAATACGAGATATGTCAATTTTATCAACGATGTACGTGAGGTTTTTTTGACAGGGACCCAGACATGTTGCTTTTCATGTACTAGTCGTAAACTATCCATGTTCTCTGGGGGTACACATTCTACCCGAATGGTGAAACAAATAGCTTGACCAACGATCAGTTGGGATGAGGTGGTCCCAGCAAATCTGTGAGATCTGGGCATCTATGGCATGTGTAGCTACTTCCCCAGGATCTCTTTTCCACCTGTAACTTGTAATGGGATTGTCATGAAGATTCGCTCTGAGCAGCAAGCAACAGAAGCATGGAATGTCCCTCTCTTGGACTTTGTCGGACAATTTGTCGACTAAGTCGCACGTTTATCACACGCATGAGTCCAAAATTTCATGTACTGTATATGTGAGATGTCTAGACTCTGTTGTCATAGGGTATTGTAGCGGAATTCACGCTCAATGCACGAGTCAAGTCGGAATTGACGAATGCGTAACCTCTCATAATCTAACCAGGTTTTCTGGAACTTCATGTCAGACTCTTGCCAAACACTGCAATAATCCAATATTGAAAGGTGCCAGCCTTAGGATATGGCCAAGGCAGGAAGGACCAGCAGCTTGCTTGACTGTCTCCCCACACAGCCCAAGAAAAAAACAAGTTGTGGCGTCATTCTCTTCTTCCACTGTTGATTATAAGTGGGTCTATAACATGGATTTGCTTAAGGAACCACCAAAAAATAAACAATATTCCCTATAGATTCCCCAAGTAGTGGATTTCCCATGGAAAAATAAAAAATCATCTTCAGCAAATCCAAGATAACACCCAATTAACTATAGATTATATGTCTACCATAGATCATAGTTAATCAGCTACAGTAACCTACTGTAGCTGTAAACCAACTATGGGGCACCAGATTTTGTACAACTGCTGCCGGGGGCAAATCTATGGCGACAAATGGCTGCTTCGATAATACCGTTAATTCTCATTGTGTTTTAAAAAAGCGAAACATATCCCGTGGGTCCTCTTTCATGTGCTTTGCTTAAAGTATTTCAAATGTGGATATGTGCATAAGCTAGTATGATATGATTCATATGATACATTATCTATACATGTGTAAGGGATATAGTTACTTGATTTCGTATCTTTGAGTATGTCACTATGAAACTATATGCAAAAGTAGTTACTTATACATTTTCTATATTTTATATAAACCATTAATTTACCCTCTGGTTATTTAACATAGCCATGGAAAATGGCCCATTTATAGATGGTTTACCTATTAAAAATTGTGATTTTCCATGGCAAACTGTCAAATAACCAGAGGGTATATCATATAGTAGCAAATTCCATCTGTCCATGTGGGCCCCCTGTGCCCCTCTACCAGAGCGACGCTAAGTTGAAGCTGCGACTGCCGCACGCGAGCCATCAAACACTCGGTGACGTCCTCAGTGACGTCCACAGCGTTTTGGGATGTGTCGATCTACCGGGGGTAAATAGCTGTGGAAATCGCCTGGGAAAATGGTGATTGATGGGGTTTTTCTTCGGGAAATCATGAGTATATCAGTATATCATTTCAGAATTTGTATGGGAATGGTAATCTTGGGGATATTATTGGGATTGACTCCCTGAACATGGGGATTGACCCCCAACAGATGCCACCAACAAAAAGGGCAAAATGAGGTTTCAACCATCAAATTTCAGGGTGTACCACGTTGATTTTAGGCACAGAAACAGATGCTGAATGTCATGCCAGAATAGGTCACCTAAAAAAAACAAACATGTAATAAATCATTTACTTGGCTCTGCATTAATGGATTGTTGTGACCCCTTTTATATACTTGGAGGGTTCCAGTGAACAAAGTGGATAGAGATATCACCAGAGCGGGGTTATTGCCCAACTGACCATTGCAAGGTGGTGCCCCTGTTCGATAGCTAAGTTGTTTGAGAAAACTCTAGTTTCACTGGGACTCATAGACTCATAGTATATATATATCGATCTATCTACAGAAAATAACTGGACTCGTTATATACCTATAGAGCTATATATGACATGTCTATATGTTTTAACCCATATATAGTCATATAGATATATATATATATAGCTATATATCTATAGGTATATAGGTATATCATATCTATATGTATCTATATACCTATAGAGCTATTTATATACCTTGGGTTGTAAAACCAACTTGTAGCTGCCATCGAAACTCCGAAACGGTGCCGGTTTTTCCATCAGGTGTCCCTGCGATTTCCGGTGCGTCGCCGGAAACGCCGCCGTAGTGGGCTTCGAGGATCACCAAACCATTGATGGCCTGGGAGTCTCACCATCAAACATATATATGATATACTGTATATATGTAAATGTATATATATATATATAGTTGATAGTTAAAGTATAGTTGATGCATAGTTGATGTATAGTTTATGTATAGTGTACATATGTGTACATATATAATTCATATGTAGTGTCTATAGTTGATATACCCGCAACTGTGGTAGTCGTCACTTCGAAGGTGAGGCCCGACAAAATCGCTAGGCATCGCTAGGCCCACTGGCCTCAGCCTTGCAGTAAAAATAAGAACCTGAGTGAAAAAGTATGGTCCAGTATGGTTCGAATAGAAGGAGAAAGTATGGTCCGGGACCAATCTTCAGTATCTTGAGAAAGTATCTTGAGAAAGTATGGTCCAGGATGCTTCCAAAATGTTCCCCAGCCGAGCCGCTGGCCCCTTTTTAAAATGATGTACAATGTGGTCCCTCCCCAGTTACTAAGTTGGTTTACAACCACATTTATGTAGAGGTATTTAACATAAGAGTTATATTGTACTGTATGAGTTATGTTCACCAACTTAGCTATCATCAATCGGCCATACAGTAAATCATCCCCATTTTCCTGGGTTAAAATTATAGCATCTAAATTATTTTTCCTATGGTTTCGTAATCGGGGGCACCGCCTTGATTCTATGTACCGCGCCTCCTCCTCACGTCGACGCTTAGTAGCTTCAGGTGACAAGACTTGGCGTTGCGCAGAGACATCCTGCAGCACCAATGGCGGGAAGGGACCAGAGATTGACCCACAGGAACGGGGAAACAACTAGTTCAAGGCACCAACGCACCAGCTCTTGGATTTGCTGATTGCAGGCCATGTGTATATATATAATATGTATTTATATATATGTATATGTATATGTATATATAGATGCTATATATTATATATATACATGTCTATATGTATATATATATATATACATATATATATATATACACCTATATTTTATTATATCTTTTGTCTTCCGATTGGATTCCCCATTTTTGGTGGCTAAATGGAATAACATAAGTCAAAAATCATCCACTCCAGGAGACCATCTGCTATGCACCGCGGCATATCGTCGTTCTCGTTTGGAGCTGCCCCAAACAGTCTACTGGGTTCATGTTAAGTATTCCGCGAAGATACATAAAAATACTAAACGATACTATAGGATTTTTCCAAAGTTGGATCCAGTCTACAGCAGTCGTTTCAGGATATCAGTGCAAAGAACTGATATGATACGCTCGAGTCCATCGGCCTTTCTCTTGTTTTTTTCGCTCAATCCGGGGTGAAACCCCCGTAAAAACCAGAAATGGGATATACCCAGTGAAATAACCAGACCAATCCTCCAAAAACCCTGTAACTGGGCTGAACTAAGCCCATGTCAGCACCCTGATTCCTTGGGTTTTCAGCACCAAGAATCTACAAATACGACGGAGCTCGGGATACGCAGCTGAGGGCAGTGGGCCCATGGGTCAAGTTACTCTGCCGTGTTTCCGTTTTTTTGATACAGTACTCCCATCCCCCAAACAGTCAAAGATCCCCAATACATGGTACCCAAAATGAGTCCCGTAGATCCAATACGAAACACATGCTTTTAAGGAGATTGAATATTGGGCAGAAGGGGCTATTTTTACATCTATGCTTACCTGGAAAACCACCTGGCACCTGACTGAACTGCTCCTCTTGAACGTCACTGCTGCCATTTTCGGCAGATGCTGGAGATTCTTTGGACCAAAGATCCTGCGTGGTGCTGATAGAAATGCCACCGGGAGGCCTTCAACATGCAAAAATTCTGCGATATCTGGTTGGTGCCTTCAACTCCCTGGAAAGACTATACCCTATTGTAATCATACATGGTAATTGAAAATAGAACTAGAGCTTATAATGGGAAAATCAACTATAAATTGTGGATATGATATTCCATTGGTACTAGAAGCACCCCCCTCAAGACATTGACAAGTTGAAAACCTGGAACCATACTTCAACTATCTTCAACTGTACATCTACAGAAAACATGTCAGGCGACTTCGGTGAAGCGACAAGGCAGACCAGAGACCGCTCTCTCCCCTTCATTGTTGCTAAAGTCGGTTTGTCTGAAAACAGGTTTCCCCAGAATAAACAATCACAGGTGTCAATCACAGGTGCCAATATGTATAGGTTCCAGGAAAGAAGTTGTCTGAACATAGGGTAGCCCATTCCATGAACTGGTAAAAATCATCATGTTCTCTATTAAAATGGCAAGGTCTTTTCGGTGTCCCCCCATTTTCAGACGGACCCATTTGATCATGTGTTAATCTGTTTATTGTTCTACATGTTCTACAATGCAAATATAAGTTGGATTATAACACCATTAACTAGTTCGATAATGTTCAGTATATCATATCTACTATCAGTCTAACGTTTGATTGAGTTATGTCAATCAATTTAGAAATCGAACGGGGCACCACCTTGTATATTAATCAATCGTATCCCGTTAGTATCCTACTATATCCCACTATTGTTAACCCGTACCTATTCCATAAAGTATCACCAGTTAACTGATTGAACTGCTTGCTTTGTGTACCAACCCGCGTTTCAAAGGTGGCTTGGTCCGGGGAAGAACCTCGTCTTCAACCAAGGCGCCTTGACCCATCCATGCATGGCAAGCCAACCAGCGCGCAGAACGGAGAGGATGAAAGGTGGAACCTCGAGGGCAGATTCTTTGCACAAAAGCCCTCTTGGCTGACGATTAACCATTAATAGGGTTGTTAACTATCAAAAGTTGGGATAGAGATCTCACAAATTGTGGTTGGTTGATGATTAGTTCGAGGATTTGTCATGAACTCACTAATACGTTTTGAATACTGTTTTTTTCAGCTGTTAAGGCTAGTGTGTTGTCGAAGTTTCAGTGTGGGCTTGAGACGTTTTATTCTGGCGACATGTTGATACTAATATCTGATGGGTACATATGAAGTTGTGATCTTGAAAATCAACCATATGTATATTTGATATACATGAATGATTCATCAATATATATATATAAAAACAACTTATACAACCTGAAATGTTTGGTTTTTAGGATGGTTCCCTTACTCCTAAGCATCAAATGCATCATTACGTCTCATTGAAGTCGTCATCATTTACCACATGATGTTTGCAGCCAAATGAACATATATATTATAGTAATAGTAGTAGTAGTAGTAGTAGCAGCAGCAGCAGTAGTAGTAGTAGCAGCAGTAGTAGTAGTAGTGGTAGTAGTAGTAGTAGTAGTAGTAAACTATAAGACATACTAAGACCACCCAGACAATCGAGTCATCAAACGAAGGCAGTGAATTACCCAAAAGCCCAGTAGATTGAAGTGGATTTGCTGAAGTGGACCATCAAAATAAACCAAAAGCCCAGTAGATTCCCCGGTTCTGGTGGATTACCAAGGTTATACATCGAAAAACATCTTCAGCTAAGATTATAATGGGTGAATCCCACATTATCCCCATTGATATCCCATTGGAAAAACCACCTTAAACAAACGATATGGTATCCCAGTTTTACCATATATATATATATCAGTATATAATATCTACATATCCCACATATCCCATTTTATCTCATTATAATTAGCAAATTCAGATCGTCCCCCATCGATCTCGCCATCACTGGGTGCCCGGTGCTGCCCAAATGGCCAGCGCCAACGCCAGGTCCGGGGTAGAGAGGGGCCCCGAAGCCTGGCTCGGATGGTAGACACCGGCCAAAAATGCGAGGTTTCTTATGGGGTGTAAAGTGGGTAAAACAATGTCTGCTTGGTGGTTTGAACCCCTTTGAAAAATATTAGTCAGTTGGGATTACTATTCCCAATACATGGAGAAAAAATGTTCCAAACCACCAACCAGATGTCATAAACCACCCATGACTGGGATTAGTTTATACAATGGTTTATACCACCTTTAAAAATGGTGATTTGGGGGATGATTTAATTATTATTGTTATACCCACATTACCAAAAATGTCAAACATTTTGGTGTTTTTGGTTAACCAATTCCACAGAAACTGACATTGTGGTACCAAACTAAGGATAGCCTGAACCAATTCTACGGACATCACGGTACCCGCTGACTTTGTATATTGTTTATTACATGCTTGTAGTTGTGTTTTAGCAAACCCTGGATGTGACCAATAAATCAGTGTAAAGTATAATTTATAGAATCAACAGTGAGTTTCAATGAGGATTAATTTTGGGTTTTCAATAATCACCAATAAACAAATACCAAACATGGCTGGTACAAACGATCCCAATTGGTGTTTTTTTATTATTAACTATTTACCACATAAAGAATCGATAGGTATGAAACCCTCCAATACGAAATTCCCCTCCATGGAACCCCAAATGAAGAGATTCAATTCTAAAGCAAGGTTTCTAGCATGATTTTTCGTGGGCTGAATATGGAGGTTCAGCTCTCACATAGTTCATAATACAACACCTGATGTATGTGGGTAAATCATAGTAATTCACACACCTGAGATACCCTCTGGTAAACAAACATAGCTATTGAAAATTGCCATTTATAGTGGATTTACCCATTAGAAATGGTGATTTTCCATAGTCACGTTAGTTTACCAGAGGGTAAGGCTATTATATTTTGATAACTCCCCTTACCATCATTCCAGGTCGCAATGAGGTGCTCCTCAGTGACATGTTTGTGGATTTATGTTACCCCATCATCTAGATCGATATACGTTATAGGAGTTTTCTCAACCTTGCATGCCTTGGATTTGCTCAAGAAACCACACGAATAAAGATATTATTCTCATTTATTCTCTATAGTTTCCCCAAGTAATTAGTGGATTGCCATGCTAGATCATTGGTACCTATTAACAATATTTAACAATGGTGAGTTTCCATAGTTACGTTAGTTTGCTGGAGGGTAACCCATATTTCATCCCATACAGTGGGGATATTCCATGAATCACTGGGGGTATAACATGGTATAAACCGCTAAAGATGCGTGGTTTATCTCCCGCAGCCGACGCCTCCGACCACAACTCCAATGGCATCACAAAGCGCAGGCCACATCTGACGAGGGCCCAGGGCCCCTACGACCAAGCCCCCCAGTGATGTTTATAAACCCTATGAATATCCATGAATACTAGAGTTATATTCCCATAAAACACATACATAGGCCTAGTTAATCGAGTTATAAGGTTAACTTCACTATCCTTTGGGGGCGTCACCTTGTAGTTCTGTTTGTTGGCTGAATGCCGCCCTCTTCTAACTACAGATGTATCCGCTATAAACCTTAGTTGACCTAGTTATAAGCCAGCTTACCTAGGGCACCTTTCCTGTATAGAAACATCACATGGCCTTGGCACCTGACAATTTTGGGTTTATCATCGCTTTCCCGAACGGCCATTTAAGGGGGGTGTACGGTTCCACTGGTGGATGGCTCCCAACAGTCCAGATAGTCCAGATACTGTTGGAAGGACAAAAATGTTAAGGTTGTAATGAAATATGCAAAATCTTCCCCTTTGTGGTTGTAAATACCTACATACACAATCATATATACAAATATAATGCGCATATATGTAAAAAATGATTATAGATGAGCAACTATGCATATATGGTATCCTATCTATCTATCTATCTATCTATCTATCTATCTATCTATCTATCTATGCTATCTATATGGTATCTATATCTATCTATCTATCTATCTATCTATCTATCTATCTATCTATCTACGCGCAATGCCTGGGCTTTGCCCAGGCGTCGCAGCGTAGAGGGTCCCCATTCCCAATCAAATGTTGTTGCTACTCTGTCTGCATTTCATTGGGGAGACCAACAAAGGTATTAGGGAATATTAAAATCCCATCCCAGTTAAACTTTACATTCATTGAAGATCTTCAATAAGGGTTTAACTCTCCCACCCCCGTTCAACTTCTACATTCATTGAAGATCTTCAATAGGGGCTTAATTCTCCCAATCCCGTCAACTGCTAGATTGATTGAAGTTCTTCAATAAGGGTTTAATTCTCCCACCCCCGTTCAACTTCTACATTCATTGAAGATCTTCAATAGGGGTTTAATTCTCCCAATCCCGTTAACTTCTACATTATTGAAGTTCTTCAATAAGGGTTTACTTCTCTCACCCCCGTTCAACTTCTACATTCATTGAAGATCTTCAATAAGGGTTTAATTCTCCCACCCCCGTTCAACTTCTACATTCATTGAAGATCTTCAATAGGGGTTTAATTCTCCCATCCCCGTTCAACTTCTACATCCATTGAAGATCTTCAATAAGGGTTTAATTCTCCCACCCCCGTTCAACTTCTACATTCATTGAAGATCTTCAATAGGGGTTTAATTCTCCCACCCACGTTCAACTTCTACATTCATTGAAGATCTTCAATAAGGGTTTAATTCTCCCACCACCATTAAACTTCTACATTCTTTGAAGATCTTCAATAAAGGTTTAATTCTCCCGTCCCCGTTAAACTTCTGCATTCATGTAAGATCTTCGATAAGGGTCTAATTATGTTTAATTCTCCCGTCCCCATTAAACTTCTACATTCATTGAAGATCTTCAATAAGGGTTTAATTATCCAACCCCATTAAACTTCTACATTATTTGAAGATCTTCAATAAGGGTTTGATGATGATGATGATTATTATTACTATTATAGTAGTAGTAGTAGTAGTAGTAGCAGTAGTAGTAGCAGGAGTAGTAGCAGGAGTAGTAGTAGTAGTAGTAGTAGTAGTAGTATTAGTATCATTATTTTGATGCGTTTCCTGTTGTGGTTACGGTTCCGGGCAAGGCCCAGGCATTTGCATTACTACCTATGTAATGGCTTGGAGCAACTCTCTATGAGACTCAACTCACCAACCAGCAGAGATTCGGAGGCGCCTGCAGAGCGTGAGGCGCAGTCCGAGACTGGCATGTCTGACCTGAACGCTTCTGCTCCTAAAAAACAATCACCAAGTCATGGTAAACCACGATGAAGCCATCACAAAAAACCATAGTAAACCATCATTGAATCATGATTATAGCAACCAAAAAAAATATGTATGTAAAAGAAGTCAAATCCTGCTGAAACAAATCATGTTGACCTCTTCTAGATATTTTTGTGGCTTGCTATAAATCATGACAAGACCATTGCTAGCCTTCGATACTCTGCAAACCATCGGATTTTAGCTGACTAGAATAGCAAAAAGATGAAGTTCACTGAAGTAGACCCTGCCAGGTAGGGGTTGTTTCATCATGGTAACCACTGAATTTCTCACGGCAGCTACCTGCAAGGCCCAGTGCAGCTTGGACAAGGTGTCCCTACTCGCCTGATGCTGAAACGATGGCGAGAAAGCCGCAAGAATTGGCGTTGAACCATTTTGAACCAGCATACATGACGATTTTGATCAACAAAAGTTGGGATTTAACATGATTTCACCACATTTCACCAAAACAAGTTGATGAATTGAGATTTCACCAACAGAAATGGGAATTCGGAATTCAAACATGGGGTTTAATTAACATTAACTCAAGAAGAATTGGGGAAAACGGGAAAATCCTCAACACTTGGAGGCTTCACCAGCAACAGTACTGGCCTTGACCCAGGTCTCCTAGAACTGATCAAGAAGACCCAGCAGGGACTTAGCATGAATAAATCAGATTTATTTACTTATATATATATATATATATATATTAGTCTGACTAAGCCACATTAACTATAGACAAATATCATGATATATATATATATATACCGGCCGGCTGCCGGCCGGCTGCCGGGAAACAAAAATTGTATATTATGATATATCCCTATGGATCCAGCCGTGCCTTCTTAAGAAGTACTTGGGATATAAATTCAATGGTCAAGTACCTTCTCAGACAGTGTTTGGATCCATAGGGTACATATATATATATATATTACATGTAGCTACAGTAGGCCTATCCTCTGGAAAATTCTCGCTTCTCACACTTTGCCATGGACAAATGATGTGGCAAATGAACGTAAGTTACCCTCTGGTAAACTGTTACATAGCTATTGAAAATGGCCCAGACGATATAGTGAGTTTTCCCATGAAAAATGGTGGATCTTTCCATAGTTTGCTATTGAAAATTGCTATTTATAGTTGGTTTACCTATTAAAAATGGTGGATTTGTCCATAGTTCTTTGTATTTTTACCGGCGGCCGGGTAGCTATAAAAAATGCTGATACCCTGGCGACAAAGAAAAAAACCGTTGGGGGATGGTGTATGCAATCATGAATTATCTCACAAAAAATGGTGATATTATGATGATATATATATATAATATGGTGATATCATGGAAATGATATTATGATATTATGATACTATGATACTGTATGATAATCTATGATATATTATTTCCATATTGTGGAAATGATACGAAATGGTGATATGTTTCATGCTTAGATATCATGGCCATGGAAAAAAACAAAAAAACATTTTCCAACACTATGATACTATGATGCTATGTTATTGGCCATGGCTTCCATTGCTGTCCAATGAAACCCATCGTCTAACGATGTAGTTAGACGTCACGGGAAACTCTTCCACAAGCGGCCTTGGTACAAGTGACTTGAAGCCCAAGACCTTGCCTGCCACGATCAGATCGGCGTGGAAAGTGCTGAGGTTTACGACCAGAAAAAAAATACGGATGATTGCTGGTTGGTGGTTGACCTACCATTGTGGTTAATATACTGTCAATAATGGTTAATATATGGTTATTATATGGTTAATGATTGTTATTAATAATCTGGTTGGTGGTTGACCTACCCCTCTGAAAAATGATGGAGTTCCCAACTGAATGGAAAAAGACAAAATGTTCCAAACCAACAACCAGATTGGTGTTTCAAAAAATGGTGATTTCAGGATTTATGGGAATGGAACCATCAACAATTGTGTGGCTTAATTGATTTAGTCAACCAAGAATTGTGATCATAATAGTTTTTTTGATTTTTTGGTTACCATCTGGTTATTTAACATAGCCATGGAAAATCACCATTTTTAATAGGTAAACCATCTATAAATGGGCTATTTTCCAAGGCTATGTTAAATTACCAGAGGGTAAGTTGGTTGAGACAATTCCAAAAACTGAGTTGGGGTCCTGGGAAAATGGACAACTAGTCCATGGAGGTAACGCAAAGCAACAAACATAACTGAAACCACCTTGTCCGGGGTACCCCCAACGCATTTTGCTGCTGAAATCACCAATTTCTGGACCCATCTAGGTTTTACACCACGGCTAAAACGTTGGTTAACATGATCAACCCTAGATACCCTGCATTATCTTTGATTCCTTAGTGTGTGTATCTATTTATTTATTTGTTTATTTATTTGTTTATTTATATATACGTATATATATATACACACACCCTCCGGCAATCAAGCATGGCTTGCTGCTTGCTGGAAAATCCTCCATCTATAGATGATTTCCCAGCTAGAAATCTTCATTTGTAGAGATTTCCCGGCTAGTCACGTTTGAGTACCGGAGGGTGTATATATGTTTTAGCAACGTATCAAGTTGTACCAAGTTGCCTATCCAATGTTGAACTACAAATCATCTACCATTAAAAAATCGTAGGGATAAGTTTTGCCGTGCCAGGTTTTGCCAATATATCTTGTGGGCACGCCTGTCTGAACCAATGCCCCCCTTTTGAAAAACACGCATGGAACACCATGGAACTCTAAAGAAATGGATAATGTGTGAGGGAATTCTAGCGTACCAATCCATGCCCAATCGGTATCACTTGCATCAAACGGGTGTGTCTGAAAATTACGGCCGGGAAAACCATGGAAAACCCACAATCCCATGACTTATCATAATGTTCCCCGTGAAATTGCCATAATAAGTGGGGAGTTAATCCCCCATGTGCAAACACACCAAAAAATCATGTTATGTGTATATATATATATATATTTATATGTGTATATATATATATATGTATATAAATGTATTAAATATGCCAATTATATCCCCATATATTACCAACATATTCCGATTATATACCCATCATACTACACAACTTATGCTGGTGAAACTGCGTACCAACTCCAGTTGCATTCCCATGTCATCTTCCCACCTTTGATGGTTAAATCAGTTAAATCCCTATTTATCCAGTTGTTGTTTTTCCCATCGAATCATATCGAATCAACCGGTCCAAAGGAACAGGCAAGTCTGCACCACTTCTTCGATGAGGGCCATGATGCTTTCGGGGACTATACTAACATATGCTACCAATATTTATTTAAAAAAAACATTACTGTAGGAGGTTTTCCAACGAAAATCACCAGATGTTCCCATGATTTTAACTTCCATGATCATTCAAAACCACTTCTCGCCTCGTGGAGATTGTCGGGCATAGCTTCAAGGAGAAACCTGATCCATCGCCACATGGGCAATGCCCATGGGTGGAAGTAATTGCTAGTCAACCATGTATAACCAACCTGATATTTTGAGTGTATTTGAAATATGTTGAATTATGTTATGTTATTTTGATGTATATTCCTAATCAACCAAATGGTATGTTGAATTATTTTGATGTATTTTGAGTGCTGAACACTTTGCTAATGAAAACATATTCACATATTCCAACGATTTGTAAAGACCGTTTAAGGAAACATGTTGGTTTCCATAGAACCTCTACTTGGTGACTTGATCCTACAGCCCAGATGAATCACCAATACACTTTTGCGGACCCTGCTTTTGATGATCAACAAAGAACTTCCTCGGATTTTCACAGTGCCTCTGGGGGGAAGTGTTCGAGCATCCCCCACCGTTCACAAGGCCTTTCACCGGCTTGTACTTGAACATTACTCCTGGGCCAAACAGCCAACAGCTGCTTGGGGTAATGGCAAAAATGTTCCAATGTGTGTCACGCCATATCACACTACCGTGGGTGTCGATCAAAACCCACGGGAAACAAACAATGTTGGGCCTACTTGGACAATCGTCCTTCTTGTCAAGTTATTGTTTGCACATTTGTGGACGTTGTTGTATGTTGCTGGTATTTTTACCAATGTCAACCCCAGATTAAATTAATACACCCCATAGTTGGTTGAGGATCGGGGGTTGCCAAAAAAAAAACAGTACTTTCTTCGATTGATCCCCACCCTGACACATTATTGTGACATAGTTTCTGACATAGCATCTGGAAGTAAATATAATATTATTATATATTATATAGTTTAAATTAAATATTATATAATAATATATAGAGAGAGAGAGACTCTGACAGCCTTTCTGGCATTCTATCTGGCATCTATTTTGACATACTATCGGGCAAATATGCTGACATTCTTTCCGGTATTCTATCTGGCAGAATTCTGGCATTCTATTCTGGCCTTCTACCCTCTGGTAATTTAACATAGCTATCGAAAATCACCATTTTTAATGGGAAAAGAGGGTATCTCACATTTATTCTGACATGCTGACATGGGCACTGGCGGACTTCGACCGCGAGCGCCCGGTCTCAGTGGCCCTCGGTTGAGGCCCGGCAGTGCCCACTGAGATCTGGAGCTCGCGTTCGGGGTCCGAGGCTGCGGGAGGAGAAGGAGAAGAAGAAGGAGGAGAATGAGGAAGCAACTCTGATAAAAGCATATAAAATCTGGAGACCCTCACCTGGCAGGTGGGGAAGAATGAGTTCATCTGGTTTAGTCTTATCATGGGTTTGCTTAAGGAACCACTTCCCTTCATCGGTTCCCCAGTCGTAGTGGATTTCCCATATGGAAAAATAAAGAAATCATCTTCAGCAAATCCAAGATAACACTGGTGATTTACCTATTCAAAATGGTGATTTTCCACAGCTATGTTAGTGTACCAGAGGTTAAACCTCCATTAATCACCATTAGATCCCATTCAACCACCATGAAATCCCATTAAATCACCATTAATCACCATTAAACCTCCATTAATCACCATGTATGTATGTGTGTATATATATATATATATATTGGGTTTTGCCAAAATCCATCGATCATCCCAGGCCGTCATCGGGTCCGTGCCTAGTTCCCCACTGTCCGGCTGCAGATCGCAGAACACACGCGCCTTGGCGCAACGTGACCAGGAAACCGATGGAGAAGTCTGGGATTTTCCCCAAGAATCCAAGGTGTAGATCTATCAAAGCTACAAATACACATGTTAAGTATGGATTCAAAACTTATTTCATAGTATCTACTGGATTATGTTTACAATCTATAAATATGTATATATATGTATACATTTATTTGTTTATTTATGGACTGATTGGATCTTGTAGCTATAGCTTGCACTTGTCGCGGCACCGTGAGCTCATCGGAGGCGGCCAACAAAAAAAGGCGAAGAAGTTGATGTTGCTCCACGATTTTTTTCAGGCTACTCTGCTGTCATCAAACGTGTCATTTTCGCATTCAAACCCTGGGAAATCATCGATTTTTATGGAGGTTCTAAATGGGCAAAAACTTGGAACTAAATGGAGGGATTGTCAGCTAGCCAGGTATCTCCTTAAACCGGAGGCTAACCAGCAAAAACCCTTGGATTTGACCAGCAAGAATGAGTTGATGTGGCATACCACCTGGTAATTTCACATAGCCATATAGACAATGGCTCATTTACAGTGATTAACCTATAAAACATATGAAAAGAATGAGATTTTCGCTAAGTTAAGTTACCAAAGGATAACACTGATCATCACTGATCAACCTGGAACATTTTAGGGTTTCACGAGCACAAAAAAAAGACATTTAACAACCGTCAAAGTTATTGAGATTCTACCAGCAAAATCATCCAAGTAATTGGCCCAAAGCTGATCACACGCATTCCCTGTTGTTCGCTAATAAAAAAGGTCGATATCAACCTGAACATAACTGAACATAACTGATATTTTTTTAAACAAAAAACATAATTCGTCCGTGTTAATCCATGCTAATACATGCTACCCATGTTAATCTGCGTCAATCCGTGTTAATCCTAAATTTATATTCCTATCAATTCATCTTCAGTCCTTCTGATGCATGGGTGTCAAACCCACTGAACAATATTTGTCATTGGGGATTATCATCCTAAACATGGATAAACATTGTAGAAATTAAAAACGTGTATCAAACCACGAACCAGAAAACATAAAGCAACACTCCATTATTTTTGCAGGATGTTATTATTCTATACTCTTAGACCTTTCTCGTGGTTTCTATGATCCATGCTAATCCTGTTCCTATCAATTCATATTGAATCCTTCTAATACTGAGCTTCAAGGTGAGATATCCATAATATATGTATATGTATATGTATGTATATATACATATATAGGTAGATGTATACATATATATAATATTGTATATGTATATATATATTGTATATATATATACAATCCATCAATCTCCATCAGCCTTCACCAATCATTTCAACCAAACACTCACCATGCCAGGTCACGCGATGGCCGCTTCGCAGACTCGTCTTCACCAAGCTGAAGCTCAGGCTGGGACTTGGCCAACGGCGCAACGGTGGGAAGGCGCAGGTGTTGGTAGAAATAAAAAAGGACATTCACCGGAAAATGATGGTTAATAAGTGTTTAATCATGGTTTGATAGTAACCAATATTGTTAAGAGATGGTAAGAAATTGATTAGTAATTGTTAATACTCGGATATGGTTAAGATATCTTAATTTAAGAATGGTTAATAATGGGAATATTGGTCATTTCATGGAATGTTTATGAAATGTTGATAGGAATATCATGGGAAAACGATGGTTAACAAGGGTTAATAATTGTTAATTGTGGTTCATAATGGTTGAGAGTTGATAGTAACAAAGTAGCCCCCAGTCATACCTGCAAATATAAGGTAAATATGACGTAAATATCATTGAGCTACCATCCTGGTTGCACACATTCCGGCAACTTTTCTGGGGGCTTGCTATAACATAATCGGATTTGATGATTTGCATGCTGATATTATGTGGTATGTGATATTCTGATGATCAACATCTGCAGTGGAGAGCTCTGAGCGCCACTAACCAGCCGACTTCATCCACTTCCGCAGCTCTGAGCGCCAAACTCAGATGAGAAAGTTCCTGAGAGGCCTCAGCAACCAGGTGGTTGAGGGGACCAAATACACCGCAGCTTAGGACAATTGTGCATCCTTAAGAATGCTAGATATCAGATATACGCATTGCGAATCTAGGTGAATGTGTATTTAACCCAACACCTAGGATATACACAGAGAAGAAAGACTGCTCTCAACACCAGCCATGATCGCCCCAGAAAAGGCCAAAATCAATGAGAACATATTCACCATGTGAACTTCATCTTGAAGCCGGCAATGTTCTGGAAAACTCCATAAACAGACATGTTTTAAAGCTGCGTTAAAACGAGGACAAATAGGGCATTGTGTGTGTGTGTGTGTCTAGTCTCGTTGAACGGCATGCTCCCACTGTTGATCTGAGCAGCTTCCACGGATTGTACCTGCTGCAACGCGGCCTCTTGGGTCAAAACAATGCTGACTTTCTGCGTAACAAAATACCGGCTTTCTTGGAACTTCCCAGATGTTGCATGACAATGTCACCACCAGAAATGGATTGAATGTTGGGAAACATACCTTAGATGAAAAGTATAAGATATATATATATATACCATAGTGATATATAGCTATATATATATATATACCATAGTTATAGAATGAAACATAGCATAGTTATATATATATATGTCTAAGTCTCAGTTACTGAATACCCCTTTATCATCCTGCGCTATTTATCTATCTAAAAATCTTTGGAAAAATCCAGCGTCGTTTCCATTTTTCAAAATGCTCGGTGGGAGGACTCCGGAATCCGCTGGGCCGCTGGGTCACGCGTCAACCAGGGACTCATCATCAACGAAAGGTAACGCCCGTCGCGTGACAGGCCCAGCTTCTGTTGGACCTGGATGAAAACAGCTGGGGAAAACAGAGAAATGGATAGGGGGTTTCCTAAAATGGAAAATCATAGGTTTTAATAATGGTTGATAATAATCAATACTCCCTATTGATGGTGATTAATGGCACATATACAAAATTTGGTTATGACTAACAGTTTGCCATGGAAAATCACCATGCTATTAACAGGTAAACCATCTATTTCTATGGGTCATTTCCCATGGCGAACTGTTAAATAACCAGAGGGTAGATGGATTTAACCATCCAAAATGATGATTTACCCTTCAGACATCAAGCATGGCTTTGCGCCACTGTAAATGGGCAAACTTGAAATCACCCTAAGCTTCCAGTTTCCTCTGAGATAGGTCACTGTTGGGTGATTTTACCTCATGATTTTTGGGTTGGTTACCTATCTGATAGGTAAGTGGAAGGTTGGGAAAAGCATCAATGCGGGGATTCTCCAGCAAACCATGTTTGATTTCCAACCCGATTTAATCATCAAGAAGGGTTGGAAAACACCAAGAAAGAAGGGGTAGTATGGAGACAGGTCAAGAGTCAATGTATGAAACGCAGAAAGCCTCTGGTAAATTAACATAGACATACATAGACCATCATAGGAAGACCCTGAAAATCACGAAATCAGTTTTTAGTGGAAACTCATCTTCCAAATTTTAGTGGAAAAACAACAACTGGCAGCGTCGAACTGTCAATTTACTGGAGGGTAAATGGAGTATCGTCCTTCTGTTGGTTGAAACATCTGGCTGCGTTCTTTGCCATAGATTGTGACCCAGACCGCTGCACTGCAGACCGCTGCGGTCCCGGACGAAACAATGAGGCGACAGGGAGCGTGACACTGACAGCTCACAATCCGGAGATGTGCCAGTGACCTGAGATACCAGGTGCCTGCAGGTGCAATGTCCCAAAGTTGGATCCAGACATGGATCCAAACATTTTTCAATAGATTGGTTTGAGGGAAAATTTACAGGAAAACCCCATATTTAATGGGGAAATCCATGGTTTCCTGTAAATTTTCCCTTAAACCAATCTATTGATTTTTTTTCAAATCTGAATGGATATCAATTTCTCAGTCAATCAATATCCTGTGACATCATGTGACAATGTGATACAATGAATCAAGACATATCATGCACAAAATCTGTCATCAAAATCTGATGATAGTTTACACAACAACAGGCTATACAAGGTGGTGCCCCCGTTCGATAGCGTTCAGTTGGTGCAAATAACTCCAATAACTATGGTTTATAGGTGATATATCTATAGTATTCATGGGGTGAATCGAAACCAATTTATAACGTTTGGGGGGCACCACCTTGTACCAACCAATCAACACATGTCCATCCCTGGTGTGTACCATGATCAGCATAGTTGTCTCACACTGCCACACGGCTACAGGAAAAAAAAAAACCAAGCCAACTGCATCTAACTGGAAATGAGAAACCATTAACAAATGGGCTTTAGAATGGTTTAGAGATATGATACCCCATCGCCTGGCATTTCTACTAAACCAAGGTGGGTTTAGAAATTTTCATGGCATATCTACAGCTCGTTGATTGGTCACCGCTCAGGGGCCGACGTTCAGTGACGTTCTGACGTTGGTCCCTGGAATCACCTCCCAACGATCAGCGGTTCACGCATCAGCCCCGAATGACTGAACGGAATGTGGTTCCATCCAAGATCACTTTCTTGCCCACATTTATGTATATGTTGTTTTTTTTAGAATCCATAGAGATAAGTTTAAAAAGACAATGATGGGCAATCATCAATCTTACAAACAAATTATATAAGAAATATATGGAAGTCACACCAGAAAGCCAGGCTCCCATCGCTTTCACAACTTTGGAATTCATCAGTTCCACTGCAGGCCCCACACTGGTGTTGGCTGCTAGCATCAATTTGGCAGCACCAGCACCGCTGCTCGACTGCACATGGGAGGCCTCCGCCGTTCGAAACCACGAAACGCAGCAAAACAAATAGGCAATACGCAGCAAATGTGTATCTCAGATATCTAAAAATTTTCAGTTGCCCATCAAAAATATTGGGTAATAGGGTTGGATGAAGAAATTATGGGGGTTCACCATCAAAACTAGAGGGTTCAGCAAGAAGACCTTAGATAGGAAGTAGGCAACAATATGTAATAACCATATCATAACCCAATTATATGGTAGACCAGAGTTATGAACCTGACATATTGACCACATACAAATTGTAATGGACCCCAGGGAAAGTCTCAAAAGGATCTGCCTTCAAGTCCTACTAAGTGAGTTTTGTCTGAAAATAGGATATCCCAAATCTTGATGGTTCATCAGTTTCCGCATTATTAGACGGCAATCTTGGGGGTATCATCCATTTTCAGACAGACTCAAATCCAATTTTTTGTAACATGATGGGTCAAAATTGTGTATCCCAAACATTTTTAATAACAATGGATGTTTTAATTTAAACAAATACGCTAAAAAATGATCAAACACTATGGAACCAATGGCTACCATCAGCTAATTCTTCACGAACTGGAAAATCATGAAGTTCGAAGTTTAAGCTACATCATGATTTTTATATATGTTTATCTATTCACCTCTGGGCCATGGCAACCAATGGCTACCATCAGCTAATTTAACTGAATGTTCTAATATTTCTAATCCACCTGGCAAAATTAAATAAAATTAACCCATGGCAATTAATCATAATCTGGTGGGTGGTTGCCATTCCCCTCTGATAAATATGAGTTCGTCAGTTGGGATGATGACATTCCCAATATATGGAAAGTCATGAAATTCCATGGTTCCAAACCACCAACCAGCATTTATACTTGATGATTGACCCCCAGCTAAGTTTCTTGCCAAAATAACCCATGGAAAACCATTCCACCAGTTTGATATATGCAGCATAAACCAGTTGTTAAACATCATTAACCCTATAACCAGTGTTTGTTGGTTTATAAACCATTAAAATCCCCATGAACTATAGTTATATCTACCATAAACCATAGTTAATCATTGGCATTAATCCTATGGCGTCAGCCCGTCCAGCGTCCTGCAGCGTCCTGCAGCGTCCTGGGGTCCCGTGCACCTCCCACGGTCACGCAAAAGCGCTCCTGGGCGGTGAAAAGCCCCAGTGGGAATATCACAAGCTAAATATATATAAATATATCATGAGATATATGATATATATATATATATTATAACATATATATATATATTATAAATCATAATATATATCTATATTAAAATATATATTATATAATATAATATATATATTATAATATGTATATATATATATATTAATATTATTAATATTATTATTAATATTATTATTATTAAATATTAAATATTATATATTATATGAAAATCCCGTGAAAATCACAGCCAGTCATAGACAATTCTCCCTTCGATTCAAACATTCCGACAGAAACCATATGGGGGTTTCCATAGTCATGGGGGATCCCCAATAGCTGAATGGTTTAGACTGGACAATCCATCTATAAATGGATGATAAATGGATGGTACGCCTATGACTCAGGAAACCTCCATATGGATCTCACCATATGGATCATGTGGATTGAACCTCGGCCCATGGCAACCAGTGGTTGACATCGCATGGCACCGAGTTACCTATGGCAATTTCGCCCGAACAAAGCAGTGTAGCATAATCCACCCAGATTTCGTAGCCAATGAACCATCCAAGTATCATCAAGTATCAGTATCATTGTTTCTCCTTTTCTTTGGTGCTCAAAACCTACACAAAAACCATGATATTTATTAGCCAATTGGGCTATCCGGCTGTCAGGTTCTGTCCCAGCGTCTGAGAGACGAATCTGCACCGAGTGGGACAAGGCGGAATAATGCAAACGAAAACGACCTCAAAACGGCGACCGATCTGACAGGTCTGGTGGCTTCACAGCGATCGACTGGTTAAACGGTGAAGAGATATTAGTCTGACTAAGCCACATTAACTATAGATACTGCGTCACGGAACATGTGTAGCAGTGCAGACAAAGAGGATGGAGACAGACATGTTATGCGTGGAGTAATGACCAAGCTGAAGCAGGTGCAAAAATCAGCAAATGACTTGGCAATTCCCACTAAATAAGCTTTTTGTACCCTGCGTCACGGAACATGTGTAGCAGTGCAGACAAAGAGGATGGAGACAGACATGTTATATGGAGTAATGACCAAGTTGAAGCAGGTGCAAAAATCAGCAAATGACTTGGCAATTCCCACTAAATAAGCTTTTTGTACCCTGCGTCACGGAACATGTGTAGCAGTGCAGACAAAGAGGATGGAGACAGACATGTTATATGGAGTAATGACCAAGCTGAAGCAGGTGCAAAAATCAGCAAATGACTTGGCAATTCCCACTAAATAAGCTTTTTGTACCCTGCGTCACGGCACATGTGTAATGTGTAGCAGTGCAGACAAAAAGGATGGAGACAGACATGTTATGTGGAGTCATGACCAAGCTGAAGCAGGTGCAAAAACCAGCAAATGACTTGGCGATTCGCACTAAATAAGTTTTTTTTAACCCTTCGTCATGGCACATGTGTAGCAGTGCAAGCAAAGAGGATGGAGACAGACATGTTATGTGGAGTAATGACCAAGCTGAAGCAGGTGCAAACATCAGCAAGTGACTTGGCAATTCCCACTAAATAAGCTTTTTGTACCCTTCAGGAAGAACAAAGTTTATGCTTCTTGAAAGCTTTACAAAACATCCATCTCTGTTAACTGCGGATCACATTTTCAAGTCCGTTTTGTGTGGCAGGTGTGGGACGGTCAATTGTCACCCTCTTTTAAATATATAAGATCTTAAAGCTTTTGGAGGATGGAAATGAGACCGGGGTACGACAAAGCTCCATGCTAGGATTCTACGGGGAAAGGGTGTGCAGAAGAAGAAACCAAACATGTTCACTGTGGAAAGCTCAACAAGCGCAACTTTTGTCCTACCAGTGTATATCATGATATATATATATATTTATTATCTATTTATATATATATATCAGCCATTCACCCTAGTTCTTGGAGTTTTCTTAACCAACTTCTTCAACTTTGCAAACTGGGGCACCACCAACTGTGGTTTGGTGGAAGTTTAGGATCCCTCGGTCAGACTTTTGCAAACCAGCGCACCTTCTGCTTCACCATTGTTGAGGCAATATATACCATGTACATATATATGTATATATATATATGTGTTGTATATATATATATATATACACACCCTATATTAGCCTATATTCAAGTGTCATACCAAAAAGCCGCCAACCTGTCTGTCCAAGCGCATTGCATCCCTCAAATTCAACAAAAAGTAAGAAGAGGTTGTAAAATTATACCCCTCAGTAAATTAACATAGACCCTGCCAGTTGTCGGGGTTGGAAGACTAGCTTCCACTATAAATTGGTCATTTTCAGGGTCAAACTGTGAACTTACCAGAGGCGGCTATCTGATCTTCCAAACATTAACTATAGATATATTATGATAATTCATATTATATATATATATCAGCCATTCAAACCCTAGTTCCCTTTCTTGAGACTTCAAGTACCACTTTTCAACCTGGTCAATGTTATAAATCCAATTTCATGATCAATTGCGAGGATCCCAAATCCGACCAATGGCGGTTTAGCACATTGCAAGAACACCATCGAGTAGACGAACATAGCCATGGGACATCAGCAATTTTAAGAGGTAAATCATCGAACTTCTCATGATTCAAATGATCTATGTTCCATAGCAAACTGTTAGTTTACCAGGTTGTTTTTCCTTCATCCAAAAATATCACCAAGCCATCTGGCCCATCTCCTGAGAAAATAAGGCCATGGCGTCTGAAGGTGTTGCCATTGACCACTGGAGCAGCGGAGAGGGAGAGAAGGAAGGAGCCTCTGGCGCCCCGATCATCTCAACATCACTGCAGGGTGATTCACCGATTCACCGTTCGTGAAAATCACTGCTTCATTTTCGGAGTATTTCTTGAGTAGTAGGTATAAATATGATATATATGTACAAATATTATATATAAATAACATGGATTGGGAGAATATGTCTATGTATTGCGAATCAATTGGGAGACCCAAATTATATTATAAATATGATATATATATATATATATATATATGGGTCTCCAAATTGATTCAGAGTCAAATGGTCTCATGGCCCTCCATGGCCACGGTTTGGTTTGTCTTTGCTCCAGGAAATGTCGAAGCAACTGTCTAGTTCAAGAAACCTGAACATTGGAACACTTTAGCACATACACTTAGGGGTTTCCATAAATTTCGTACCCCAATAGCCGGATGGTTTATTTCACGGAAAATCTCACAAAAAAATGGTACCCATGACTTTGGAAACCTCCACTTGGTCTTATGGAAACCACCCGAAACAACAAAAAGCCCGTGACGGCGGTTTGTCAGCAACCCCTAAAAAATGGTGGTGTTTTTGAAGTTTACCATCAATCCAGATGATTTATGTTTAGAAAACTTCGTGTTTTGATGGTCCTTATATATATATATATGTTTTTTATGGTGTTTAGATTGTTATCCAACAAAACGCGATATGTTTTTTTTATTTATGGCCTGTCTGTAGATGATGTTTCATGATTTACCTTTTCAAACATGGTGGTTTTCCATGGCTATCACCCTCTGGTAATCGAACGTGGCAGCGGAAAATTCATGATTTTTCTGGTGGTTGAGCCACCATCTTGAAAAATCATGGAGTTCTTCAGTTGGGATGATGACATTCCCAACTGAATGGAAAGTCATAAAATTCATGTTCCAAATCACCGACCAGTTTGTGAATATTTTCCGTTGCCATCTTTGATTACCGGAGGGTTATTCGCAGAGAGAATCAACCACCATCCCAAACGCTGAGATCCCCGCCATTCAACGCCAGCAAGCGCTGAGCCCGCAATTCCTGTCTCAACAACCAGGAAATAGTGATACCCTCTGGTAAACATAAATCACCATGTTCAATAGCTATGTGACAGTTTACCAGAGGGTAAATCACGTGTCATATTTTTTCTATCTTTTTGGGGGTTACTATATATAATTGGTGTCTTTGTGACCCGGTGGCTTGGAAAGAGTGCTGTCGTACAGAAAAAAATATTCCGACCCCAACCATTCAATTCGCAAAAAGTGGTATGGGCTTTGCCGCATGCCTGAAAATCGGTACCCCAAATCCAACGGTTAACAAAAACAGTATCAGTGTCCCGTTGGCCCGATGTAAGCAGCATTGTCCATTTCAGAACAAACCTATCATATTGTGGGTTACCCTCTGGTAAATTAACATAGACCCTGGCAGATAGGGGTTGGAAGACTAGTTTCCATCAAACATTGGTGATTTTCAGGGTCTATGTTAATTTACCAGGGGGTATATATTCCATTCTGCCGCACTTTTACACCCCCATTTTTTTTGGTTGACCGTTGGCCCATTGTTCCATGTCTGGATGAACCGATTTGATAGATCAAATCCATAACTGTTATGCTACAAGGTGGTGCCCCCTTAGTTATAAATTGGTTTATAAACCCCATTAACTATAGATATATCACCAACAAAAACCATAGTTATTGGATGTTATTGGAGTTATAAACCAACTTAGCTATCGAACGGGGGCACCACCTTGTATTAAAGCATCATTTAATGTCCGCATTAAACACCAGCATTTTTGTTGCTGATAAATCCATGTAAATCCACCATTTCTATGCATTTCTTGGATACCTTCTGGTAGTCAACCATTGCTTGTTGCAATTTTCTCCATTTATAGATATGTAAAGTTTGATTCTCTCCCATTTCAATTGGCATTCAAAAAATGGGGGAATTTCGAGCGACCCGTCATGTTTGATTACTCAATCATCAGTAATCTCCATCAAATCACATGAACATCGCATGAAAATTGCATGCAATGAACATTGCATGAGAATCAGATATATCGCATTCAAATCCCATGAAAATCTCATGAAAATCGCATGAGAATCAGATAAATATCATTAAAACAACCCATGAAAATCGCATCAGAATCAGAAAATCTCATTAAAATCCCATGAAATTTTCATGATAATCTCATTAAAAGTCCCAAAGCCATGTTGCGCTTCCCGCCGCCGGCTCCTCATGCTTTCGAACTAAGCGCCGCACACGCAGCTCTAGGTCCTGGAAGGCTTTGGATAGGACAGAGGCCCCTAAGAGAAACCATAGGAAAATGGTGATTTCACCAGCAACATGGGATTTAAAGCTGATTTAAGTATGGTAAACTACGAGTAAGTATAAACAATAACTATATATATAATATATCACTATTGTTAACTATGGTTAGCTAACTATAAGAGGCTTATACTATGGACTATGGTGAACCAACTATAGATAGGGTTTGCATGAGAATATAGCTATAGTGTATAACAATAACCATAGTGAATAAGGCTAAGTTGACAAAAATCACATAAAATAACTTGGTTAACTGTTGAGTTGATGAGGGGAATATAACGATAGAATTCATGGGTTTGTAAACCAACAAACATAAGGGGGTCCCCTCACCTTGGAGGAGGGGAAACTCGGAACTCAACCAACAAGAACAGGGCATGATAGTTAAACAGGTGATGTATGGTAACCAATTTTGCTTATAAATAGGCTTTGACATTCAATTACAGTATTCATCACTATCATTCATCCCATGGTTTAAGTTTAAGTGATTCTTTTCAAAGGATTTCAGGAAATTTCAGAAAGGATTTCAGGGAAATTTCAGAAGACAATGCATACACATTTTGTCTCTTTGAGGAAAACAAAACATCTTTGGGGTCACCATTTTTTTTCGAAACGGCCCAGCTGTTGATGTCATTACGACTACGACCTGATCCTGACGATTCATGGATTTTTTTTGCGGCGCTAAAACGTAGGGAATGGGGCAATGGCATGATTGTGGTGAAAATTTATTGTTTATAGATGATTTAGATATATTTAGAAAATTATTCATGGGATGAGCAAAACTTCATTCATGATTAACGTTACTGGTGTTTGTCATGATTCGCCCAGGGCCCCTACGGAAATTGTACCAGTTAGATGACGACCTAGATGAGCCATGAGAAAATCGCGATTCCATTAGCGATTCCTGGTTAGTAACTGGATTATAAACCACTGGAAAAAATATCATCCATTTTCCAACTGGTGCCTAATTCCATGGCCCATCTTGACCATAAAGTAGTGATCTCCCCTTCCGCCCAACGCCCCGACTTTTTGTCGCCACCGCGGCGCGGTACGGCGTAATCTACGCCGGTACGCCCTAGGGCCGAGGAGCTCCGCACTTGAAACACTCCTCGGAGCTTGGGAAGTTCTTCGTTCCGCAGGCACCTGTGGGGAAATCCATGGCCGCCATGGCCCAGGCCCCAGGTGTGTGAAAATTGGGGGATGACATGTGGTTTTTTTAACATGTTAAAGCAAGACTGTCATAAATCCGACGGAACATGTTAAGTCACCAAAAATTATTGGAAAAAACACTTAAAGTGACACCTGAAGTAGGGATATTCGGTGTGTGTGTGTGTGTGACAAAACGGATGCTAAAGCGGATGCAAATGCATCCCTATTTTTGTTGCTTCATGTTAGTTGTATTGCGTCCCACTTCCCCTGATGCTGGTTATAGTCACACGAGCTAGTGAATAAGTTGCACACATCACTGGTTGGTGGTTCCCAGCCATCCCAAGCATCAGTCACTTGGAACCATCGACACCGAGGATCACCGAGGTATACGGATGAAACATATTCGAAAATGATAAACATGTGAAACAATTGAACACATGTGCATAGATCAACATTAGGGACCTTATGGTCGGGACAAAAAACATAGCAAGAATCTGCAATTCCTGGGCTGTAAATCTTGACAACCAGGTGGCCTTTATAAGCCCAACAACTACATACATGTCCAGCACAAACCCTATTTCATCCAGAATAAAAGTTAGCTAACTATGGGGCACCATGAATATGCGTGTGCTCCACATATTAGTGGCTTATGCCCCAAATACATAAACTCACCACAAACTACCAAACCAAAATGTCAAACGAGTCAAACTGCCAAGCAAAATATGTTCCTATATATCCTGAGTTTTATTGCCATTATTGATATGAATGTTGACCCTTCCAATGACAAACACCTGCTTGATATTATACTAACAATCTTGATTGGTACACACCATATGATACCATATGTTTCAGCAGCCACTATCTTGATTGATAAACACCTGGTTGATTGAACTGGTGGTATTTTACCTTCCAATAGCAGAGGTCACGTGTTATCACCCAGCCAGGTATATTCTGATTAAAATCTGTGGTTGACATTGGTTGACCTACTTAATCACCAGCTCAACCCCAGTAAAGATAGAAAAAGTAGAAAAGCATAGTACCATAGTAAATAAATCACAAAAAAATACCAAATATTCGTGAAAATGGTGAAACAAAATCTTCCTCTCCCCCTTTTACTGAGGCACTGCATTCCCATTTCAGGTTCTGCTTTCTCGCTTCTTCCGCCGCCGCGCGCGCTTCACGCTCTTCGTCCGCGTTGCGGCTCTCACCGCAGCGAGTGCAGTATCTAGAGGTGTCCTCGGGGGGCAACTAAAATGCGTATAGACTATATATATATAATATCCCATATGCTCCATGTATGGAATATTTACCAACATTTGCACTAAAAATCACCCAAATGTATGTAAATATACTATACATGGAGCATAACGGTATATCATTTAATATTATATGTGTATATATAATATTATATATATACACAGTCGCACGCACGTGATTTACAGCTACTGATCTTTCAATATACCCTTAAGGTTGGATCTCCAAGAAGGCATCTTCAACACGGCAATGAGGGTTTTCAAGTTTTCCATTGCCAGAACCAGAACCATATTTTCAGGCAAAGAACCATGCCATTACCAAAGGCTCCAAGTTTTGTGTTTCTTTTTCCTGATTTCTTTCATGTTTTTTTTCTACATGGCACAATGGTCCAAGTTTCAAAATTCATAGTTCCACATGCACTGCAGGTCCACTTCGTTTTTCGAGCCGGAGGCGGTGGTGGGGGAAGCTCTCGGCCAGGGATGCCAGAAACTTTCGAGAGGATCAGGGAGAAGTCTCCTGAACAAATGGCGCTTAAACTTTTTGGGATCCAGAAGTTTCCGTTTGGAAAATGTAAGTTTCTATTTTTTAAGCGGGAGCAGAGTCCTACATTACATAGCCATCTCAAATGGAAGGCACAAAGAACTGTCAGAATGAAATTAGGTCTCAGAATTCATATCTTGAATAAAATAATAAATATATATGAAGTATAATGAAGTATATATATAGAAAACACATGAAAACACTTCAAAACACGCGCATCCTGTAGGTGTACCAAACGAACTTCGGGTTTGAAGGGCAATGGATTGTACTCGTTCAAGTACCAAAGGCTGCTTCACCTCATCCATCGTCTGTCCTTGCGGAGTCTGGATCAGCGCCGTAAGAAAAACATGAAAGCACTGTGTCATGTTCCAACAAGCCAAGAAGAAAGTTGGAAAATAAAACAAAAATTATCCGGAAAACACCTTAAATGACCTCAAATGACCATGAACTCATGGCGGATTTTCATGGATAAAATGATGAAGTGGTGAAGTTCACGTTCACCGTCTGTGTTTTTTCAGGATAACGACTTGGCTCCTCGAAGGGTTGGCTTGAAGTCTCTGAAATACCTTGGAGCTATGGGATAGCCGAAGCAAGCTGTCCGACTTGCAACGATTCACCAAAACGGCTTTGAAACCATACGAGAAGACTTGACTAGGGCATAATATCTCCAAACAGAGCAGATACAGTCTTTGATATTCGCAGAATATTTAGAACAATCGTCGAATATATATATATATATATATTTATTTATAAACCCTAATAGCTTTAAAGGATAGAAAAGTATAGAAAAGTCATATCCTACTTGTCTGATTTTTTTGGGGGTAGACATGAGTCGGTTTCATCCACTGCTACCCTCAGCCCAAGAAACATCTCCAGCGTCTTTCCCGAGCTGGCACTAAAGCGGTAGATATGTTCCAGCCCTCAGCAGATTTGCCACCAGATTTGATGATTTGATGATGACTTCATTCAGTTTGGTTTACATCAGTTTGTGTGGTAAACCCAAGAGAAAACCATCCAACAAATTGGTGTATTAATGTGTATATTATGCGCTATAGCACATCAAATTGTAACACTTCAATGCAATGCACCAGATTTGAGAGCATGAAGAACATAGATGATATAGATGTCCAGTTTTCTCGCCTACACTCCTCAAAGCGATCATGGAACCCATAGCCAGATCCACTTGGACAATTTTACAGCCGTCAAACAACAGGGTCAGCCTGCGGGCGCTCCAAGCATTCGCAAGGAGATCGCATAGTCCTTGTTGTCCGCATCCCCCAATTCCTGAGTTTCGAGCGGCACGTTTTTTCTTGAAAACCTACTGGTTCCCAATGTTCCGCTGTAGAAAGTTGGAGTGATTTTTTTCTAGGGCCTTCATTCTGGGTCCCACATTGCCACATTGCCACATTGCCACCACATCATCATCATCATCATCATCATCATCACCATAGTCATCAACACTCCAAATTCTGGATCGGAAGGGTCAAGATCCAAAGACAAAACACATAAAATAAAAGTTGCAGACCTGGAACCATGAGGCAAATATCATCCTGAGTCATCCTGGAAACATGTTCCCATCTTTCGGGATTATTCAATAATATATATATATGTATGTACAATATTAAACAAGACAATCTACAACAAGGACCTAGCATGGAAAGCAGCACAAAAATGATTGTTGAGCAAAAAAACTGATTGTTCGTAAAATATTGAACCATAATATCATTTGAATCATTTGTTTTTAAGTCCTTGATTTAAAATTTAGATCTGCGCCACAGCTTCAAAAACGCTCATCCACTGCTACCTTAGCTACCCTGCAAAAGTGGTATTTTTTTGTAAGTGGCATGCATATTCATGGATTGAGTTACTATATAAATCGACCAAGATACCCACCCTCTATGGCAGCTATGGATATTCCTCCATTTGCATATATAGCTACCCTCATATAGGAGTCTTTTGATTGTTCCTACGTTGATATCCCAGCTAATAGAAACATTAAGAAACTATAAGCCGCTACCAGTGGTTCACCCAGTGCGTTGCCAAACACGAATATCATCCCGATCCCAAAAAACAAGTTGCAGGAACACCAAATTTTGGGGTGAGACCCAGCCGGTTTCAGCTGATTTGACCTTCTTAATCCCAGAAAGAAAGGATTAGTTTTTAACCCGCCCTGGTAAACATGGGAGAATGAAGATCCAAGATGGTTCCTGGTTGGTGGTTGACCTACCCCTCTGAAAAATATGAAAGTCAGTTGGGATCACTATTCCCAATATATGGAAAAATAAAACATGTTCCAAACCACCAACCAGGTTCAATACTTGCGCGCTAAATCCCTAAATCCAGCATTCCCGAGATTCCAGCACTAATCCTTTCATTTCCTCCAGTGCTTCTGGAACGAACTTGGACTGCAGAGTGACCCCTGGACGCGAGCAGCCCTTAAAAAAAAAGTGCGGGGATTGTGACACCAATGTGAAAATAGAAGGAGACCCGGTGCTGTACTGTATGTATATTACAAATTGAGTACTTGTAGATATAGATATGACAGATATGATATATTATATATTATGCAATGTACTAAGTACTCTGTACATATTACATATTGTATAGTTAGTCCACCAAAATGCAAACATGATTATAAAGACAAACAGAATTCAGGGAGTTACTTGTTTGAGCCAAGTGTGATATGCAAGCGGAGCAGACACTGATTGGAAAGTCAGAAAAAGATAACATGTCAATTATTTTTGTGCGAAGAAAGGAATCAAGTAATGTCATCCCCTTATCAATGGATTGGTTTAGTGGAAAATTTACAGGAAAACCCCATATTTAATGGTAAAAATCAATGGGTTTCCGGTTCAGATTTTCCCTTAAACCAATCCATTGACCTTATCATATTAAATACCTTCATATGGGCCCAAGTCATCAATGGGTTGTCTAGATCCAATACATTTTACCGGGGTTTCGATTCGGGGAGTATCGCAGACGAACGGAGGATTGGATCCCACATGATCAGGTGGGTTGATAGATGTCCCATTCATATTAGGCTTATCATAATCCCCAAGAAAAAAGGACGGTGGAAATGGCTGGAACCCCCACCTGCAAACGCATTCTCAACATCTGACAACAGCCCTGCAAACTCCGCTTGCCCTGAGGCGTCAGTCAAACCTTTCAAGGACGCTGTTGAAGTTCCACCGCGGATATCATCCTGGTAGTCACTTGGGATGTCTTCATCCCTTTTTGAGGCATGGAAAATTACACAAAATGCTTATATGATGGTAATAATAGGAGATAATTCCAAATTCTATCCCCTTTCTCAAATGGCAGTGTGTCAAAACCTTGTACCCCTGTAGTTCACATCAAAATAGCTGGTAAATGGATGTTCATCCCCCTAAAAATGGTATTCATAGGTATTGATCCATACCCAAATATGTCAAAACAAAACAATTCGGAAAACACTCCAAAACCACCAGAGCCAGCATCCGTTTCGGCTCTCCATTGGTGAAACTGCCATTGCTCCCTTCCCAACAACAGGGGCCCTGTGGGCGGAGCCGTCTGGGTTCCCTCCGCTGTCTCCGCGTTCGCGTCGGGCGTGGGCGGTGCAGCAGGGCCAAAGGCGAAGGAACGGCTGCGCCAAGAAGCTGAGAGAGCCAGCAGCGCCAAAGCCCGGAGTTTGCGGCGAAATTTCATGGCGGAACTGGTCCAAAAAGAAAAAGCAACGATTTTGAGGTACTGAATGGTATTGAGGACTGTATACACTATGTATACACTACGTACAGCATGTATATTTATAGGCAGCTCTTGGAAAGTAGGGATGAAGGAGTGATGATTCTGAGTCCACGATCGCTCAGAAAGGACTGCAAAAATTGTAGCCTATTATCTTCAACTTGAGCGTGTCTGGGTGGGTGGGTGGTAAGCATGGCCAGAGCCTTCTGTACAGTGAATCGACTCTCCATGGAACTTTAGTTCGCTGGGACAATCACCTCTAGATGGTTGACGCTTATGTTCCATGTCAACACCAATCTGACAATCATTGGATTGGTTTCTTCCGGAACATCTTCACCGGAAACCATGATTTTTGTTTTTCCTGATTTTTCCTGCAGTTTGTCCCATGGCCTAAGCTAAGAAGCTGCAGAAATTGAGGCATCAGGAAGCAATCGGCTGCTTGTTTTTGCTACATCCCATCCCCCGAATCAATGGGCCTTTGAGATACCTAAACTGGAGGCATGGTTAACCACAAAAAGCCATAGAACTTGGGGGTATATCCCCCTACATAGGCCTTACATAGACCTTTTTTTTTTGTCGGTACTTTAAATTTAGGTACCTGAACTGGCCATTGACCTACATTTAAAATCATTTACCCTCTGGTAAACAAACAGTTCCCTATTGAAAATGGCCATAGAAATAGTTGATTTACCCATTAAACATGGTGGTTTTCCATAGCTATGCTAGTTTACCAGAGGGTATATAAATATCTCCAGCAACCCAGTGGTTTAGTGATCATTTCTCGGATCTATGGGCAGTATTCCCATCCCAATAGGACATACCACCCTAATAGGGACCCCAAAATAAAAAGAAAGAAATACCCTCTGGTTATTTAACAGTTTGCCATGCAAATCACCATTTTTAATAGGTAAACCATCTATAAACGGACCATTTTCCATGGCTAGGTTAAATAACCAGAGGGTAGATCCAAGACTAATCAGGATTTCGTTTGGGGGTATTAAATATTATTGGGGAAGGGATTGTACCTGGTTGTTTGTGTGTTTAATCAAATTTGCATGCATCAAAAAAAGGGTTCAATACTACATTGAACTGGGCACTTTGCATGTTTCTGGGTCACATGGGTCTTAACCGATTTTTGTTTGCCCATACCCCCATTGATGACATGCATTTCACATAATACTGAGTCCAGTTGTAGGGGACAACTTCCATTCCTGACATGAATCATCTCTTCTCATGGCTACACTCCAAGTCTTCCAGGATGTTCACCTCATATCCCAGTGATATCACATCATGTTCCTCCGTTGCAACCTATGTCAAACAAAAAACAACAGCCATCTACCCATTGGTCCATAAATGTAGAGAGAAAAAAATGATAATTGATCAAACTTCAAAATGGTGATGTTTCACTATTCATCCATTATTGTTGCTCGTTCTCCCACTAACCACCACCAACCATTAAGAACCAAAATGGGATACTGTAACAATCTCATTATATCATTTCATACATAGTCCATTCATTCTCAGATTATGACCATTATAGCCATATTATATATATATGAGTACATATCATATATATATATATATTCATATATCCATTCACTAAAGCCAGCTACCTACCCTGGCAGTTGGCTCCTTCAGCCGATCGTCGATTAAGCTCACCGCGCCTGCGCTTTATGGCTGGTTTTTTAGATCCCAAAATCCAAACCATCAGAAAGTTCTGGTGTGAAAAATTGTGTTTTACCCTCTGGTAAACTAACAGTTTGCTATTGAAAATGGCTATAGAAATAGTTGAATTACCCAGCTATAAAATGGTGATGTTCCTTAGTTTTTTGTATGTTTACCCAGAGGGTCATGGGATTTCAATGCAAAAAAAACAGCAACTTCTCCGAAGGAAATCCAAAGATGAAGTTCTGAAGATAAGATCCAACAGATCCAACAAAGATGAACTGTTGAGGTATCAACAACATGTATATATATATATATATCATAAAAGAACTTCATCTTTAGTTTAATTTGGCTTTCCATATATATATATAATATCATATAGTTTAGCACTTCATTTTTACTTTAAACGGGCTTCCTGTATATAAAACATGCTTGATCTCCCCTTGTGGGCAGCTTCTGTTTTTTTCGCCGCTTTGAGGTCATGATATCCCAATGATATCTGCAATATTCGCAGTATATCAAGTGCATACCCTGCACATTACCCTCCAGTAAATTAACATAGACCCTGGCAGATGGGGATTGGAAGATTAGTTTCCACTAAAAATTGGTCATTTTCAGGGTCTATGTTTATTTACTATAGGGTACCACTTGTCAGACAAAGCCACGTGTTTTTTTTTTAATATTTGTTGGTACCCTATGGATCCAAGCACTTCCGGAGAAGCTACTTGACCCCCCAAAATCATATCCCAGTCTTCCTCAGAAACAGCTGCACCCTCATCATGACCAATATCTGGAGCCATTTGGAAGATGACGGGGATATTATATATATATATATATCCAGGATGTTAATGATAATATAATATACTGCCATAATACTGGATTAACATGGATTGACCACATGGGATGGCTTATAATCAGCATGTTCTCCAGGATGTTAATCATGACGTACCCAAAAAACAATAAAAATCATCCATTTCAGTTGGATTTTCCATTATAAACCATCCATTTTGGGGTACACCCATTTATGGAAACCACCATTGGGGATGATTCCCCCATATGAAAAAAACCATGCAAGGCGTTTAACGTCGACCACGTGGGGTCACAGAATTTATCCAGAATATCATCCATTGTATCCTCATCACATCCGTACTATACTACAATGGCTTAACTGTTAACTATGGTTTATGGTAGATATAACGAACTAGTTTTCATGGGGATTAATGGTTTATAAAGCAACGTTCACATAACTGGGGGGCCCCATCCTGTAGCATGTTTCGGATGGTTTCGGTCACCATCATTGAGGCTGAAATCATTAAAAAAAACCAGTCAGCTGCCCACCCAGAACATGGCTAAATCCAGTCAGTTTCCCCATGCTACCCTCTGGTAAACATACAAAAAACTATGGGAAATCACCATTTTTAATGGGAAAATCCACTATAACTGGCAATTTTCAATAGCTATGTTAAATTACCAGAGGGTAAATCCCAATTCCATCCACTTGGATTCGCTGAACTCCGTTTACCAATCGGAAAAAAACCTCTGTGAAATCCAGCATTTGGGATGGTGAAATCCAGCAATTACCGGTTATCCTTCCCATTTTTCAGGGCTTAATAACCATATCCTGATATATATATATATATATATCTCTATAAATATGGTATAGTCTCCATAACTGGGTTAAAAAAGTTGTAGTCTCCAATTTTTTCATCCTGATTTCAGGCCCCCAATTTGGCCCAGCACCGATGGCCCTTGGAGTCCCTTGGAGTCTCGTGGAGTCCCCGGAGCCTTCAGCGCCCTCCTCGTCGGAAAGGCTCTCCGCCAGGCGCACTCCCGAGAGGCCGTACTTCTCCTGGAGCGCTGTCGAGGCAGGCGCACCTAGTGATCCTGTTCATGGCCATTAAACATATCCTTATCTTATCCGGTAATGATTGGTTAGTGACTAATCCTATCATGGCCATCAAGAGATTCTACTGGTTGGTTAGGTTAGTAGATACTCTTGTTATGGGTAAGAATCACCATTAAAAGTATGCAACCAGGTAATATATTCCTCTATTTCATCACCAATCAACAATGGTACAAGGTGCGGCCACCCAGTGATGCTTGTTGGTTTATAACCCCATCAACTACAAAAACATCCACCACCAGTCCTAGATATTGGAGTTGCTGCAAATCAACTTAGCTACCGGGAGCACCAGCGTGTAATGTTAATCATACCAATAAACATAAACAATGTAACCCTAGTAAGGATATTGATGGCAATAATGATAACACCGATAGCCAGGTTAGCAATGATAACAATGATCACAATGATCGCAGTGATCACAACAATAATAAGATTAAACACAAAAAACTGATAACAACTGGGTTGACGATTACAACTATTGATATTATGATGACAATAAGTGGTGATGGTGATGATGTTATTGTTCATTGTGCTGGGGTCATTATGGGTAATTAGTGATGATCATGAATATGGCTATGACTATGACTATTACAACGACTATCATTCTGGTGATGATGATGATCATCATGATGATGATGATGATAATGATGATGACAACTATGATTATGGTTTACAAGGATTTAGAAGGCATATAATTATATCATCCTTTCCTTAGCGATTTCAGAGGTGACCCCGCTTTATGACCCCGTGACGACCGAGCGCCCGACGTAGAAGCCACGCAATGCCTCAGTAAGAATGGCGATAAAAAAGGGCCCCAATTCGCCAACAAACCGAGAAAATTGTGTCTAAACCCGGAAAAACATCGGAGTTGTTGAAATCTTGGAAGACATATAACATATAGGTACCACAAAATTATACCAACCATATATGGTAATTAATCACTAACCATCACTAACCATCATTAACTATCATTAACAATCATGATGGAAGACAGTTTCAGAGCTTTGCATTTCATAATCAGTTGGCTTCCTCGAGATTTGGTGGATGATGTATGTCTGACTGCTTCCAAGTTGGTTTCTATTCGACCACACATAAAAACTGGCCTGTTCCACGACAAAAAAACAGGAAAACATATCGTGTTTACCTAGAAATATAACGGGTGGTTCCTGCAACATTTGGACTCACCCTCCAGTAAACTAACATAACTATGGAAAATCACAGCTTTTATTGGGTAATTCAACTATTTCTATGGCAATTTTCAATAGCTATGTTAAATTACCAGAGGGCAACCAGAAAATACAGTTAAAACAGTAAAGGAATGATGTATCATGGTTTATCACTGTATTATCACCATATTATCCCGATTATCACCACTATAAGCCATGTTTCGTGCTTTGGCTACGAGTCAAAACCCTGGTACCCTAGGTACCCTAAGATAGCTGGGATTTATGGATGTTCATTCCCCGAATATCGTAATAATAGGTTTTGACCAATCCTCCTTTTCTCATAGTCAAGGAACCATTCAATGACTTTATTAAGTTAGTCAATAAATCCTCGGATTCAACCTAATGTTTGTTGGTGATTAATCATCAGTTTGTTTAAACCCCATAACATATAGGTACCACAAAATTATACCAACCATATATGGTAATTAATCACTAACCATCACTAACCATCATTAACTATCATTAAGAATCATGATGGAAGACAGTTTCAGAGCTTTGGTTTATAACTCCAATAACTATGGTTTATGGTACGCAAATAACTATAGTTATGGGGGTTTATAAACCAACTTAGCTATCGAACGGGGGCCCCACATTGTGGAAGACAGTTTCAGAGCTTTGCATTCCATAATCAGTTGGCTTCCTCGAGATTTGGTGGATGATGTATGTCTGACTGCTTCCAAGTTGGTTTCTATTCGACCACACATAAAAGCTGGCCTGTTCCACGACAAAAAAACAGGAAAACATATCGTGTTTACCTAGAAATATAACGGGTGGTTCCTGCAACATTTGGACTTACCCTCCAGTAAACTAACATAACTATGGAAAATCACAGCTTTTATCATCTTTTATTGGGTAATTCAACTATTTCTATGGCAATTTTCAATAGCTATGTTAAATTACCAGAGGGTATCCAAAAATGCGGAATACCCAAACCTTGACATTTTGATAGTAAAAATACCCTGGTAGCCTTCTGTTCAAACCAAAGCAGCTGGGATTGATGGACGTTGATCCCACATGATCTCACCATATCCCACCATTCAATCACTTGACTGTTGTTGTATAAGTTAAATCCCCTCGTTAAACCCATATGTTAGTAGTTAATACATGTGTTGGTACTAGAAACATATACCTATATATATATATATATATTGGAAATTACCGTTCACCCCATTATTATCATGGTGGGATTTTACATGATATATATATATTGATATATATATATATATAATTAGGGGTTTCCTGAAATGGGGGTACCTCCAAATCATCCAATTTAATCGGATTGTCCATTACAAACCATCCATTTTGGGATACCTCCATGGAACCCCCCATATAAATATATACATAATATGTTATATATATATATATATTGAAAATACATGTATATATATATATATATTCAATAGATTTATACATATATATATAAATTGAACATACATACATATACATGCATATATATATATGTATATATATATGTATATATATATATGTATATGCAATGTATATATACGTGTCATACGTGTATATATATATATATGTAATGTATATATATATGCAATGTATATATATATATATGCAATGTATATATATATATATATTCAATAGATTTATATATATATATATATATTCACAATACATATATACATATATATATAAATTGAATATATACATATATTGCACCTGAAGAATAATGAAATTTTACCTTGTTGGCTTAGCATGTTGGCAACCGATTATCGGCTCTAAGTCGCGCGCCTCATCGCTGAGGATCCGATAGGCTCGATGAACCTGGCTCGATGGGGCCCCCCGGTTATGTTTGTTGGTTTATAAACCATGAATTAATCCCCATTAACTAGTTCGATATATCTACCATAAACCATAGTTAAACCACTTATAAACCAACTTAGCTATCTAGGGGGCACCTCTATGCTGTGCATCAATTTATATATTAAAAATGTGATTTAACCAATGAATGATGATGATGATGATGATGATGATGATGATGATTATAATGATGTTATGTATAGATATTATACCAACTGATTATATATGTACCAGTATATATATTGTATAAACAATGTATATATATACAGCAGAAATGAATTACAGATATATTCACTGACCGTCACTGACCTATTTCTTGGTCATGTTGAATCGTTTTGAGATGGTCTTCCTAGTCCTGGCCTGCAGGACTAACTGTGGTTTACAAAGATAATTAGATTCTCATGAATGTTGGTAAAACAATAATATACCCTCTGGTAAATTAACATAGACCCTGAAAACACCCAATTCTTAGTCGAAACTAGTCTTTCAACCCATGTCTGCCAAGGTCTATGTTAATTTACTGGAGGGTACTATAATGATGGTTAATGATGATGGTTAATGGTGATGGTTGATGATGATGGTTAATGATGATGGTTAATGATGATGGTTAATGATGATGGTTAATGATGGTTTATCACAATCTAATGATGTTTAATAGTGAGTACAAGCTTAATGTTGGTAAAACAACAATAAACCATCCCCAATTTCACCGTTTTGATAGGTGGTATATATATATAAACCATTCCCAGTCATTGGTGGTTTATGATATTGTTTTAACCACATTGGATCAGATCAAAATATCTTGAGGTATAACATGGTATAACCCACTACTCCTTGTGGGTCAAGAAGTTTCATCCATGGGCCATAGCCAGTTTTTTTTCACGGCCTGGCTTCACATGCGAATCATCAAGCTGTTACACTGCTGGCACGACTGCAAATGCCTAAATATGTCTCTTATACTCTCATGTGGTCGGGAAACTCTTGGTAGCTCCTTGGCTCCCCACTTAGATCAATTTAATTAGTAGGGAATATGGATAGTCACAACTCCCAATCGCTCCCTCCTATCCAGATAGTATATCAGTACTACTATAGAGTAACTTTCTCCAAGTCAGATCAAAAAGAACCAGCTGGTGCCGAAGAAAGTAATCTTTTCATGGCCAATCTTAGATTGCAAACAATCACTTTTGCCGAGCTGCTTCGGATTGGTTAGACTAACATATCCCTGTATATCATCATAAATAACAAAAGCATACAAAAGCTTACTAAAGTACCAATCCAAGAATTCCCCAGAATTCAGCAAATCTCACGGAAGGTGCACTTTTTCAACATTTTCTGCCGCAAGCACTGTGAAGCAGAGACTCCCCTACGGATGGAGCTGCACGAGACGAAAAATCGCAAGAAGACCCTTTGCATGAGAGAATCAGACCCCGGCACTTGTGGCACTATCTGCTTTCATGACGAGTGGGTTGTTTAAATGATGCCTTACATGTCGATCCTTGTAGTGTTGCACTCAACATCTCTATGTGTACGAGCTGAGGGTTGCTCCAAGGAGAACTGCAACTGCACAGAAGATGCAGCCAAAGGAAAAGCATCCATTTTGCTCTGATCGCTGATACTGTGGCTGCGCATGCCAAGCTGCAATGGTTGGGAAGTACCTGAAGAAGCCTCCAGCGGGAATGAAGCTCACGAGTTTCACGCGCCTGGGGTCGTAAACCGCGTAAACATCCAATCCGAAAATTTTGACCTTGCCGATGAGTCGGAAAATTTGCAGGTGGTCAAATCAAGGCAGAGTATCCCCATTTTTGGTATATAAGAAAATGATGCTCTAACATGCTCTAACCACTGCAAGTGGGTTGCAATTGTGGCAGCAACCGCTAAACCCAACTTCACCGGATGGCTGAGCATGTCTGAGACTTCCAGGGGTCGAAAAATCATGTTTGAAATCCATCAGCTTAGACATGATGGCCATCATGAAACGTTCTTTGCTAAGCAAACCAGAGTCACAGAGTCGAAGCCCCTGGGCACTCTATCAACTTCATTTTTGTCAGCATTGTAGCACTTGCCCAAGTTCACATTGCACTTGATCAGTATGTCTGGGTTTCCTCGTCCATTGCGGTACTTCCTGCAAGCAGCTTCAGGATGTTTGGAGAAGTAGATTGCGCCACCTGCAAAGCCGTGGTCTCCGCATCTGAATCCTTTCTGCTGGATTCCTTCGGCTGCATCATTAGAGGTTGCATGGTACAAGATCACCATCGCCAGAGATCAAGCTGGCTTGCTTGACACAAGATTTGAGCCACTATCACTACACCACGGCGAGAATTTCTTCCCTCCATTCTTAGAATGATACAAGCTTTCAAGTGTGACCCCAAATATCATGGTCCAGAAGTGAGTCTCCCTGGGGAGCTTGTTTTTTTCTAGGATTGCTTGCAGGGATGTAGACAGTTCCAATGCAAAATGCCGGCTGACCCGGACGAAGGCGGCATTCTCGCCTGCGATGCAGGTGCTCGCCGGGACATAGATCTGGAGAGATAAAATGGTTATAGTCTCGTTATTCCACTGGGGTTTCAAAAACAGGTCGCACGAAAAGCTGCAAAAACAGGTCTCATTTGTTTTCATCCATCATGGTTTGCTGAAATAAGGTTACCCTCTGGTAATTTAACATAGCTATAGAAAATCACCATCTTTAATAGGTAAACCATCTATTTCTATGGGCCATTTTCCATAGCTTTTTGTATTTTTACCAGAGGGTACTCATCATAACTTCTCCCCATGGTGAGTTAACTCTCCACAATTTCTGTCCATTTTTCATGGGAAAATCAAAAACGCTTCTCCAAGGGCAAAACGGCAAAATGGTGGGTTGACATTGGTGGGCTGGCACCGCCCCCTTTTTAGTTTTACAATTTCCATGTAGTTCAATATATCTACCACAAATCATACAATGTGTACCTGTTCGATAGCTAAGTTGGCTGAGAAAACTCCAATAGCTAGGACTTATTATTGTAGATACTGTATATCCAACAAGTCCTAGTATGCTATCTACCAGAAGTACCGTATTAAACCCTAAGTACTAAGTTGATTTACAACCTGGCATCTGTAGTTAATGGGTAAACCAACAAGCATAACTGATGGCCGCACCTTGTACAATTGTTCATTGGTGATGAAATTGAGGAATATTCTACCTGGTTCATGATGATTACCCATAACATGAATATAATCGTCATTAAACCAGTATAATCAATATATAATCAACATGTCATCATAATATACCTTGTACCGTGGCAAAAAAACATGTACCATGATTTCCATGGGAATAATTCAGGATCCAATACATGGAGGTACGTTAGTACCATATTGTTGCCCATATTTTGTGGGGATATTTCCTGAAATTCAGCCCTGAAAAATAGGCCAAAAATATATGGTAGGTACCTCCAATCGATCAGATCCTGGAATTCCCATACCATGATTATATGAACCAATACAACTTCTATATAATTATACTAGTACTATGAGTATTTCCATGTAATTCAATATACCTATATGGCAGTGTGTCAAAACCTTGTACCCCTGTAGTTCACATCAAAATAGCTGGTAAATGGATGTTCATCCCACTAAAAATGGTATTAATAGGTATTGATCCATAGCCATATGGATTATATGAACCAACCTCTATAGAATGCCACTGCAGGGCCCGCCTTCCGCCCGCTCCGTACGAGCTCCGTTGCGCTTGTCGGGATGGTACACGCGTGAGAGCTCTCGGAACGCCACGCGCACCTGCGTTTTGCAAAACGGGCGCGGGGTGAGAAGTGACCCTCCGGCAAAACGGATTCAATGGGATATGTTTATGCGATACTTATGGGATATTAAGGGAATATTAAATGGATATTATAAGTATAATAACATCTAATAACTAACCAACTACCCTCTGGTAAACAAACCATTTGCTATTGAAAATGACCATAGAAATAGTGAGTTTTCCCATTAAAAATGGTGATTTTACATAGTTGTTTTGTAAACGTTTACCAGAGGGTATTGGTTAATCAAACATAACAAGCCGGCAAATCCCCGAAGAAAATCGAGGTTCCTTATGGGAAAATCATCTATAAATGAGGGATTATCCATTTGATGTTTGATTACCGGAGAATAACCCAACTAGGCTTGTTGAGCAGGACATGAAAATAGATAAAAATAAATAGTATATCATATAAGTCGAGTAGTTTATTAGTGTGTCAAGAATATGATGGGCCGGCAATTGACTGCTATTTGAATGGGGATAATTTGAGGAAAAGGTGGATCTAGGGGTACCACACTGCTTAACTGATCCATGTTGGTAAAACAATCATAAACCATCCCCGATTTCACATAATTTCACTTAATAAATAGGTGGTATTTGTTTTTACCATTCCCAGTCATGTGGTTGATGACATGGTTTTAACCACATGACAGTAGTAAGTTGATGTAAGCTGGCTATGTAGGTTATAATTATAACTAGTTGGTGGTTTCAACCCCTCTGAAAAATATGAGTTCGTCAGTTGGGATGATTATTCCATTCCCAACTTTTCATGGAAAGTCATTCAAAATTCATTGGTTCCAGTCACCACCACTTTATTTCACTTTATCGAAAGCCAACCAGACAACATATCCTAACGAGCCCAGGAGGGACTCACCAGTTTTTTTGAACCCACCGGGATGATCAAGTCCATGAGAATCCAGCACTGTAGCTAACTACTGTAGCTAGCTATCAAACACTGTAAATGATGGGTTAGCTACAGTAAACACTAACTACAGTAGTATCAAACTATGTTTAGAATCCATCTAACTACTGTAAATGATGGGTTTTTTCATGGTTTCATGGGACCATCTAAGAACTGCTGCAGGATTTACAGTATGTCGATGCTGCACCTCATCGAGGGTAGCCCCAGGCTGTAAATGCAGTGTGTCCCATAGATCGTACTCATCATCTGCCATCAATGGCAGGGGGGAAGGCAAGTGGTGCTCCGGTTTCAATCTGCATCGTCTGTGTAGCAAATTCGAATTGGTCTCCCAAGAGGTCTTCAATGAATGAAGATTTGGGTGTGGAACCTGAAAAATGGGGTAGCTATACCAATAAAGTAGCAATGTTAGTAAGGAAATGATGATAAAGCAGTGGATTTTTGCGGTACACTGCAAGACATGTTGGATTTTTGTGCCCAGACTCCCAGATGGGCATCCCAGATGGGCAGAGACCCGTTTGCAAATCACATTTAAAGTGAAACCAAGATTGGCCAAACACTTCCAAAACATTGTTGAGTGCAAAGTCATAAATTCTCCAATGTGGACAATGTGGCAAATCAAAGTCTAGCAAAGCCTTAAGCGTTTCGTCGTGATTCTGCTGTGAGATTTGAAGGACTTGGCGGAGAGTTTGTCAAAGCTTGAGCCGGGAAGAGCCGGGAAATATTGGTTTCACCTGAAAGTAAGAATACATGCACGGATTGTAGGACGTACATGACCTGTACCAAGCCACAAGATGTATCATGCAATCTTCCAAGCTAACCCTGAAACGAAAGGATTCATCTGTAATGACTTTTCTTACTGCTTGAGCCTCGTTGAAAAAGAATGAGCAGTGCTTGCATGATCTTGCATACAGCTTGATGATCTTCATCAACAACGTATTTGTGCATTTTAGCCGCTTACCCTGTGGTAATCAAACATTGCATTCTGAAAAATCCACCATCGAACGTTCGATGATTTTGAGGATTTTCCCACATACCCTCTGGTAAACTAACATAGCTATGGAAAATCACCATTTTTAATGGGCAGAATCCACTATAAATGGCCATTTTCAATAGCAAACTGTTAGTTTACCAGAGGGTACACATACCCATTGTTTCCGTTCGGGGAGTTCCCAGCCAGCGATTTGTTTGATTGCACTTAAATATCATAGAAAAAGCACATCGAAAAAATATCAATTCTATCAATATAACCAATATAACATAATATAACCCTTTTATTGTTGGTATATCCCAATAATTTCCCAATATACTGTATAAATTACCATAGCCCATAAAATATCCCCATAAAATCCCATTAAATGTCAGTCCCCATCAAACTCGCAGATAAATGACAAGGTTAGAAGACTGCAGTGTGCTAAGGTAAGCATGCCAGTTCATGTGTACTGAGCTTCAGTCTGAGTTCCCTTCCAACACGACACGTAAACCTACGTATTGATAACTGTCAATTAGCTGATCCAGGAGATATGTTGTTGTTTTTATTGCGCCAAGAATGAAAGAAATACCCTAAACTGGCAATTAAGAAGAGGACACGATGAGAAACCGTTGCATTTGAGAGGTACCTAATTGTTTGACAAAGCCATACAGTATTCGGTCCGAGGTATTTGCATGTATTTTCAAATTACATGCAAATTGACAATGTTCATGAAAATGAACATGTTCTCCGCATGTCGCAGCATCTGTGCGAGTTGCTGCCGGATCAACGCGGCAGAAACACATGAGCAGTGTTCCAAAGCCGCAACGTCATTCCATTCAGTCCTGGTTGGTTACTATTCCTATCATGGATCTTGATAGCCTCCAACGTATTGGGTAGTTGATCAACGAAAAGGAATATTTTGGCAAGAAAAGACCTTAGCCTTGCAACACTTTCCGGTTGGACCTTTTTTGACGAGTTCATCACTGCGGAAATCGTTGCTGTTTCACGCAGGTACTATGCCACAAGTGCAGGCTTTGTGCTTTGTGTGGCGTAGTTGGCAAAGGGCTTGGTTTGGGGCTCAACAGGCAGCCAGCATGACCTTAGGCACAACACCGGCAGCCTCTCACTTTCTGCCCGCCAAATGCACCTCGCCAGCTTTTTGAATGTTCATTTGCCAGAATTGGTGGGAAAAGTTGCAGGAAACCCACATATTTGAGAGTAAAAACCTATGGGCGGGTTTTCTGTAGAATTTGCCAAAAAAAACAATCCATTCTTCGTTGCTCTTCCTTCACCAAACTAGCTCACTACCGATGTGTCAGAGCCTTTTGTTGCAGGAAAGTATCAAAAGAATCACCAAACCAACTTAAGTTGGCTAAAATTACCCTGCGGCAATCCAACGTGGCTAGCTGGGAAATCCCCTATTCACGGGAAAACGATCCTCTGGTAAACGTTTACAGTTTGCTATTGAAAATGGCCATAGAAATAGTTGATTTTCCCAGCTATAAAATGGTGATTTTCCATAGTTTTTTGTATGATTACCAGAGGTTAAACCTCCATTAATCACCATGAAATCCCATTCAACCACCATGAAATCCCATTAAATCACCATGAAATCCCATTCAATCACCATTAATCACCATAAATGGGGGGTGTTCCATTGCCATGTTTAATTGACGGAGGATAGAGAAGGTGTCTAACGCAGGAGCGGCCCCCCCTTGAAAATACCAGCCCTGGGGATGCCCCAATTCGGTCATGGGCAGCCTTACACAATATCATGAGGGTAGTGCCGCATAAAAATCCTTATGATCTGATATATATATATATATAATTACATACATTACATATATATACAGTATATCATATTACATAGATGTATATATATACATCATATTACATATGTATATATATATATCATATCATATTACAGAAAGTATAATATATGACATATATTATGTAGATGTACAATACGAATACTTAGTATGGTTGACATACAAAGTAGTCATGCTACATCATACGTGAGGTCATGATGAAATTTACGCAGCGAAAATCCCCGTGACATTCCCACTATCCCCCTATAAAATATCATCATGACCTGTGTCCATGCTATGCCAATAAGAAAACCCATGATATCCGCCATTGTTTGGCTGATTCACGCACTTTTATATCCACGAAATCGCACCATTGTTGTTGGTGAAAAATGTCCATGTTTCATGGTTAAATCACCATGGTGACCCCAATCTTTTACCCGTTAAACGTCCCCATGAAATGTCCTTTTTTGTTTCATGGTTACCCTCTGCTCATTTAGCGTAACTATGAAAAATCACTATGTTGAACAAAAAATAATCGAACTAAATATGCCATGTTCCATAGCTATGTTAAATTGCCAGAGGGCAACCAGAAAATACAGTTAAAACAGTAAAGGAATGATGTATCATGGTTTATCACTGTATTATCACCATATTATCCCGATTATCACCACTATAAGCCATGTTTTGTGCTTTGGCTACGAGTCAAAACCCTGGTACCCTAGGTACCCTAAGATAGCTGGGACTTATGGATGTTCATTCCCCGAATATCGTAATAATAGGTTTTGACCCATCCTCCTTTTCTCATAGTCAAGGAACCATTCAATGACTTTGTTAAGTTAGTCAATAACTCCTCGAATTCAACCTAATGTTTGTTGGTGATTAATCATCAGTTTGTTTAAATCCCATAACATAGAGGTACCACAAAATTATACCAACCATATATGGTAATCACTAACCATCACTAACCATCATTAACTATCATTAACCATCATGATGGTTTACATGCTGGAAACATGACATAGCTGGGATTTACGTATTTTGTAAGGATTCTTCCCCCAAGATATGGTAATTTCATAGCTTTAACTATTGGAAATCACCACTTTTAAGCTCAGCAAATCAAGGAACTAACTGGGCTATGGCTTCCATAGCCAACTGTTAAATTACCAGAGTTTTGAATTTATGAAGCATTACTAACCATCATTAAACATCTTTAACCAGCATACATAAACCATCCTGAACCCATGATTTTTCCCATGAGAAAAAGCCCGCACACCGAATCGGCAGCACCTTCAGGGCCTTGGAGACTGCCTTCCCTACAAAGTCGTCACGCCTGGGCCATCGATGGTGGCAACACTGGGAAGTGAAAATATCACCATGAACATGTGATGAGAATAGGCATTGAACCATCAAAATGTGGTGAAAATAGGCATTGAAGCATCAAAATGTGGTGAAAATAGGCATTGAACCATGAACATGTGATGAGAATAGGCATTGAACCATGAACATGTGATGAGAATAGGCATTGAACCATGACCATGTGATGAGAATAGGCATTGAACCATCAAAATGTGGTGAAAAAAGGCATTGAACCATGAACATGTGATGAAAATAGGGATTTTACCTTGAACATGTGATGAGAATAGGCATTGAACCGTCAAAATGTGGTGAAAATAGGCATTGAACCATCAAAATGTGGTGAAGATAGGCATTGAACCATCAAAATGTGGTGAAAATAGGGATTTCACCATGAACATGTGATGAAAATAGGGATTTCACCATGAAATTTGACTGAGAAGCCCAGCGAAACTGGGCGAATCATCAATTTCAACTGGGGAACGCGACGCCCCCCGCAGCCGGCCTCGCTGCATCCGGGCACTGCGCCAACCAGGCCAGCAACGTTTGTCGCATGTCCTGCCACGGTGCCATGGTTGCAATGGAATACGACGCCCTATGGGATTTAACTTGATTTAATTCTAAGAATAATGGGCATAGAATGGGTTTATAATGGGTATCATATATTATATATATAATCAGTTTGAATGATCTTAAATATGATGGTTGATGGTTTTTCTGGATGTTGATGGTCATCCATCTGACTATGGGAATTCAAGTATATCGAAGTGATGGGTGGTTGGGGAAACCCCATGGAGGGCTTCCCCAATGGGGGAACCCCCATGCATATTAAGTCATATCAGGTACAGTATTTACAATGTGGGGCCCCCCAGTTATAAGTTGGTTTATAAACCCCCAGAACTATAGTTATTTGCGTACCATAAACCATAGTTATTGGAGTTATGTACACCAACTTAGCTATCGAACGGGGGCCCCACATTGTAGCCCTAAAAGTTTCATCGTGGTGCTAGAAATCGGGAACCCAACACAAAACATGACCATCCACTATCATCCAATGTTCAAGTTACATTAGGGACTAATGAGTCTAATGAGGTACGATCATCCCACCAGCACTCATCATTAAAATCCCTATGGATTGAGTATTGACCATTTTTAGCACCGTTAGGGGGTTTCCTAATAGCTGGTGGTATCCCCAGGGGCTTCATCCATTTATCATTTACTGATGGATTTTCCATGAAAAAAACCATCCATTTTTGGAAATGCCTATGGAGTCCACATTGTTGAGAAACACCATGAAACACGCCCATCTAGCCATTCCATTGGGGCAGTCAATGAGTGACCCATACAAAGGAATAGAAGCTTCCATTGTGAAACCAATCAAATAGAAATGCTGCGCCACATCATCCAAAATCTAACCGGTAATCATTTAGTATCTGTTTCCATATCTCGCCTCCAGCCATCGGGGGTTTGATCATATCAATAAATTTGGAGCAGTCAAGCGTTTCATCTAGCGCTGTCAGCAACTCCCGAGGATCCTCTGTGTTGTTGGTGGAGCAGATCTTCTCAACAATATCAGCCTGGACTGAAAAAAGGAGACAGTCAGACGAGCGGACGAAAAACGTTTCAACCTTACTTGCACAAGAGTGAAAGATCACAATATTCAAGATCCAATTTCTATAGATTCAGTTTCAAGTTTATGGCAAAATGTGTCCAGCCCCTCAAGCCCAAGTTGATGAAACATCTCCACATGCCAATCATAGGCTTTTCTGAAGAACTCCCCGACTCGAGTTTGATCATCTGATAATAAAGAACATAGCCTCGGAAATTGCCAATTTCATCCAATTGTTTTAGATGATTTTAGACATGTACCAAAAAAAAATCATCCAATTTCTAGATGATTTTGAAAGAATAATTGAATACCTCCAAAAGATTGTCATGTTATCATCGAAGCAGTGGCTATGTTCGGTGACTACCGGGTACCATCCGTCTCCCAGATCCCAACCTGAACGGAAAAAAACATGGGAAAATGATGCAAAATTAACGATGGTTAGTCAGCCATCACATCCCGCCATCCAGTCCGAATTGAGATTCTGAGTTCAAACAGAATTTACCCTTTGGTAAACGTTTACATAACTATGGAAGATCATCATTGTTAATGGATAAATCAACTACAAATGGCAATGTTCAATAGCAAACTGTTAAATTACCAGATCCTAGAGGGTACGCCATCTACTAAAATCAAGAACATCGGTGTTTTACAATCCCATCCGAGCAAAACATGACCATCAAACAGCTTGTAAAACCACTGTGGTTGATGCTGTCACACCTCGTTATACCCCATTGAACCCATCATTTCCAGGTTGGTGGTTGACCTACCCCTCTGAAAAATGATGGAGTTCGTCACTTGGGATGATGACATTCCATTCCCAACTGTTTCATGGAAAGTCAATCCAAATTCCATGATATTCCATGGTTCCAGGAAAACCACCAGCCGCAGCATTTTAGGAACTTTCTTCCCAACAAAAATATGGCTTTTCCATCCGCTGAACCCCGGGCTTCCCATGCCGTGGCCGCCGCCTGGGCATCTTCCTGTAGGGATTCGTCCAACTCGTCGGAATCCTCGACTCCGAAGACCTCCGGGATCGCCTCCATGAACCACCTCGGTTAGACCAAAAAAAAACACTAAAAACTGTACAAAAATACCATCATTAATATATGATGGTTAATGATGGTTAATAATGATGGTTAATGATGGTTAATGATGGTGATTAATGGTGATTAACTATGGTCATATGGTAAATATATATATATATATCCGTATAAAGGCTCATGTGGGTTAATAACTAGATAGGTTATATATGATGATAATATATATATAATACTGGATAATTATATATATATAACTATGCATATATTTATATATACAGAACATGTCGGCGGTTTTGACCTGAACAAAAACAAATCTTGCAATTTTGTTGGCAATTCGGTGAACTACATCACCAAGCACAGTCACAATGTTGGCTGGTTGATGGTTTCAACCCCTCAATATGAGTCAGTTGGGATGATTATTCCCAATATATGGAAAAATACAAAATGTTCCAAACCACCAACCAGTTGGTAAATATACCAAAACATCCAAAAACACTCAAAAACATGGGGGGTTCCAAATAATATCAAATAATGGGGGGGGTACCCCAAAAGCTGGATGGTTTATAATGAAAAATCCGACAATAAAACGGATGATTTGGGGGTACCCCCATGACTTAGGAAACCTCCACATCCAAAAAGATATCACCACAATACGTTGGGGGCTGATGATCCTTCTTGCATTCGAACATCACTTGCTGATTGAAAAATGGCAAGAATCACACCAAAACTGAAACTGAGCGGAAAAAACAAACACAATAGTGTGATAAACCCAAAAATAATCCATCCCCAATATTGATATGTATGGGTGGCAAATATTATCCCCAAATGCTAGGTTTATTATTGAGTTTACCATATTATATAAATGGCCATCCCTTTAAAAGCTCTAAGACAAGAAGCACTAGAGATCCATAGATGCCATAGTGCCGTAGTTTGAATGCGAGTGCGACAGCTAGATGGTCATTTTCAAACGGGTAGATATACATTTTGAAGTACGGGAGATGGGTACGTCCATCCCAAACTCCAGTGATTCATTATTCATATGTGTCATATCCTGTAATCAAAGGTGGCTTGCTGGAGAATTCCCCACCAACAGTAAGCGATGATTTTCCCAGCGAACTAAACATCCAGTATTAGGGGATTTCCATGGATTTCCCCGCTTGACATGTTTGATTACCAAATTTCTATCCCACTGTGAATGCCATGGCAAAACTCATCGAGATGGAAAAATCATCATAGCGACTCTGGACTTTTTACTCAGGTAGAAATGCTTGGCGGCTTTCCCAACGGCGAAATTGCCAGGTTGTTTTTTCACATCGAATTTTCACCCCATCAGAAACCCCGAGTTTTCACTAAGTTTTCGTTCAAGCAACTTAGCAAGAAAAAACCTGGAGGCCCATTCCGGAGGTTTCCATAAATGGGAAGTACCCAATAGCTGGATGGTTTACACATGGAAAATCCCATTAAAATGGATAATTTGGGGGTACCCCCATTTATGGAAACCCCCATATATAATTCAAAAAAGAAATACATGTTGATCAACCGTTACTTTCTTCGAGTGATCCCCACTCTGAAACAATATTCTGACATAGTTTCGAACATCTGGAAGTATGTATGGCATACAGTAGATTTTCTGCCACTCTATCTGGCATTCTATTCTGGCATTCTTTCTGGCTGCCATATGTTCTGACATTCTATCTGGCAGTCACGATGAGCTGCTAAAAGAGCACACCAGGAGCGAAAGAGAAGAAGTAGGACTAGGAGGCAGACTAGGCGGAAGAAGAAAAGGCGAGAAGAAGAAGAAGAAGAAGGAGGAGTTGCACCTTTATTACTGTAAAACCCTCACCTGGCAGTCCTGGCAGGTGGGGAATGGTATAAAACCAACATGATATCCAGCTGAGCTTTCAGCATCTCCATATCTGTCTGCATGTTCTTCTGCTTAAAATTGAAGGCAACCTCCGGCATTGCCGAGCGGGGCTGTTTTTTTTTGGTGGGAAAAGGGCGCAAATAATCATTTTAATGCATGTTTAATGTGAAAATTAATGTGGAATAGTACCCTATGTTCAGACTTATCCGTACGTAGACACGACACATCAAAGGCAAAGCAAGGGAAGATTGCGCGCTGACAAAGTCAGGACTCATGACAACATATGAGCTGCTGAAAATATTCTAGATACGGGTGGTTCCCATAGCTACCCGGAGTGCCATTCCTTGCTTTCTGAACATTCTCATATGGGTGTGTCTGAAAATGTCGTGTACCCCTAAACCCAATGGTTTTGCTGATCATTATCCCTATTAAATGGCTATTAAATGGCTATTTCATTGGGAATATACCCTATTTTCAGACAAACCCATATTTCTGATCCATATCAACCAGTAATCATAGTGTTTCTTATTGTACCAAAGCAGGACTCGACCCAAACATCACATACCCAATAGGCTGTGAATACCCATCAGAAAACAACGACGATGCAAGTATCCACAATGAAGAGAAACTCTGAAATGACTGACATTTTTTCAGAATGCCTTAAAATCTCATGGTTCATCATGGTTCATCATGGTTCATGATCATATTTCTATTTCAGATTGCCATTGTCTCGGGCCCATCCACCATTCTCAGGTATACCGTTCCCGAGCTGGCACCTCCCCTTGATTCATTTTCCCTCGGCACTCGTGCTTGCGAGGGTCGTCCTGTGCAAAATCAATAAGCTTCTGACGCTTTTGGTGATTGCTTGGACAAAACGAATTCATTCTTTGTCATGATGCAAAACAGATACCGTTGCGTACATGTTTTCTGAGTTTGTCTAGTCATATACCAGTGCAGTTCTATTGATAAGAGGATACATAACCATTAAATAAACCATAGCTAATCATAGCCCCCATATCCCAACTTGTGTGGTTCATTTCACCATGGATCTCCTCAACATTCCTCAACTGCACCAAGCATGAGTCATATTACTGGCCGGTCCTGGCGATATCATATAGTGGAATACAAATATATATATAATATATATATATTATATATATATATATATGTGAGCGATTGTGAAAAACCTAGGTTCACGGAAAGGACATCCACAAATTTGGGAAGGTCCCATCGCTTACCACACGTTTGTACAATAATGGTATATGGTAAACTTGGGGGGTATCGCTTGCAGGAAACTGCTGCATTTATATATATATATGTGATGAACTATGAATAATATGTGATATTTGGGTATCACTAATGTGGATATTAGAGAAATATGATGACATAACCTTGAAAAGGGGTATCGCTAATTTGGGAAGGTCCCATCGCTTACCTCGTGTTTTAAACAATTTCCATCAATTTCCATAAACCAATGTCCGTCGAATACATATTTAGTATTGCCGGGGTTTTTACGGTTGCTCATGTGTTCCTAGTATTGTATGATATCTATCTGGGTAAATCATCTAATAGTTCGAACTAATCTGAAATAATATGATAAATAATGTTATTTTGGGATAGCTGGCCCTACTAATTTAATCATTCCAGTGCGGTCACGACGTGAGCTTGTGATAATTTACCCAGATATTAATATTATCATATGATACCTATATGATAAATATCATATGTGGCTGGCTTGGCTTCGGCTCAAAGTGATGAACACCCGCCACCTCTTCGTCATCTCCTAAGGAATTGAACCTGGGTGGGAACAAGTGCGAACAAGGCTTACCTTCTGCTTTTAGGCGGCAAAAAGAAATACATTGTCGTTTTTCCTTTTTCGTATGCAACATGTGGGGCAACTCATCTACAAACGGGGGACTTTTATTGTTTTGTTGGATTCCAAGACAGGGTAATCTGTTGTTTTTTTGCGGCGATCCAATTCCTCTAGGTCTTCTGAATGTCAAGATGGCCAAGCAGAACTGGTCAAGTAGATTAATATGGAGGTTTCCTTCAATGGGGATACCCAAAATTGACTTTATAATAGAAAATCCCATTAAAATTGATGATTTAGGAATACCAGCATTTTAGGAAACCCCCATATGGATTCTGACCCTTTATCACAATAAAGCCCCTACCGCGTGCCCAACCTATGAGAATCTAAGGAAAAACACCACACAAGAAACAAGTCAACTATGGAACTAGGTAAACGATGGAAAAAGCGAGCTAACGCGCCGGTAAAACAGCAATAATGTATGAATTAGTACATATCAAATTACAGGATATGAGTAAAAAACAGTGTTTCTATGTGGTGGTTCCCAATCAAGATGCGACTTCAACACGAAGAGACAACTTAAATCAAGACCCCAGGATTTTACAGGCAATTCCATATGATTACTCTTATTATTACTATTGCTATTATACACTATTATCCATTAGTAACCCAATTAGTCCCCAGTACCTTCTGGTAAATTAACATAGCTATTGAAAATGGCCATTGATAGTGGATTTACCCATTGAAAATGGTGATTTTCCATGGCTATGTTAAATAACCAGAGGGTAAGACTACCAAATCATCCTCCAAGTGACGCTGCCCTGGACATGCTGCGGTGTGAGGTAAACGGCGACAGCGAACCGCAAGCGAAACCGCAGCGATCCGCGTCCAGGACTGTGAAAAACTCACCCGTCCCTTCAAAAGAGCCCGGCTGCGGGCGGAAAAAATCGAGACCGGGGCCGCAGTTTGGTCAAATAGCCATTTATATTAATAATCTATACATATCTATAATATATTTGCAATCTATAACTATATCTGAATCATAGTGCAATTTATTGCTACAATCTATGCCTGTTGGTTGCTGAGAGGGAATCTTCTATCTAACTACTGGGAGAATGAGCATTCTGAAAAACCGTCATCCCACGGGCCCCGGGCTATTTGTTCGGTCCGCAAAATTCCCACAATGGATGATGAAAAAAAAAACGAAACAGGTTGAACACGTGTTTTTTTGGTGCTAAACGCAGGGAATCTTTGGGAATGATCCCAGTCATCACTAGTGATGTCATCATCCCAACCGCCAGCAACCCATCCAGCAACCCTGCGTAAAACGCACCAGTAAGTTTTCACCGGCTCCAGGCCAACAGGGATTTTGACGTAAAAGTCACCATGAAGTATGGTGAAACATATGAAATTTTGTTGGATAATTCATGGTTGATTGCTTTGTGTTTCACTATAGTTAATTAATGTTAATTAATTTATAATGGTTAGCTAACCATTGGAGAATTTTGCTGGTGAATTCGTCAGCATTTTTTTCTTATGATAAAAGCCGTCATCAGAAACCATCATCATCCCAATGCTTGGGGACCGAAGAATCGGTTCCCCAACGACGACTTCGGATTGTAACTACTACTAGGTGTAGCTCAGAAATAACCAACAGTGGTTTGGGTCATGGCTCAGATTGGTGAGGCACACAATGTAGGAATACGTAGGATGTCAGTGAACCTCCACGTTGACAGATTTACACAAAGGAAATCGCACAGCAAGCAATGGAAAAAGCATCAAGGAACTGAAAAGACAGACTCCATCAAACCCAGAAAGCATGGCTCAATTCAGATGCGTGCCGGCTTTCGAACATAGATATAAGATGATATAAGTGCATGCCGTACTACAAATGAACGTCAATGTTTACTGTTCCCAACACTGGGGCATTTTGGCAGAATCTGGCCCCATCGAGTGTGAAGTTTGGAATACACTCTGGTACTTTAACAGTTTGCTATGGAAATTTCTATGGAAATTTCACCATTTTTGGTAAATCATGTCTCACTAAATGGGCCAGGCGGCTTCCAGTTAACGGTCAAATTACCAAAAGGATCCAAAAGGATGATATCCAGTTATACATACTGTATATTTCTTTACTTACATCCCTATTTCCTCCCATTCAATCCCAATATTAATTTCAGTTGTATCAGATACAAGTTGTATCACCAGATTAATCGTTGGTTGCGCCTCCACATTTCTGACGCAGCAACTGTTTTTGTTGACCTCTATGTGGATCTGTCCTCTTATGTGGATCTGTCTGACAATTGGTACACCACGCATGGTATACCGTGGTATACATGGCCTTTTGCTATCTTTTGATTGCGAAACTGTACGAGTAGTTGATTCAAACTGGAGGGGTACCCGGGTACCCTATTTTTAGACAAGCCGATGTACCACAAATATTTGGGTGTACTGCAAATACGGATAACATCACTAGAATTGAATTCAAGTTAGTGTGGTTACGAAGTTACGAGTAACAGCGGCCAGAATCCACAACGAGCTTCTTGGTGGGACTATAATAGTTGTACTGCTTGGAAAACCTGGATTTGCATCATTCCGTGTGATACATCGATCAATGATGTTCGATCCGAACAAACCAGTAGTCAGTGGCCTTGCCGCTATCCACTGCTCAACCCAAACGTAACGCCAACATGATTTTGTCCGCGCTCAGCATGACAAACGATCGCTAGCACTGGATCAAGGAATAACCTGGCGCGCTATGCCGAGGTATCCTCATCCCAATGGGGAATCAAAACAGAACGGGTAAAATAATGTGAATCGCCTATATACAACGGATTGATCACCATCCCCAAATACGAAGACTTCGAGGACATCGGATTTTTTCAGGTAACTACATGAATACAGCATACACACAGGTTACATCTTGCAAATCTTCATAATAACAGGATTTTACATCTTCGCGTCAGCTCTTTCGTGGAGATGTTTCTTACATGCTCAATCGGCGCAAAAAGGGAACTATCATGAACTATCAATTTTGAAGTGTTTATGTTCAACTTTAACCGATACCAAGAAGATACGAAACATATGTTGGAAGATCAGCGCAAAAAAAAACAACCGCAAAGCCTGGGATTTAAATCCCCAATTCGTAATGCCTTAGGGGATCCCATAGTAAAACCATTGGTTTCAATACTCAAATGGTCATCCATGACTTGGATCAGTTTGGCTACCCCCAAGAAAATCCATTTTAGGACAGCTCCATAGGTCCTAAGATTGGATTTACATCTCCATTTTTTCTGATTTCTGATACATAAGGGCATTAGTGGGTGTCTGAAAATGGTGGTCCACCAGTCATGTTAATAAATGATGATCAACCAAGGGATCTTAAAGTATCGTATTTTCAGACACTGGTGGCTTTAACAATCTTGAAAATTATTAGTCAATGGAAAGGATTATCCCATATATTATGGAAAATAAAACATGTTTGAAACCACCAGCCAGATTAGTAAAACTATGATCTATGCATGTTGACTAGCCTCTGGTAATCCAACAGTTTGCTATTGAACATCATTATATCCTATGAAATATCCCATGCTATATTCATAATATGTTTCTATGGAACTTGTAGCACATAAATATATATATCTATATAAGTATATATACCCTCTGGTAAACTAACATAACTATGGAAAGATCCACCATTTTCAATGGGAAAATCCACTATTTCTATGGCCATTTAATAGGTAAATCACCTCTTTCAATGGGCCACTTGCCAGGTATTCCCCGGCACCTTCTGCCGTCTCGCCACCAATCTTTCGTGCCTCGCACAGACGGGAAGTTGCCAATTACCAATATATGAAATAGCCAAGGTAGATTCATAGATTATGAGTTAATATTATATAATATAACATGATATAAAATTATGCATTATTTATAATTTATATCATATGATATGATATGATGTAATAACATATAATTTAATTTAACATGATATAATGAAAATAATGCAACATATTGTATATATATACATATAAGCATCATATAATAATATAAGATAAAACAATATATTATAACACAATATAATATGATGTTATATAATATTATACAATATTGCAAAATATAATACAATACAATATAATGACATATACTATGATAGAATAAAATCAACTGTTATATAATAAAGTATGATATATACCATATAATATGATATAGTATGATATGATATGATATGATATGATATGATATATAATAAAGATAATATGATATGATACAATATCATATGATTACCTATCACATATATTACCTGTAACTTTTAACATATATATATATATATGTATGTATATAACATACATATATGACATGTATAGTAACATGTGTAGTATATTATACAATATATTACATGTATATATCATGATATATAATTTATACATATACTATACAATATATACCTTACACATCCTTACACCGTAGAACTGTACCTTCTCCTTCCCTTCGCCCCGGTGTCGCCTTGAAATACATCACAGCAGATGTGGCACAAAGCACCAGCCCAAGCCAATTGATGGCCGTAATTGGAGCACCAAGAGACTGGCAGTGGCTCGAAAAACGATCTCAGAGGTATGCCCAAGGACCCCAAGGATCTTCACCACTTTCAATCGACGAGTCTATGAACAGATGGCAGTGTGTCAAAACCAATAGTACCCCTGGTGAACATCAAAATAGCTGGTAAATGGATGTTCATCCCACTAAAAATGGTATTAATAGGTATTGATCCATACCCAGATATTCAGAATGCTATCCTAGCCATGATATCCTAGCAGGTCTTTCAAAAAGAAGTTCAGGCTGCAGCCCCGAAGGCCCGAACTTCAACATCCAGGAACCTGTTCAGAATGGGACCAATGGGACCCATCTGGTAATTTAACAGTTTGCTATTGAAAATCACCTTTTTTAAATGGGAAAACTCACTATTTCTATGGTCATGTTCAATAGCAAACTGTTACCAGAGGGTAAATCCTCCGTTTCTCATGTCTCGATCTTCTCAGGTACACTTTTGGTGGCAAGGATTGAGCCCATTCGAATGTAAGAGGCATTGATTTTCTTTGGTGCTTCCAAACTAAGAATCAACCATTCTTCCCATCAAAAGCCTATAGTCTGAGCATAAATAGTATAAATGCCTGAAATATCTTGAATTTTCCCAATAATTACCTGGAAAATGAAGAGATATCGTCGTCCCATCCCATCCCACCATCACCACGACGAACCGAACGCCGCGAACGCCGCGCTGCCAGGCCTGTGCCTCGATAGGCAACACCGTCACGGTGTGAAAGGGCACCAGCAACGCTCCAAAGGTGGCAGAAGTGATTTGAATGAGTCGCGTATGGCCTATGACCTCGCGGCAGAGGTGAGATACCGAGCATGAAATATGATGACTTGGGCTGGTGAAGCAATACAACATTTTAATATATATATATATATGAAAATAGAATAGGATAATATAGGAGATCGTGGGAATGGGCTGAACATACATGGTAGTTCTATTATTATGGGTATATCTGAAAATAACATTGGGTAGAATGGGTTGACTTGATGTTTTACTATGTTTTGACCACTGGAGATGTCACCAACAAATGGGGATACAATGGGATCTTGGGAGGTTAGGAGAAGGTAATGCTTGACCTCCTTGAGGTTAAACCACGTCACGATATATATATATATATACATTTATTTATGTATATATATAATGGTGACATAATAGGATTTAATGGGGATGTAAGTAAGACACATCAGGGTATCAACCAACCGTTCGATGGTGATATGTTTTGGGATATATAAGCCAATATAAGCAACAATAGCTATAACATTTATAATATATATATAGTTATATATATGCAGGTGACCAATATGACATGTGTGTCTGTATGAAAATGGGGGACACCTCCAATTTCAGGCCATCAAATAGTGGGAAAATGATGGTCTCCGGTGTTTTTTCTTGGTGGTTCATCCCAGGAATCGTAAGCAGTAACCCATGTTGGTCGAAGCATCAGCCAAAAAAACGAATTGTAAGGCACAAACAATATGGCATCCCCAAAAAAAAAGAAAACAGGCACTACTACTGTTGTAATCTGTTATACAGCATAACAACATATGATGATATCCATCTCAGATATCGGGATACTGCATCATATATGTATATTATATATATATTATATATGTATATATAATTATATATATACGTATTGTAAGTATTCGATGGCAATCAATCCCACAATATTCCTCTTGCATCCTTATTTAGATTGAGACCTCGGGGTGCTACCTCAAACAACATGTGCGGAGGAATTCCGGCACTTGCAAGCCATCACAGGCTACAAACATGTTATGACTCGTCGATGTTGAGCTACCTCAAAAACATGCTGGTCAATTTGGATCATCACATCAAACGGGGCTGAAAATAACCTATAGTACCCTCTGGTAATTTAATATAGCTATTGAAAATGGCTCATGAACAGTTGATTTACCTATTCCAAATGGTGATTTTCCATAGCTATGTTAGTTTACCAGAGGGTATATTGAAAACCAACAGCCAGCTTAGTCTACCTCTTTGGTGGCACTACAAGGGGAGCAGTCTGTGAGTGACCGGTCTGGCTCCAACAATTTGTTACAAATGGTGTGTTTTTTTTGCGATTAAGGAATAAATGCAGTGTAGAATAGAGGGAACGAACAAAGTTGTAGAGTTACTGGAGTTTATCATCACTTACTTTCCACATATGTATCTTCTCAAATCTAATATCGTCAAATCATCAATTTCATACAATTTCAATATTTCATGGGCAGTAAAAATGATCTGACGAATGAAGATATTGAAATAAAGATCCTTCATTTTCAATTTTAATATTTCACAAATCTCAAAGATCTTAAAATCCTCTGATTCGAATGAAATCGAAGATCTTTCTTCGAAGAAAACTTCGCTCCGGACGCTCATTGCATCGCATAGGCCTGGAGGCTGAACGGTTTCTTCTGCGATCCCACAGGTGCAAGATTTGAAAGACATTGAGAGATATGTGAGATATATATGTGTATAATTGTATAATATATAATTATATAATATATAATGGTATATATATATAAATGTATATATATATATGTATATATATATATAATTACGTATATATAATATTAAAAATATTATATATACATATACATAATATTATATATAATACTATATTATTATATATATGATATACAATCTATAGCCAACATGTGTTGTTTTGAAATCTGGGGATGCACCAACATTAGGAACCCAACACCCCAAAAAAGGTGGACGGATTCCTACCAAGATGACCAATCCAGTTGCCAGGGGATAATGTTCAGTATATCCCAGGCAATGTTCAGTAGGATAAGGGGCAATGTTCACTCATAACCTTACTACCTGGTAAACTAACATAGCTACTATTGAACAGTCGCCAATTTAGTTCGTTGATTTAGCCATTCAAAATGGGGATTTTCCACTTCGCTTTTTGTATGTTTACTCCCGAGAGATTTGAGGCAACAGCTCCCGGGATTGGAGGCCTATGATGAACAGCATGTGGCAAACGCCGCCCTTGTTCAGCAGCCACGGAAGCGACCAAAAACCAGTCCACCTAATCGCATCAACAGGGATGAAACAAGGAGAACAAATAAACATAGGAAACTACAATGTGGTGCCCCCCAAGGTAGCTAAGTTGGTGAACATAACTCTAACTGTTGGACTTATGGTAGATATATTAAACTAGTTAATGGGGTGAAAAACCAACCAAGATAACTGAGGGGCACCACCTTGTACTCTACTTCGTGAGATCCCCCCGGAATAGAAACATCCTGACGCTTTTTCGGGCATAAAATCTAGCGACTCTAATTTGACAGATGGGGAATGATGGGGGAAATGCCAAAGAAAAAATCAATCAAAACATTGGAAAAACACTATTCTAATTTTCCATAGCTATGTTGGTTTACTGGATGTTAAAACTGTGAGTCTGGAAATGGTGTAAACCGTCATTGCCTTTGAAATAGGAAAACAAAAACAATGCTACAGAGGATGGACATGTCAATCTATGTCAACGGAATCGTAAGCGACTTAGTTCACCCCAGTATATCCCAGGCAATGTTCAGTAGGATAAGGGCAATGTTCACTCATAACCTTACTACCTGGTAAACTAACATAGCTATTGAAAATTGCCCATTTATAGTTGATTGAATTGTCCCACTAAAAATTGTGATTTTCCATAGTTTTTTGTATGTTTACCAGAGGGTACCTGGGGTTAACCACCAAGTAGTTTTTTAAGCCTGATATCCCATCATGATCACATTGAGGTGACCAATGACGTCAAACAAGAAACCACGGTTTAAAACAAAACTGGCTGAGAACAGGATTCCCGTTCTTTTAACGGATTGTCATCCAATCCCCAATATATTAGCTTAGATTTGGGCAAGTATAATCCCCTCACTTCTCATCAACCAATCATAATTTATCAACTCTACATCATCCAAATATATCAAGGGTAGGGTTCAGAAAAAATATAATTAACCAATAAATTCAATAAATGACAGTTAAATCAGTGAAAAATTCCGCATGAAATATCCTACGTTCGATGGTTTAAATCCCCATCAAAATCACGATCAAAATCCGAGTGCCGAGTAGCTCATAGACAATTGACCTTGAGCATGGCCCCGAGTAGCTGGCTGTGAAAAAAAATAAAATGTGTCCCCGTTTTTTTATTCCAAAATTCATCCACAAATGGATCTTTTAAAAATTGGACATATATATTTTTTGATCAGCTATCAACATCTATCAACTGGATATGAGTTAATGGGATAATGGGAACACACATATGTGTTTGTTTTTTTCCAGGGAAATTCAACTGAGTCAAGATACAATAAAGGATCAACTAACCAATGGAGCCAACCCGTAGGGAACCCAACGGAGGAATAAAAAAAAAAATGCCCAGTTCGCGCCATTGTAAAACCACCAAACGGTCCGTAGGTTAAATGGGGATAAAGAGTTTGGGGGGGCAACATCTCCAATATTTCCAGTATATTTATATACACCCATTATATACCTATCATTGTAAAAACCGTTCCTATCGATAAACCACTATCTAAAATTATGGAACATCTGGAACATCACCTATTTCAAGAAATATGTCAATTGTAAAATGGGATAAACATTCCTATAAACCTATAAGTAATTCAATGTCTTTAGTTTATGGGCAACATTGACAGAACCATATTTATCAATAGGAACCACATGTTACCATGAATGCTAGCATTCACAATTCATGGTTGGGTCCTTTATACATTGCCAATCTTAGATACCCTGCAAACAATTAAATTATTTGCTGGTTAGTAGATATTCCCATTCCCATTAATACCAAAAGACTAATGGATTAAAGTAAGTATCCATGTAAGATTGACCTAGTATATTCCATAACTATTAGATATCTATAGTCAATAGAGCTTAATGGTAGCCCCGTAAGAAAATCACAAAGTTACTCCAATAGGCTAATTAAGAAAACTTCCACAATTGTTAATCACCATGTCTTAATTCCCACACCTATTGATCAATATACCTATAGTTAATGGATGCTAAGATAATATATATAGTTAATAATGTTCTATCACTAATTTCTCCATATATATATAGTAGAATACGTATAGCATGTCTATAGTTGGGGATAACAGGACAAACAATTTTCGTATTTATTCAATTGTATATACTTAATGATTGTTATTAGAATATCTATATGTAGTTCAGATAGTTCCAAGCTGTCGATCATTAATATACGATCTCTATACCCACATCGTGTCATCTATAGTTGATAGATGGATCATCCATCATATCGGCATGCTATAGTAAAGTATTACGTCATATAAAAACGTCATTACTTTTAATAATTCAAATCCTAACAATTATTATATATTAACCATTATTATAGTTAGATTCTAGAGTTCGTTCTGGTTAATTGCCACTGGTGAAATGTTGCGAAATGTTAAGAATAATAACAATAATAATAATATATCTATATACCATTAATGTTTGGTCATTAATGTTTTTTTTGTAGTATTTCTATCAATCACTAGGTATAGATGTTAGAGTATGAATTGGTATCGTTATTCATATGACATTAATAATTATCTTAATGGTGAATACAACCATGGCTGTATCTATAGATTAAGTACTGTAATATAGTTAGTTAACACGCAAAAATGGGTATAGATGGACATATAAGGTTGACAGTCTGAGTTAAAACAACATCCATATATTTTGGAAATGAATATTCTATATAGTTATGTATGTTATAGTTCTTAAAGCATGGCAATTGAAAATCCCTACAAATGGATGTTCTAGGGGGAAATCAAATACACATGGCGTATGTTCAACTGCCGTGTTTGATTACAGGATGATAGTTGTCATTGGCCATTAGTAGCTATGATATAATCATTAGCTACCAATAGTTATTTAGCATGCTCTATTGACCATAATCACATTTCAATAACATACAACCATATAACCGTTGATAGGCAAAAAAACATTCAAACACTAGTGGTTGATATGGCCTAGTATCACTAATATCATTAGCTATGGATGTTATAGCTATTGTCAATGGTTGTAGATAAATTATAATATTAGGTTATAATCATGGTATTGCATATATCGTAGTTAGTTTTGGATGTTATTGTGTTCAATGGATGCTTTTAGTTATATTTAGTTATGAATGTTATATACTATTATATATTGTAGTTAGTCATTATAGATATAGGAATACTACAAAAATAGAAACATAATGACAACAACACTATCATCAGCCTATGTTAATATGTAGTACTAATTAATCAGTGTATAGTAGTTATCATATGTCGATATTTGTTTCTATCAGTAACTAAAGCAATAACCATTTCTATATTAATCATATGTCCATCTCCCATTGGGGCCCTATTAACCATTACTAATTCCATTGCGAAAAGTAGTCACCTATAATCACTTCACCACTATTAACCACTATTAACTGAATTCTAACCACTATTAAGCACTATTAGTATCATAAGTATCAATGTTAGTTACTAAAATATATGTTACTTAGTATATCCATGTCTACAATAACATCTATATATATATATGACAGACATAGATAAAACCAGTTATCTATCAAATAATGAGCTCACGATGTCCTATAGTTAGTTTGTAATATAACTATATATATTTCTGTCTATATCAGATATCTATAGTATTCAAACCTGTGGTTTTGGGGATTCCGCATTTTAAGACACCTGCATGTATAATATGTTATTTTATCTAGAACTAACACATCTCATGATGTCTGTTCCCCCAAATATGGTAATGATAGCTTTCGACCCATGCTCATTTCCTCATAGTTAAGTATCATTCAATCACTTTGTTAAGTTAAATCCCTTAATTGCATCAAGGACTGTTCGAAATCTATCAGAGGCTAGTTGTCTATATTATATATATATGTTTATTATATGGAGGTTTCCTAAGTCATGGGGATACCCCAATAGGGATGGTTTATTTCATGGAAAATCCTGGGGGTACCACCAGCCATTAGGAAACACCAAAGGTGCAAAAAAATGGTCAATACTCAATCCATGGGGATTTTAATGATGAGTGCTGGTGGGATGATCATAACTAGAACCATGTAACTTGAACATTGGATGATAGTGGATGGTCGTGTTTTGTGTTGGGTTCCCGAGTTCTAGCACCACGATGAAATTTTTAGGGCTAGATACTGTACCCTTAATATGCATGTGGAAAATTTTGAAATTCCAGACTCTAAAACCATTGTCGGTTTCCCCCATTGGGGAAGCCCATTGGGGTTTCCCCAACGACCCATTGCTTCGATATAACTAGAACATACTAGAACATTGGATGATAGTGGATGGTCTATACACACCATCCAATAGCCCATATCAATGGGTTTATTAAATATCATCCCATTGATTCTGTATTACTGTAGTCATATCATCCAATATCGAAGTTACTATGTCCCATAGATTACAGTGGATGTAACTTCCATCAAACGACTTAAGTCTATCAGATGTTAGTTGACAGTATATGTGGATGTAACTTTATATGGGGTGCAACTATAACTATATCCCCATAGAAATTCCAGAGGAATGATATTGTATATATATAGTCTATATCCCATAGATCATAGATGATATATAGTATATTAACCCATTGGATGATATTGGATAGTGTTTAACAAGGAAAACCGAATACATTGGTTGATTGGTTATTATATATGGGAATACACTTGCTGGTTGGTGGTTTCAACCCCTCTGAAAAATATTAGTCAGTGGAAAGGATTATCCCATAGTTTATGGAAAATAAAACATGTTTGAAACCACCAACCAGATTACTAAAACTATGATCTATGCATGTTGTCTACCCTCTGGTAATCCAACAGTTTGCTATTGAACATCATGGAATATCCTATTATATCCCATACTATATTCATAATATGTTTCTATGGAACTTGTAGTATATATCTATATATATACACCCTCTGGTAAACTAACATAACTATGGAAAATCACAATTTTTAATGGGAAAATCCACTATTTCTATGGCCATTTTCAATAGCTATGTTAAATTACCAGAGGGTAATATTGAGTCAATTAGATATTAACCATATGGGGATTTTCCATGGCTATGTTAAATAACCAGATGGTATATCATCTGTAGATTTCAGTGGTCCCTTCGATCGACTTCACCCCCCCGCCCCGGAACCCGTTCGGTACAGCTCGGCAGGCGAGGCACAGCTCGGCGCCCACGGTGGAGCCGGCGAGCAGCACCGCCTTGGCCACATGTAGCGCACCGGGCCTGCCGCGAAAACCATGGGGAAAACCCATGGGAAACTGAGGAAAACATGGCTAAAAGCACGGGAAAAAGGGTGATTTCATTGAGAACACATCGTCAAACTATGTGAAACTTGTGGAAAACCATCGATATCCCTGGGGAACACCGTCAAAGCGGTGAGAAAGTGGTCATGTTCAGGAAACAGCAACAAAAAAAAGGCTATGAAACAACATCTGACTTGGAAAAAATGAGCGATGACACGGAAATTTTGAAGCTGTGAATAAAACAAAACTGTCCAAAATCACCTACGATCAAATATGAAATCATGACGATGTTGAAATCATGAGAGATAACTATTGGAAATCCAACCAACGTACCACATATTAGATACCGGGCAACAAGAATAAATTGATAGCAAGTTAGGTACTTATACCCCCACCTAGATCGCAACAGATCAAGTTGTGCTAAACTCAACGAAACCTTGCAGGAAGCTGTCCCAGTTATCAGTTCTGGTTGATAACCTCGTCCAACTTATCGATTTATATAAATCCAACACTTATTGAAGTTATCACCAACTGAGCCCACGGAAATAAAGTACGCTTTATATTCTTATATATATATAATTATGCATACATGTATGTATTATACACACGTACATATGTACATATACCTGGGTAAATTATAATATTTCACTAATCTGAATTAAGGCCATAAAAGGGGATGATTTCCCGAATCCTAACCATGATTCCAGTGAGGGAGAACAGTGAGGTCGTTATAATTTACCCAGATTGAATTGGGTTTATAAACCACTAAGAACCACTAAGAACCACTATTAACCACTGTTTATATTGACTCAATATGAACCATTATTAACCTTAGCCTTATACATACATTGAGATGTTTTTTTCATTTTGTAAATATTACTATAAACCCAACTACAATACTACATACATATTAGATAACCAATATGGTTAATATCTAATTGACTCAATATTAGACATTTTTGTTTTCGTTGGGTTAAGCTTTAGCGCCATTTGGGCTACGGAGATCCCCCAGGATCATCCGTGGTTTGATCAGATCGGCATTAAAAAAATATCCCAAGGGCATGGTCAAAAGGTGTGGGTTACCCTCTGGTAATTTGTTACAGTTTGCTATTGAAAATGGCCATAGAAATAGTGGATTTTCGCATTAAAAATTGGAATTTTCCAGTTCGCTATGTAACAAATTACCAGAGGCTATTTCGGCAATCTCCATGGTTTTATGATCAATGTTTCTCCAACAATCTCCAGGAAACTGTGAAACATGTTGCGAACTGGAAAATCACCATTGTTTAATGGGTAATTCAACGATTTCTATGGCAATGTTCAATAGCTATGTAACAAATTACCAGAGGGTATATCTCAAGAAACAATGGCTCATTTTTTTTCCAAGTCAGATGTTGTTGAGATTTCCACATGGCTGGTTCTGCTGACTTTCCTGCTAAACATGATTTTCCGTAGCTGTGTTATATTACCAAGGGGTAATCCAGTTGGCTTTGTCAGAAAACGGAATATTCCAAAATCCAAATGATGATAAATTGAGTCTCAAACTATCCCAAAATGTGATTCTGTCCATACTTCGCCAAAAGTTTTCCAGGTTTTTTTCACAGTTTTCTGGCCATGTTTTCCCATGTTTTCCCATGTTTTCCCATAGGACGATCCTCAGAGCCTCAGACTCCCGGGAACCTCACCTGGTTCCATCGGCCGGTGCCATGACTCGTTGGGTCAAGAGACATCGAGCCACAGTGATGACCTCGGGCGCCCGGAGCTCAGCCGGGCAAAGGCAGCCTTAAAGGCACTTGGGGGTGCATCCAAGTAAGTGGGCAATAAACATATGAAGTAATCAACTGTAAATGGAATAACGGAATAACATACTATTATATATATATATGTAAATATATATATATATATGTATATATATATATATATATGTATATATATATATATGTGTATGTGCAGTATACGTGTGAGGGCTATGAACCAACAAAGATAAGATTTATTTCCAATCATACAAAAAATATCTAAAGGGATGGTTAAACCCATCCCCTTAAATATGACACCCCCACGACTGGGTCAAACAAATGAGACACAACACTAAACCATGGCTTCTGGGGGGATGTCGTAGATTAGTTTCATGATTAAAGATGACCAAGCAAGTCACAAGTTTCGAACCATACACAAATTTCGGTTGATATGCTATTCTGGTTCTTCGGTTTTGTTGTCCGACGTCTAAACAGCAACCAAAACGCTTCCAAACCCCGATGAAAAATCAATTTTATAGGTGGCAAACTGCAAGCACTGCAGACATTCACTTCACTTTGTACAGCAAGGGATCCTCTAATGATGACATCTCCCAACTGATCTCATCAAAATACCATGTGAGGAGTGTTCAAAACCCTCCCTGTGTCGACCCTATGAAAATCTTGGTTGGTTGAGAACGGTATTCCCCTTAGTAATGGACTCTGATCTTTCCCGGTTAGTATAATCCCCAAACTAATCATCAACCTATCATCATTCATCAATTATATCAACTACCATCTGGTTATTTAACATAGCCATGGAAAATGACCATGTTGAATGGCTAAACCATCTATTTCGATTAGGGCCATCTATCCCATGGCTATGTTAGTCATAACCAGAGGGGGCCTATCCTATATTTGATGGTTAAATCCACCGTCCAAAATCCACCGTCAAAAACCAGTGATCCAGGCTCCAAGGGTCAGGCCACAGCAATCATTGCCCATTGAAGTGCTCTAAGTCCCTGCCGACGCACCCTTTTTGTTTTGCATCGTTGAAAAAAACTCCTGGGTAGAAGTGTGAAAAAAATTATCCTGGGTGAATATGTTGGTGTATTCATGTGTATTCCAGAATCACAGTTGAACAAATAGTATAGTTCCAACAAAAAAACGTATTAGACATGTTATAATATGTAATAATTATAATAAGGGAGTGTTCCAAGAACCACAGGAATAATGATGGAGCTCCACGTTCTGCACCAGTAGCAGATTGGGCGATGCACTGGGCTCTGAGAAAGTTGATTATGTAGATATACTGCATTGTTGCATCATCAACATCAACATGAGCCTGCACAATTGGGACAGAACATATAACTATATAATTATATATATATATATCATATATACATAGGTAGATAAATAATCATGATTCCATTTCTTAGAGACCCTGCACACTGCACAACACCTTTAAAGCGCTCGGTTCTTCGTCCTTTCTTGGCCTTAGTTTCCTGTGGATTTTCCCGGCCAATCCTAACTTGAGGAACTAATTTGTAGATCGTTTATGACTACCCTCTGGTAAACTAACATAACTATGGAAAATCACCATTTTTAATGGGAAAACTCACTATAAATGGCCATTTTCAATAGCTATGTTAAATTACCAGAGGGTAAACCCTCCAAACAAAATCACCTTTGCGAAAATGGCTCATCTCTAGTTGATCTACCGTAATGAAAAGTGGTGATCTTCCGAAAAGCCAACTGTTATGACCAGAGGGTCATCATATGTCGAAGCATAAACTGCTTGGTGGTTTTTTCAACCCCTCCGAAAAATATGAGCTCGTCAGTTGGGATGATTAGTCCCAACAGATGGAAAAATCCATTAAAATCATTGAAAATCCATTAAATTCCATTAAACCACTATAAAACTATAATCCATTAATCCCAACTGAATGGAAAGTCATAAAATTCCATGGTTCCAGTCACCACCAACCAGATGAACCATCATCTCTGAAGCCTCCAAAGAAGGCAGCGGCCCTTTCACCGCCAGGATGCCGCCAAAAGAGGCCACCTTTTTTCTGAAACAGAAATTCCGAGCTTTCCTGAAATGGGGGATCCCATTTTGGTCACCAAAGAGTTTTTTGTGAATGAAACTAATATATCATAATATATATATAATCGTGTATATAATATATACAATTATATATATATATATTAGATCCTCTGGATGGAAGAAATCCTGCACCAGTTGGTAGCTATTGGGAAACGCTTAAACACTATAAATAATGGGATTAGTAACGGTATAAACCATCTACCAACTGGTTATCGAACATAGCTATGGAAAATCATCAGTTTAATAGTTTCTAATAGGTATCATCTATAAATGGACCATGTTCCGTAGCTATGTTAAATTAGCAAAGGGTACAGTATATTGAATGAAACATATGTATAGACATGGTGAATCTTAGATATCTGTCAAACAAAGTCTCATTTTGATCTGGTTAGCACGAATTTTGCAATTTATTGCAAAAGATTAAAGTACTAGTTCGTACATATCTAACCACTTGGTTGACCAGTAAATATGCATTATATATATGTATATATATATATATATCATGTTATTAGAACAAATCGGGTAAACTCTGGTTAAACCACATATTTGTTGAGTCACGATCGTGAGAATTGGGTAGTTAGTTGTTGAAGAGGAAATCACAGTCCAGACCTGTGTGTGTTTGGGGAAGTCATGATATTCATTCTTTTTGTTTGACAAGTAAATACAAGTCCAAAGATTTTTTGTTGGGGGGTCCATGATATTCTGTGGTGCGAAAAGTGAGTTTTCGAGAAGGGATGATGCTTCATGAAAACAAAACCTAGCAACAAAACACTGAAACAAATCATCAAACATAGGCTGGTTGGTGGTTTCAACCCCTCTGAAAAATATAAAAGTCAGTTGGGATGATTATTCCCAATATATGGAAAGTCATAAAATTCCATGGTTCCAAACCACCAACCAGTAGGGGTGTTATCTATTATCTATACGCAGGAATCAATGGTTTTACTCAAAGTCTCACACCTGGAAGCACCGTTGGATCATGTTGGATCACTGGTGATGCCACATCTGGGAATCGTGGCAAGTGAGGAGCAATTTACTGTATAAATTCACCGATGTGGTAGACACAAAAATCAACAAATGGTAAGCAATGGTAAGTAATGACACAATGATCAAGACATGATAAACACTTAAATGAAATGTGGTAATTCAATGTAATTCACCATTTTTGGAGGGGTATATGCCTTTTAAAAGGCCCCCAAATGCGAAGCCCTTGAGTCCAAGTTGCAAAGCTTGCACTATGATGGGCAGACTTGCTGCGGGGAAGTCATCTAGGAAAGTCATATATAGCAACCCCCGCAAAAAGGTAGAAATTAGCAAAATCCATCGAAATCCTTAAATAATTAGTGGTGTTCCGTTCATTTCTATATCCTTCTGGTTGTTACTTTATTAAATCCTTCCCAAATCTGATTTACAACCAGATAAGATATTGATATTCACCACATATTCAGCATAGATTTCCCATATATTCACCACATTGAAATGATTACCCTCCAGTAAATTAACAGTTCGACCCTAGCAGTTGTCGGGGTTGGAAGACTAGTGAAACCACTTTTTGAAGTGGTCATTTTCAGGGTCACCATGGCATCTCTGAGCTCCGCTGCTCCAGCGGCCGTTAGGAGCTCCTAGCCATGGTAGCCATGGGCGCATGGGCGAACTGTTAGTTTACTAAAGGGTAGATCAAAATATGATGATGTTTGATAATGTTTTAGGTGAATAGTTTGGCAATCATGAAGACCATAGGTTGATACTGGGTGTATAGCTGAATGTCCTATAATTCTATATTGATAGTTCTAAGAGACTGCTGCTTCCAAGAGATTGCCGTGAAAAATAGCTACCTTCATATCATATCAATCCTTTCAAAAAATCTGTGGATGTAGCCAAACAAAGGATGTGGTGTGAAAGACTCCTGAAAGCCAAACGGAAATGAAAAAATAACACAAAGCGTTTCGCAGGTTTCGCGGGCCATGCCAACGTACCAATCTTTTTGGGAAGTGATGATTGATCACGGCCCTTGAACAAAGAGCTGTGCATCAAACGGTTCAGAAAGCATCAGCTGAATTACCCGGCCTGGTAAACATACTAACATAGCTATTGAAAATGGCAATAGAAATGGTTGATTTACCCATTATAATAGTGATGTTCCATAGCTTTTTGTATATTTACCAGAGGGTATTGTTCATATATTGTTCACTTTTGATCCGACTGATCCATCAAGTTCAATCCTATTCTGCCTTGCCGTCTTGGTGACTTTATGATAACTTACCTGCTTCCTATCCCTCATGGTCACCGGGATCCATGCCCAGAACACACAGGTCCTTTTGCAGAACTTCCATTCCTCAAATGAAAAACATGCCACGTGAAGCCATGGTCCAGCTTGGACCTTCCACATCATGCCACTTCTCCAGAAACTTGAAAATGCGATCATGAAAAACCTGTTGTGAACTGTCTGCTGAGTGTTTTCACCCCCATGAAAAAATCTTGGAAAAGCATTGGTCGATTGGGATCATGATGCCAAGTGGCTTGAAGCATCAAGTTATATCTAGGCAATTTCTGTTGGTGGATTGGTGGATTTTGTTGTCAAATGGGATTACCATCCGGTTATCTGCTAATCAAACATGGCTTGCTAGAGAATCCGCTAGCAATAGTTCAAGGATTTTCCCAGCCAAGAACCTTCATCTATAGAGGACTTTCCCAGAAACTGCCAGAAACCCCAGAAAGTCTCGAGGACTCTGCCATTGAAATTCATTAAAACCTCCAAGTATAACCCAGATTAGCTCACCATGGTGCTGGAATATGAATCCCTACATAGAAACCCCAAATTCATCAACCAGTTTTGTAGGGAAATAATTATTCCAGCACCATGGTGAGCTAATCTGGGTCAGATGGTATTTCCCCACGAAAACCTCCAGAGATATCCATGTATAGTTATAGATGATTTCCTCATGAAAACCTCCAGGAAAACCTCCATCAATGGATTGGTTTAAGGGAAAATCTTAACCGGAAACCATTGATTTTCCCATTAAATATGGGGCTTTCCTGTAAATTTTCCCTTAAACCAATCCATTGACTCCATTGATAGATGGTTTTGCCAAGCCAGTTTTGTTGGATAACGAAACTACGTGAATCTCCCCAAAGGCAGATGTGCCAGGTCTCTGAAGAAGCTGCTACCTCGGCAGGGACATAATGTGGGATATTATGTTTATATAAAGGAATATATATATATATAAATAACTAGAAATATAAACATATTCATATAACTATAATATAACTATAATACACCTATATAATATAACTATATAATATAACTATATAATATAACTTGATAAAACTATATGATAATTTTCTGTAAGTCAGAAGAGGTTGATGAGTATAAAAATGATATCATACTATCATTGGTGTTCAAAATATTACACTTTAAATCCGAACGAAGTCTGCACCATTTGGCATCCCAGTGTGGTTTCAACGATTCAAAGGACTTGCAACTTCATCCGAAATCAGAATGACTCATCTCAAAAATATGACCGATGACAGGAAATGAGAATCTCAAGAGACCCACTCATTCATGTTCATAGTTCCTGCCATGTTGGTTTCAAATTTTGCAGAAGCCAAAATTTAAGTGATTTAAAACCTTGCTTTTCTCCATGTTGCACCGAATTGGGTATACCCCGTTGCTGGACAAACTTAAAAAAGAAACGTGTTGGTTACATATGCCCATTACATTCCCATTTAAACCAATCATATCACAATACAATATCTTACTATTTGGATGGCTACATTCATCTTCTTTGCTATTTCTTTGCCTGAAAATATGCTACAGTACCCATTTTTTAAAAATTGGGCATCACAAAATCACAAAATCGGGAAAATAGATGGGTTTTCATACAATCCCATTAGTTTCATTGGGTCAAATGGCTCTATGAATTCAGCTATCCCCGTTTTTCCCCCCCTCTGGGATGATTTTTTTTTCTCACAAATCCCCTTTGGGATGATAACAAGCATCGAAATCAGAGAAATCCCCATGAAATCCCCATAATTTCTATTATGAAATCACCACGACTTTCCCAGCGAACTAAACCTCCATTTAGTAATAAAGGGGATCTTCCCATCTATTAATAAACATCGTAGTTTAATCCATTTTTTTCGGGGGCCATTTTCAAAAATTCCCATGCTCTCTGGTAAACTAACATAACTATGGAAAATCACATTTTTTTAATGGGTAAATCAACTATTTCGACTGGGCCATTTTCAATAGCTATGTTTGTTTACCAGGGGGTATATGGGTATGGATCAATACCTATTAATACCATTTTTAGGGGAATGAACATCCATTTACCAGCTATTTTGATGTGAACTACAGGGGTACTATTGGTTTTGACACACATGCCTTCCGTTACGGCCCTAGGGCAGTGACTTGCGACCAGGATCGTGGCCACCTGGTGAGGCGATGGTTTTTGACCTGCTAGTTACGGTACTGGGATTCATCATGGTGAATCATGGGATTCATGGTTCATAATGGCTAATGGTTACTTGGTGGCTCATCCCACTTAGTAAGTGGGTTACAACCCCAGTTTTATGGATGTTTAGGGATGTTTATGGTAAATGTTACCCTCTGGTAAACTAACATAGCTATTGAAAATTGCCATAGAAATAGTGGATTTTCCCATGAAAAATTGTGATTTTCCATTGCTATGTTAGTTTACCAGAGGGTAACGGTTAGTTAAGAATGGTTAGGAATGTCAACCCTGGATTAATGTGAAGCCCTAAAACGGCTGTTAAAAAATGGGAGGCTACCATTTATGTACCATGGTTTGTGACTATTTGGAGGGTACCCCCTAATAAACCATGGTTAGTAATGCTGGTTAGTAATGGTGAACAATGGGGAATCATGGTGATGAAGGTGAAGGTGAATGATTATCAATGCTTATAATTTGGTGAAAAAACTGGCTATGCGGCTATAAATGCCAATCTTAGATACCCTGCGAAAAAATACATTGTTAGCTGGTTGGTAGATATTCCCATTGAAATCGCAACAGATTAAAGGATTGAACTACCCATCCAAGGTTGACCTAGAACATACCTTATACAAGAAATAATCAATGGTTTATAATGATTAATAATGGCTATTAATGGCTATTAATAACTAATGACTACGGTAAATAATGGGGTATAAAATAATCAATGGATTGGTTTGTCCCACCATACGAGCCATAGGAAAATTAAAACTTAAGCATGAAAAATAAGGATTTCATGGAGTTTATAGCTGATTTATGATATCAAAAATGGTAAATATAACTAGGATAACTGGGGCTCGAAGTTATAACTTTGTTAGATGGGTGAATCTAAACCAACAAAGATAATTGGGGGCCCCACCTCGTAGCAACGTTTCATCGCTGGAGGGTAACTATCATTGGTTATATGGTTATTTGCTTTAAGCACATTGTAAAGCCATGGACAACATAGTTATTTGTTATCCCGATTATACATCCTTGACATTTGTCAAATAACTATGGTTGGTTATATATTAATATATATATATATGTATATTATATACAGCATATATATATAGATAGATAGATTGCACTATGTCCCTATAAACCCCATTGGCTGGGTATATAGCAACGCCGAAACGATGCAAACAAGTCTTTCCAGGACGAGAGACAAATGAAAGAAGTCTGTGCATTTTATTTTTAGGCGTCCCACTGTTCTATGTTTTGAGGTGACCATAATCCATAAACAAGATCAACCATGGTAAATGGCAATGACGTAATAAGTATGGCCAATCGTAGATACTCTGCACTTTAGCTGAGTAGTTTGATGTACCAGATCTTGATGGGATTAATGTACAGTAATCCCCATTTATGACATCAAAAGAAACAATGGTCGACTAAAGGTATCCATCCCCGGTCGACCAATTCTTGTAGTGAATGGCTTCAGTTTTCATAAGTTCCTGATGCTACCTATTGTCGAAAAAATATCACTAGCAACAACTGACCACGAACATCAGCCTGTAGCCTGCTACCACCAACCAATCGATCTGGAAAACCCACCAATCGTAGATCTGCAGCCGCGTGGCTGGCGTCAACATGTAGAACCAGGACGCCATGGTGTGGTGTTCGTTGGAGAGAACCTGCCCGGAGCCGTTCGACGTATATGAAACCCAGCAAGTGCCATGAGCCAGCTATAGCCTGGTTCATGTACGGTAAACCCAATAAGAAAAGATCATAAACCTTCAGTTGGGGATGGTTGTTTACCACCCATTTCTAGTAAAATTGGGAATAATTAGTTGTTTTTTAATTGGGTTTGCCCTGGTAAAATTGGTTAATATAGGGACTTATACTACCTACAGCAACTTACTTGGGAATACAACAGCCCAAAGTGTAAAGAATTAGGCAGAAAGCTGTTACGGGGGTTGCATGCTGTACCCTGTGATTGCAAGAATGGGCGAGAACCATTTAGGTATATGGCTATATGGGTTTGACACTACCCCAAATCCATTGGCGAATTAGCATTTTTCAAGTAAAGTGTTGCCAATTTGGGGAGGTTACCCCGTGTTCGGACACACCGTTTGAATATATGATTGGTTCTGTATATTCCCATCGTATCCCCATTGTTTGCCAAGTTACAAACCTATTCCACACCCATTGGCCCATCATATTACCATTCGCCTAGTGCTAGTCCATTATAGACCAATGATATACATTTTTCTGATTTCACTTCAGCCTTTCACAATATGAATATCTCACATCCATATATCCATAGATAGATAAATAGATAGATAGATAGATAGATAGACAGAGAGGGGGAGAGATAGAAAGATAGATAGATAGATAGATAGAGGGGGAGAGATAGAAAGATAGATAGATAGATAGATAGATAGATAGATAGAGAGAGAGAGATAGATAGATAGATAGATAGAGAGATAGAGAGAAAGAGAGATAGATAGATAGATAGATAGATAGATTGATAGATAGATAGATAGATAAATAGATAGATAGATAGATAAATAGATAGATAGATAGATGGATCGATGGATAGATGGATCGATGGATCGATAGATACCAATGATATCAGCATATTATACCCATATTATGCATATATACATATATGTGTACAGAATGTGCATATGAGTGGCGGACAAAATTCCTTATTACCTGCCATGGACATGGCCAAAGTGGGTGGTCCCCTATCGGTTGTGAAGGTTTGTACTTCCATGCTATGTGTAAACGTAGGGTATCGGTAAGTGGATGGTCCCCTATCGGTTGTGAATGTTTTGGCACAAATTTGAACATCCCATGTCCACTCCCCACTACTTTAGTCTTCCGCTAATTTTGTCGTTACTCATTCATATATATATATTTATATATATATATATGATTATATATATATATGATTATATATATGTATGATTATATATATATGATTATATATAATATACTAACTATATCTCCAAAATAAACCGGACCGAAGATCCAGGAGCATCATTTTTTCTTGATCTCCCTTGAACTTTCCAAGTTCTGCCTTCACCGCGGCGCCAATTTCGCAGGTGACCAAAATCCCCAGGATGATTTGCATCTTCAAGTCCACCTGCCGTGGCGGGCCTGAGCTTAGCACCGCTTAGTCATGTCGAGTCAGTGCGGAATAAGTCCAGTAATGTGGTTGAAAAAATAGGAAAATCATAAAAAAAATAAAATAATTCATAAGTGTTTAATCATGGTTTTGATAGTAACCCAATATTGTTAAGAGATGTTAAGAAATTGAGTAATAGTGGTTAATCATTGGATACTTGAACACGAACTCAGCCAGGAAGATCATGGGAAAATGATGGCTGAGCAGAGTATAGTTGCTATATCATATGTAACGGTTCATGATGGTTGATTATATATAATATACTAACTATATATACAGTTAGTATGATAATGGTTGATTGTAAATGCTTCATGAGGGTTGAGAGTTCTAGAACCCCCCAAACATCCCAGTCAATCACCAAGAGGAATCCGAGAAGTGGCAGTGGCCAAAGACCCCATACAAAACCAACCACTTCAATTGCCATTGAAATTCTTACTACCTTTGATCTCAAAATGCTGAATTTCCAACTTCCTCAGGTCATCATTTCCGCTACACATTTCAGCCCCCGGCCGCGTTGCGGTTTCCCCGTTCCGGCCGTTCCGGTGCTCACCTCAGAGACCAGCGCCAGCTCCCCGAGGCTCGCCCTTGCTTGGAAGCGATCCAAGGTGAAGAGAAAGAGGATCACCAGAAGCCCAGCCACCAAATTGGACACCAAAGCCGTGAGGAACCTGGAGGATGCTGGATGCTGGAGAGGGATCATGATGATCACAATCACTATATATTCCCTTCGATGGTCATGGAAAAATTAGAAAAACATGGTTTTCATGAACAGTTGAACAGTGATGGAATACTAGTCTGGGTTGGTGGTTTCAACCATCTTGAAAAATATTAGTCAATGGGAAAGATTATCCCATATATTATGGAAAACAGGAAATGCTTGAAACCACCAACCAGTAGTGGTATCACTGGACATGTTGACCTCTGGTAAATTCACATATAGAAGCCGTGGCCCAGTGAAGATGTGAAAACCGTGGCCTGAAGGATTTGGGTAACCGGAGAGTTACGCGGACTTTTTGTTTGGTGTCGTTTTTTTTTGCCGACATGTTTCCCTCTGGACAAATTAACATATATGGTAACCGACAGAATTATGGAAAAAAAAAAACGTTCAACTTAGACAGGCGGCGCCTGCGTCCGATTTTTCCATAATTAGGTTTTTCCCCATAAGGGTTCAAAATATCCCGGAAGTGATCCGAACCTTTTTTTTTCCATAATTCTTGGAGGTGGCCATTATTTCCATAATTGATTTTTCCTGTAAAATCAGGGGGCTAGGGCAGATTGACCGGTTTTTCCATAATTATTTTTTTCCATAATTATTTTTTCCATAATTAATGTTTGGGGCTCCACCTGTTGGACATGTCATGGATCCACAATTCAAACCCCTTTTTTTGGGGGGTTATGGAAATATGTATGCAAGTGCAAGTATGTAGTATCAACCCAATTGGTGGCTTGGCAAAAGGATACATCCCGCTATAATTCAATATTCCCCCTTAAAATGCATTCAAATTGCGAACATCACATGATATTATGTATATCAATGGAAGACTTAGGGGCATATACCAGATCTTTAGACACATATTTTCTATAATTCAATATTCCCCCTTAAAATGCATTCAAATTGCGAATCGATGGACATACAGTCACCGACAGAATTATGGAAAAAAAAATAATTATGGAAAAAATAATTATGGAAAAAAAAAGGTTCGTAACTTTTCTATCATAGACAGGCGGCGCCTGTAAATTGAAACGTTTTTTTTCCATAATTCTGTCGGGTGCTGTAACGGTATAACATGGTATAACATGGTATAACATTGTATAACATGGTATAAAATAGTATAACATGGTATAAAATATTGTTTAAAACAGGGTATAAAAAAACATGGTAAAAAAAAACACATGGTATAAAACATGGTATAAAACATGGTATAAGACATGGTAGAAAACATGGTATAAAACAGTGTATAAAACATGGTAATTATAAAACATGGTAATTATAAAACATGGTAATTATAAAACACGGCATAAAACACGGCATAAAACATGGTGTAAAACATGGTATAACATGATGTCATGGTATAACATGGTGTATATAATCCATCAAAAAGGGACGAATTATATTGAATAATAATAGTACTGGATAATGAAATTACCCTTGGTAAGACATTTTTCTTTACTGTACTGGTGCCTAATTCGTCGGAAATGGATAAACGGGATGATGGTTAATAGTTATGGATTGGACCATTCCCAAAAAGGCAAACATGCTACGTATGATTTTCATGGGAACGGAAACTCACCGACAATAGTGGATGAAGAATGAATAATTGGACATGAATGGTTACCCTCTGGTAAACTAACATAACTATGAAAAATCACCATTTTCAATGGGAAAATCCACTATAAATGGTCATTTTCAATAGCTATGTTAAATTGCCAGAGGGTATCCGTTGTTAATTATGTATTATCCCCCTTCGTGGACTAAGCGACATGAATGGAATACTAAGGGGGGTATAATTGCGGATGTCCACCCTTTGGCTTGGAAGATTGCTCGAAATGATGAAGGATTTGGATAATCGGATGGTTCTCAATTTTTTGGTTGGCTTCGACTATTTTATACTATTTTAGACGTTATGAAGTATTTGGAGACCCAAGTTTTGACATGTTTCTTTGTTTGGAAGATTATCCATCGATCTTTTTTGGATATCTGGATACCCGGATACCTTATCAGTCATGTTTGTTACCCTAATGTTCGAAGCTATTGGATTTTCGATTCGCAAATCTTTTCGGATCAAGTTCGGATCAAGTTGGATACCCTGGAGCTTTTTGTTGAGTCTCTGATAGTCTCTGGATCCTGGAAATTCGTAACACATGGGGTGTTGGCTAGAAATCGATGGTCAAATTCTGCGACAAAACGCAAAAGGAGAGTATGATCGTTGGGTCGGGATTGTACCATCAATATCCCTCAATGACATTTTCATAGCTATTGAAAATGGTCAACATGATCTACATAGGATCCAAATGGTGATGTTCCAATTCGCAAACTGTTAGATACCGTCTGGTTGGTGGTGCAATGTGCCCATCTTGAAGAATGATGGACTTCGTCAATGGGAAGGATGACAATGTATATATATATATATATGAAATGGAAAATCAGATTCATGCTTGAAACCACCAACCAGCCGTTTGTTTACCAGAGGGCAACAAAGCCATTTACATCCTTCCAGCATCATGGTATGGTTGATCCAAGAAGACCATCAATCGTTGCAGGACAGGCCAGGGCAGTAACGTCGCAGGCAGTGAGATCCAATGTTTTTATTATTTTTTTTAGCTGGGAAAAACCATGGGAAAACCATAGGAAAACGGTGATTAGGAATGGTTAATAGTGGTTAATAATGGTTAATGATGGTTAATCATTGGCTAAAACATGGGCTGGTTGGTGGTTGACCTACCCCTCTGAAAATTGATTGAGTGAAAGTCAGTTGGGAGTATGAAATTCCCAACTGAATGGAAAGTCATAAAAATTCCATGGTTCCAAACCACCAACCAGAACATGATATCCCCAAATCTCTCCCGCAAAATGTCACCATTCCCATCAGAATACCAATAGTATATACCCATGATATCATCTGTGTCGCGTTGGTCATGCAGCTTGGTGATTTTAATGGGCCTGAACTGTGGGTATAGGTCAAAGTCATTGGACTTTGACGTCCATCTGAAGTCACCTGGCTTTAAATCATCAACTACTCGCAAGCGCATGCAAAGCAAAATTAATTCCAACTGTAGTTTCTTTTCCATATTTGATTCATACCAATTACCAAATAAGCAAAACATGGCTTAGATACCGTCCAGGCAAAAGATGCTTTGTCTGAGCAAACATCCCTATGAAAATAACAGATTTCAGTCCCTTTCACCCATCAGTCCATCTCCCCAACAGATACCACCAATAGTCCCGCTAGAAAATGGTCCCAATAGTCCCAATGATCATGAAAAATAGTCATCCAGTTGTCCCAATGATCTCCTCATCTGTACAGATACCGATTTTGATATTGATCAAAACCACAACATTTTGACTTCGTAAAAAAAAAAAACATAATGTTGCTCAATAATTTTTCATCATCCCAGTTATCCCTAGTATCATTCCTATGGATCTACATATCCTTCCCCACAATAAGTATCCCAATAACATCCAATAACTATCCCAATGGTCATTCCAATCATCATCCAATCGTTCCCCAATCCACGGTAAGTCAGCAACGGGTGCCAAGCAACGGGAACGGAAACTCTAGGTCCTGCAGTGCAGGGAAGAATTATGGATAAATGAGGTCCTGCGATGTACATTGAGGTAGATACTATATATATATATGTGAATAAGTATATGTTGAATTATTGGATAGATGTTTTAGAACATATTGAGGCGGATCCCCTCTAAATAGGAACATATCATAAAATAGCTATAATTCAATGGGAGATTTTCCATTGCCATGTTCGATTACTGGTGGGTATATTCTATTACTGGTGGGTATATTCTATAGGTTTGTCTGAAAATAAGGCGGGTATATTATATATAAGGTTTGTCTGAAAATAAGGCAGGGTACCCCCAAATCTTCCTTTTCAGTTGGTCATAATTTGGGGGTACCTTATTTTCAGACGAACCCATATACAAGATTATCCAAGTTAGGATGCACTCCCGGAAAAAAAAAAAAACGGAAATCCCATGGCTTTTGCCTATCCTTTGTCCAAGGTTCCCACTTCAACTTCTATTGTTGCCACCATTTTAAGCGGAAAAAGAAGGCCTGGTCATGAGCTTTAGCAAAATTAGAGGCGTGAAACCATTTGCCAAGAGTTGTCCGATATTCATGATCACCTTGGGGTTGATCCTCCAACTACAGCACTCCAAAATTCCATGGTACATCATAATGTGTCCCGCTTGTGGGGGGGTATTCACCATTTTGGACAAACCCCTATCATGTTTTGTTGGTTATATCGATGCTGTATCCGCACCGTTTCCCCAATATAACCATTTGATATACCATTTACATACCCATCATATTGCGATTTGGCTAGTCAAATATTAACACCAATTACGCACCCATCATATGTCATCATAGTTAGATCCTAATATTAAATTATATTCACCGATTATACCCTCTGGTAATCAAACATGGCTTGCTGGAAAATCCTGAATTTAGTTCGATGATTTTCCTAACTAGATCCATTTGTAGGCGACTTCCCAGCCAGCCACGTTTGATTACCAGAAGCTAATTCCACTCATCGCCATGCATCACCATTAATATGCATTAATCACTATTGATCACCATGATTAAATATTATTAGCACGTATTCACCATATTTCACCATTGGATTAATCACTTAACCATTGGTTAACAACAAATGACATACCAAAAGATTTACCATGCCATATCACCATATCAAACCCCCGCGCGTCCTCAGTTGTGGTGAGTCTTTGGATATAGACAGCTCCAATGTAATCCCCTGCGGCGCAAGAAACCATTGAACAGGCTATGACATAACACATAAAAAAACGTGAATGATAAACACTTGCTATAACTGGTGAATCATAGCTATAAATTGAACTGGCTATTCACTGGCTTTATAACTGGTGAATTTCTGTGTGATATTCGACATCTTCTAACCCTGTTGAACTGGTACATCATTTAATCATGTAAGAACCCTCTTTGAGCAGTTTTTACTTGACTGTTAGTTAACCCTAGTTGGGGGTGACTTCGTAAACCCGATTCCAAAAATTGCAGGTGATAATCCAAATAACCGCACTGAAATTATATAGAATAGATCTTCACGTACAGATCATCATAAATTGTTATCAACCCTATGCAACCCTAGTGGGGCATTTGCAACATTTTACAACCTCATTCAAAATTATTTATTTATTAGTTGAGGGATTCTGCAACCATGCGGGTACCAGGTAAATTGATGAAATACTTTCGCAACATCATGGGATGGTGTGAGAGTAAACCTGTTCCAAATCCGTGGGTGCGAGGGCATGGCATTTTGGCCTTTTTGGCCTATCTGATGATACAGGTAAATTCATGCTTCGCAAAGCATCGCGAACCATGATACAGATTGATATAGAGGTGTCCTAAACTGGGGTACCCCCAAATCATCCATGTTTCTTTGGGATGTTCCATTATAAACCCATCCAGCTATTGGAGTAATTTACCTACCTCACCTGTTGGTGCTTTGCAACAAGCTGAGATAAAATTGCAGCTTCATCCACGGCGATGTTGCCGGGGTGTCCCCAAAGCAATGACAATGCCCTCTCCAACATACCCATAGGATCCATGTATGGTATATATGCTAACATTTGGGGTATATTGATGGGATCCATGTTACCATATATAGCATACATGGATCCTATGGGATATGATTACAGCAAATGCTGGTGGCAGAGATTTGTTGCAACGAAAATTTGGGAATGCTGGTGGCGTATCTTTTTTCACCCCATTTCCATGCCAAATCATGAAAATTCCAAGCTCAAATCATTAATTTTGAAATTGGCAGGATTTGGAGCTCAAAATATGGTTTAAAAAAATGTGGTCAAAACCCAATAGTGAATTATCATAAACTCACTTTTTTGGGGGGTATAATGGGAGGAATATCCAGCAGGTATACCTCTATAGTCCATATATCGTTGAGTCTTCCAATCCCATCAATAATACTATGCCCCCAAGATAGTTAAGATAGTTAAGTTGGTTTATAATTCCATCAACTATAAGTCTAACAGTGATTCAAAAAAGTTATGATCAGCAACTTAGCTATCATAAATCAACATAAATCAACAAAAAACCCAAGAAATGCACATATTTTCCCATATTTTCTTGGTTCCATGTCCATTTTCCACGCTCTTCACGACGTACCGTATGGGGGCACCGGCACCGCCCCTTCCGTTCGCTCCGCGCTGCGCCTGCGAAGACCATCAAGGTCCAAAAGACCACCTCTGTGGAGCGTTGCCAACTCGACTCCAGGAACCTCGCGGCGGTGAAACTCGGCAGGGGTAACTTCCTGGAAAACTATAGTTTAACCATTGGTTTAACCATTGATTTAACCATTAGTATATTGGTTTAACCAAACTGGTTGATATTGGTTTAACCATTGGTATAATTATTAGTTATAAATGGTATTTATAAGAATATTAACCAACTATACTAATGCTATTTATACCAATGGTTGTTATTAACCAATATTAACCAATGGTTTCTGGTGAAAATCCAATTGGTGGTTAAGTAATCTAATTGGTTAAGTTGTTCCAATGGTTAAGTTAATATGGGAAAATATGGGTTAACAATGGTTAATGATGGTTAAAAGTGGATTATCTGGTGGATTATAATATATATATATATATATATATATATCTGGTTGGTGGTGCAATAACCATCTTGAAACATATGAAAGTCAACTGGGATCATGACATTCCCAATATATGGAAAATAAAAAATGTTCCAAACCACCGGCCAGGTTAAGTAATCGAATTGGAAAACCAGTGGTTTACCATGTTGGGAAAACTAATGGTTAAGTTTTTCTTCATGGGTCACTTTCTGGAATTTTTATCCTCTGCTAATGGTTAAGTAATCTAATAGCTTAACGTTTATGGTCACCGACAGAATTATGGAAAAAAATAAAACGTTCAACTTAGACAGGCGGCGCCTGCGTCCGATTTTTCCATAATTGGATTTTTCCCCATAAGGGTTCAAAATATCCCGGAAGTGATCCGAACCTTTTTTTTCCATAATTCTTGGAGGTGGCCATTATTTCCATAATTGATTTTTCCTGTGAAATCAGGGGGCTAGGGCAGATTGACCGGTTTTTCCACAATAATTTTTTCCATAATTAATGTTTGGGGCTCCACCTGTTGGACATGTCATGGATCCACAATTCAAACCCGTGTTTTTTGGGGTTATGGAAATATGTATGCAAATGCAAGTATGTAGTATCAACCCAATTGGTGGCTTGGCAAAAGGAAACATCCAGATATTATGTATATCAATGGCAGGCTTTAGGGGCATATACCAGACCTTTAGACACATATTTTCTATAATTCAATATTCCCCCTTAAAATGCATTCAAATTGCGAACATCACATGATATTATGTATATCAATGGAAGACTTAGGGGCATATACCAGATCTTTAGACACATATTTTCTATAATTCAATATTCCCCCTTAAAATGCATTCAAATTGCGAATCGATGGACATACAGTCACCGACAGAATTATGGAAAAAAAATAATTATGGAAACAATAATTATGGGAAAAAAAAGGTTCGTAACTTTTCTATCATAGACAGGCGGCGCCTGTAAATTGAAAAGCTTTTTTTCCATAATTCTGTCGGTGACTGTAAGTTTTTCCTAATTGGCAACTTTTAAGTAATCAAATTGGTTTTCCCATTTTACTAATCGGTAACTTTCTGGTAATTTGTTACATAGCTATTGAACATGGCCATAGAAATAGTTGACTTACCCATTAAAAATTGTGATTTTCAATAGCTATGTTAGTTTGGAAAACTATCCTCTGCTCATGGTTAAGTAATCTAATTGGTGGTTGACCTACCCCCCTGAAACATATGAAAGTCAGTTGGGATTATTAATTATTCCCAATATATGGAAAAATAGAAAATGTTCCAAACCACCAACCAGTAATGGTTAAGTAATTTATACCAATGGTTGTTATTCACCAATATCAACCAATGGTTAAGTGATTCATACTTTGGAAACTCGAATGGAACGGAAAATCCTCGAAGTCAATGGAGGCTGGGAAAACTCATCGAACTAAATGGAGATCAATGGAGGTTTCTAGCTGGGGAAAAAAAGTGTCCAGCCATGTTGACACCGGCTATGACCAAGCTATGATCCAAGGCGAATTTCATCGCACTGTTCCATGTTCTAAGATAGAGAACTGCTGAAGGAAGACAAATTATAGCAGTTTCTTTATGGAAATGTTCAACTGTTCTAGAAAGATATTCACATAAGACTTGGATGCAAAGATCAGATTTTTTTTATCTCTGATAAGATCGAACATGGCTAGCTGGAAAATCCGACATTGAATTATAGATGGTGTTCTCATATCCCATTTAAATGTCCATTAACACGGAATTGTCCATTGCCATGTTTGATTACCAACGGGATCCAAAGGGACTCCATCCGTCGTGCCGAAGAGCCAAAGATTGCAGTGCTCTGGAAAGGGTCAGAAATCCGTGTCAGCTGTCTCTATGATCAATTCAGAAACCAGAAATATCCACATGGTTTTGCATATTAAATATGCTACCCCTAATTCCAGTGGATAAAAAACTGATAAAAAACATTCACTTTCCTTGCTAAAATGTACTAACATATACTAATTGGTGGTTTCAACCCCTCTGAAAAATATTAAAGTCAGATTGGATCATCATCCCAACTATTGGGGAAAATAAAAAAATGTTCCAAACCACCAACCAGTAAGTGGAGGGTTTTAATTCCCCATTGTCAGACAACACCTCCAGCCCCAAAGCACTAACTCTGGCCTGGTGAACCCATAAGTAACTCCTCTGGGTGGAAAAAAATCAGTGCCCAATGCTGCTGATGTTTTACCCATGTCACAAAAAATGACGAGTTATAAAACAGTATAAAACAAGTATAAAACCAGATACCATCTGGTTATTTGACTTAGCCATGGAAAATCACCATTTTTAATATGTAAACCATCTATAAATGGGCCATGTTCCATGGCTATGTAACAAATAACCAGAGGGTAAACTCTGCAAAAGCGTACCAAGTCCAGCCATGTAAGACATTTGAAAACATTTTTCACCTGCGCAAAACAAACAGCCCTGACGTTGTCCCACTCCGCGCATCCGAGAGGCTGTGTGCTCACAGAGCGAAAGCGTTGGTGGATCCTAGATCTGGCACGTTACGGAAAAATGACGGGAAAGTCCCAAGAAAATTGATGATTGATATCTCATAGCATCCATGGTGCTGGTATATATGCTAACATGACTGATGGGATCCATGTTACCATATATAGCATACATGGATCCTATGGGTATGGTTAAAGGCTGGGAGAACTCCCAAAAGATGATGGTTAATATATGTTGATATATGTTAATATGGTTGAAATGTTGGGAAAAACAAAACAAAATGTTGGTTAATTAAATATGCGCTTAATCAATCGTCATGTTCCCCCCCTAAGATTGCCATTCTGAGGTATCCCCCAACAAATCAGACTCAGAAAGGCAATGCGGCGAAACACATGCGGTGGTGCTCCAGGTTGTTAGTTGGTTACAAATGTTGGGTTTATCGTACAAGGTGGTGCCCCTGTTTGATAGCTACGTCGGTTTATAACTCGAACAACCAGGACTTATCATATACATATACAATTATACATATACAATTATAGATATAATTGTATACATATACATACATATACATATATATATACACATATATATATAGTTAGTTAGTTAATTGGTTATAAACCAACTTAGCTATCTTGAAACCACCACATTGTAGATATCTCCAACAAGTTGGGGTGACATAGACCATGAGTCTGTGATTGTACCCCCGACCCATCCCCAAATGGGTGTGTTTTCCCCATGTTCAATCGCCTTACATCAGGAGCAAATCCCTTTTCTCAGACAAATCGATGGAAAGAAAACATACAGTAGATTTGGACTCAAGTGATACGAGTACCAATATCCCACTCTATCTTATCCCATTAGGTATCATTATACGTATATATATATATGTATATACACACACATATATTATGTATATGTATATATATATATATATCATTTTGTGCGGTTTTGCGATAGATTTACAATACATGTTATCTATTTATCGTATGAAATGTGATCCCCTTGCCCCCAATATCAAACACACCAAGAAACCAGGCTTTAGTAGGGAAATCATAAATATTTGGACCCACAAATGGGGTGTGTTTAGGAATGGGATTATGTGTCTGGCTGAAATATAACAATTCACTAACATGAAAACAGCTGAAATACCCTCTGGTAAACTAACATAGCTATTGAAAATGGCCATTTATAGTGGATTTACCCAGTAAAAATGGTGATTTTCCATAGCTATATTAGTTTACCAGAGGGTAGTTACCTCTACTAACCATATATCTAACCATTATTCCAGTGGCATCACGACGGCTCGGTCGCAGCAAAAATCATCCAGATATATCTCCTGAACTGGTAAAGGGTATCATTGAGGGTATCATGTGAGCAGCGTTCAAGACACACAGACATTGTCCTCTTTTTTTTCTGGCTGACTAGTGAGATTTCCCCAGTTCATGGATTATGATCAGCCCCACGATATAAAGGGTAGCATAGTTCTCAAACTAATCGCCAACCGACCATCATTAATTAGTTATATATATATACACACACTTATATCCACATGTTTCGATGGTAAAAAATACATATTAACTGACTGTAAACATCAGCCAACTATCATTTTTCTACATATTTTATCCCAAGTATATCTCCAGCTATTAATGATGGTTAAAGCCCCAAAAAAAATGATGGTTAAACCTCATCAACCAATTGTATCATTTATTGTCGTCGTATTCGCCCACATCATGGTTATCCCCATATGTTGATGGTTTTGTTTTTCAGCCCACATCAAATTCCATGATGGTTATTAATAATCATTTCAACTATGGTTAAATGATGGTTATTAATATATGACGGTTTAATATATATAGTTGATAGTATTACCAACTATAATCAACTATAATCAAATATCTCAAATCAACTATAATCAACTGTATCTCAAATTTGGATCTCAACATATCTCAACTATGTCTCCGTATTTTCATGGTTAACATCCCTACTATTGAGATATTAAAATTTAAAATCCCTATTAATGATGGTTGCGCAATCATCAACCAACAGCGCAGCTCATGTTTTCCTTTTGGGGGCCAGTCATCCCAACCCTCATCCAAGGCTTCCAAGGAGCTGAGCGGTCTTCCCCGATCCACCCGATCCAGTCGATTGACCTGCAGGGTGAAGTTGGGGGTTCTTGAAAGTTATCCTGCTCGAGTATTTTTAGATAACGAAATAACATGAAATAACTATGGAACACAATCACTTTCATGTGTTCTTAGATAGTAGGTAAATCATCAATCAATGGGCAAATGTCCATATCTATGTTAGTTTACTCGAGGGTATGAGAAACTTTGCTAATGTCCATCCAACATTAGACTTCAAACCAACTTTTAAGAGTTGTCTTAAGTGTCTTCACTATAGCCATAAGGTAACAACCCCCAGAAGTTAAGATACAACCATCCACTGATAATTGGCACTTTATCCCCAAACATTGGTGCAATCGGCTCTGAGGAAGGATATCTTTCAGGCTGTTACTCTTCGATCTTTTTGGCTTCGCTATGGATGATGGATTAAATCATTGGAGATTTTTGGATCCCCAAAACAATAGGTGTCAGTTGACAGATGCAAGTTGTTCTATTTCACCAGGTCTTCTGCGGGCTTTCTTTCATGAATATCACCTAAATCTGCATTTGGTATGAGGGGTACCTCCCCGTGTCCATTGTCAGTCTGTGCTAGTCAACAAAAAAAATGGCGTTGTTTTGCTGGTTCTGGTTCTAGTTATTTTTCCATTTATAGCAAACAACTAAAGGATCTGGTTGGTGGTTTTAAGCATCTTGAAAAATATGAGTTCGTCAATGGGAAGGATTATCCCATATATTATGGAAAATAAGAAATGTTCCAAACCACCAACCAGGGATTAAACTACCCCTCCAGTTGGTTGGGGATGTGTTAGTCATCATTCCTAAGGATGTTTTTTTTTTGGATCCCCAGTACAGATTATGACAATCCAACATTTTTCTGGGGTAGTATAAACCCCCGAACTAATCATGAACCAATGGGTTTTGCACACTGCTCCAATGGTGGCTCATGCTTCGTCATGCTTTATCGATCACTGTCACGGCGAATCAAAAACGGTGAAGTCAATTCCTGGGTAAGTAAAACCTGGTCAGTATCGGGCCAAAAAAACGGCACCCAACAAACAATGCAAAAGCCCTGAAAAAAAATATGTTCATCCAGGATTGACATGATGATGCATGGGAAAATAATGGAACATATCTAAGAAACCATTGAACTGTCAGGCATGTCACCTTGCACAAGTGAAAAACAACTCCTTTGGGTCCCAGAGATTACCCTCTGGTAACACAGTCATGGACAATCAAGTTTCTATAAAAGCTAAACATTGCAATTCATCACTTACCCTCTGGTAAACGTTTACAGTTTGCTATTGAAAATGGTGATTTAGTTCGTGGATTTACCCAGCTACAAAATGGTGGATTTTTCCACAGATCCACGGACCCGCCCCCCGGGCTGCATGAGATCTTCACGTAGATTTCTAGACCCGACTGGCTGCAGCATGATTTTTAAATGATCATATTCCTCTCACTGAATGCCTAAATGATCTAAATGCAACATGGAAGCCCATCTTAAGTTCCATATCCAACAGGAAGATCTTCCAGAGCTCATGATTCTTGGGGCTGAAACCCGTGAAATCGAGGGGAAACATGGGCAGAACACCTCGGAACTCTCGCATTGGTGAAGATGTAGCGTCATTGGACACCCCTGGTGGAGTTAGCAGTTTACCTGGCCGAGGATGGTGGGTTTTCCAGCCATGCGACTGATGACCAGAGGGTAATCCCTTCCCCGGTTCATATGCAATTTTAATGTACAAGTATTGGATCTGTTCACGAATTGGGGTCTCATACAATGGGATTGTATGGGTGTGTCTGAAAATTCCGGGAAAACTCAAGAATCATGATGAAATTCACCATTCATAAGTTTCCAACAATTTTATATTGCAATTTGGGGTATCCTCCGTTTTCAGACAGACCCTATATATATACAAAAATAAGAAGATAAATAAATAAAATAATATACATATATATATATTACATACATACATTCCATTACAGTACATTGCATTACATTACATTACAATACAATGCATTACATTACAATTACATTATATTACATTACATTACATATGTTACATACATTACATACATTACATACATTACATACATTGCATGCAATACATACATTACATACATGACATACATTACATACATTACATGACATGACATTACATGACATTACCTGACATTACATGACATTAAATGACATTACATGACATTACATGACATTACATGACATTACATGACATTACATGACATTACATTACATACATACTTGCATTGCAATTGCATGGTATTGCATTGCATTGCATTACGCTACGTTCTTTTCATTGCATTGCATTGCATTACATTACATACATTCATACAGCCATGCTTTACATACATGCATTACATACATGCATTACATACATACATACATACATACATACATACATACATACATACATACATAACATTACATAACATTACATTACATTACATTACATTACATTACATTACAGTACATACATACATACATACATTACACTACAATAAAATACAAAACAATATAATACGATGCAATACAATACAATACATACAATGTGGTGCCCCCTCCATTTGTAAGTTGGTAAACAACATCTCATATCCACATTAACTATAGGTTATCAATAGTTATCATCTACCATAAGTCCTAGTTATAAACCAGCTACTATCTCTATAGAATTATAAACCAACTTAGCTATCTTGGAGGCATCACCTTTTAGCAACAAAGAACTGCAGAGATGGGAAGGTCGTGACCGATTTTTTAGTCGTGACCTCCGAATGAACACAACTTGAGACTTCGAGTCGAAAGCCAACGAATGAAGCGGAGTAGGAAAAACAGCGGAGTAGGAAAAACGACGTTGCACAAAGGACAAAAAGAAAGAGAGAAAGAGAGAGAGAGAGAGAAACCATCAGCCAGTCGCAAGACATGTAAGACATGTCAGGTTGGGGTTTAATGCACCTCGTTAGCTTCGATGGTGAATAATAATCCCTTGTAATATTTGAAGTAAAGTTTTTTCTTGGGACAGCCTCAGAGTGAAATTTCTGCGATTCGAATTGGATAGACTTAGATTTCCGCGATAGCCCCAGCCCCAACCACTTTCTCCAGCTAAATATTCAGTCAGACAAAGAGGTAGAATCACCCAGTTTCCCCAGCTAATGGCTTGTGGCCATGATTTTCCCGTAAGTCGGACCCGGTAAGGTACACAGACCTGCGCCAGTAAAGTCTTTGGCAGCAGAGAAGCCACTCCTCCGTTTTGGGGATCAGAGATGATCATTTGGTGAATTTCGACATCTCGGATCATCTTACCATATTTTACCCATGACCATTGCCATTTCCGGGATTTTCCGGACCTCAATTGGTGAATAGCCCCAACCGACGCTTGTAATGTACCTCTCCCGAAAAATGGCTACCATTCAGCGAGCTTTTACCCTCCGGAAAAATTTATCATGGCAATGGAACCATCCTAACTTTCAATGGGAAGACCATGGCATCAATGGATGGAAAAACCATACAAAAAAAAAAAACTGCGAAAACTGCGATGAGATATATCCCATAGGATCCATGGTGCTGGTATATATGCTAACATTTGGGGTATATTGATGGGATCCATGTTACCATATATAGCATATATGGATCCTATGGGAATTGAATACCGGAATACCCTCCGGTCATCAGCTCCGGCTAGCTGGAAAATCCCCTAATTTGTTAAGTTTCTAGCTGGAAAATCATCAAATTCAACGGGGAAAAAACGGGACCCAGTCTCGTGACTGATCACCGGAGGGCACCTCGGTTGATCGGATGCAGAAAAACGTGAACCCTCTGGTGATCTAACAGTTTGCCATGGTATAGATGACCATGTTCAATAGGTAAATCATCTACAAATCGGAAAAAAACATCGCAAATCATGACAGGGTAAACTCTCCAAAGAAATCCATATGCTATATGTGGTTTTCACATGTTTTCACAATACACAGACACTGGACATTAAAAGCCATATTACGGTTTCTACAGGGTGCTGTTTTTCAGTTGTAAGTTGGTTTCCTCCACGTTCACCACAGATATATCTACAATTTTCATCACAGAAATGATGGGAAACTTTACAGGAATGCCCTACCCATTTGATGGTAAAAACCATGGTTTCCGGTTAAGATTTTCCCCTAAACCAATCCATATATATATAACTATAATATACCCAACTATAAAACTATAATATATTATAATGATATATATATATAATGTTAAAAGATATACAGTATTATAAAATAGTTATTATATATATTATATATATAATATTATATAATGTTATAAAATATAATAAAATAGTCATTATATATGTATATATATATATATTATTAGAACTCTAACATTATATAACTATTTAAACCAAACCATGTTTCATAAACCCAGTGGAGTTTTTGCAACGCCCCCTTCTCCTGGACGATGCAGCGCCGCTATCTCCTGGACTTTGGACGGTTACCCTTCGGTGACTTGGGATATCCCATATGCTCCATGGTGCTGGAATATTACCAGATATTCTAAGATCATGGGATATCCCTAGCTATATTAATCATCCCATATAAACCATGGGATCATATATCCCTTATATCTTGGTAAATTATCATATTTCACTAACCTGAATTAAGGCTCATTTGGGGATGATTCCCCTTACTAACCATGATTATAGTGAGGGAGAACAGTGAGGTCGTTATAATTTACCCAGAATATGAAATGGGATATTCATGGGATTTAATTCATCAAAAGAAAAATCAACTATTGGGTAATCAGACATAGCAATCGGAAATCCCGTATACATGGAGGCAAGCCATGCTTGATTCGGGGCAACAACAACCAAGAAAATCATGGTGGTTTACCAAAAAAAACATTCTCGATCTAGCCAAGACGTTCCTGGTAATCATTGTAATCTGGCCTTTTTACCATTTGCATGGTCACCATGTTTGACCAGAAATGTATTGGATAAACCATCTCCAGTTGGAGTCATATGTTGTTGATAAACAAAAATCCACGGTCGGATACCTAGTTTTGAGGAGTGAAATCCCTCTTTTATATATATAGTATTATATAGTTTGTTTTAAGCATTAGGGTGGTAAACCCAATAATCCACCATCCCATCAACTACCCCGCATTTTACATCAGCACAAAAAAAAATATAGCCAATAATAAACCTCTATTGGGGATGGCTTATTTTTGGCTTTACCACATTATAGAATGACAAAACATAAGTTAAATTGATCTATAGTCTATATAGTTCTATCTTAGCTCGAGCTGCAAAGAGTCCCAGCCATCCGCTGACCCTTTGGACTTTTTACCCGGAAAAAATGTCGAATATACCATGAAACATCAGGGATTCAAATCTCAAACATATATAAACATATTCAAACATGGTAATTCAATACATCAATCCTTGGGATTTACCTTCCTTCATTGATGTGGAAAACCCACCATGAATGCAAATCATGTTCCGAACAAGTTTTCAGGTTTTCCACAGCTTTCTTAGTTTACACCATGATTTACCTATCGAAATACGACCAGAATTCCTGGATCTCGGAACTTCATCCATGTTTCAGTTCGGTAAATCATCTTTATCAATGTTTATCATCTATAATCTATAAGTAGCTCCATGGTGCTGGAATATGAATCCCTACATAGAAACCCCAAATTCATCAACCAGTTTTGTAGGGATTCATATTCCAGCACCATGGTGAGCTAATCTGGGATCTATAAATTTATAGCTCATGTGTTTCATCATTTGTCCATTTCGCTTACCCTCTGGGAATTTAACATAGCTATAGAAAATCACCATGTTCAATGGGAAAATCCACTATAAATCACCATTTTCAATAGCTATTTTGACATAACCAGAGGGTAAGCTGTTTTCGTCACGTTGGACCCGCACCGAGCCCTCCGAACAAAATCGCCATTCGACCGATTGCGAGCGCCTGGAACCGGGAAAGTTGAACCGGAGCGCGCCGAGCCTGGTGACCTGCAGGTAATGGTGGATGGATGATTATTCTGAGATGTACCATCTGGTTATGACTAACATAGCCATGGTATAGATGGCCCATTTATGGATGATTTTCCCAGCTAGAAACCTCCATTTTTAAGTGATTTTCCATGGCTATGTTAAATAACCAGAGGGTAAAGGGATGGTTTATGCTGGTTAATGATGTTTAATGATGATTTAATAATGATGGTTAATTCATAAAGATGCATTTATGCTGGTTAATAAAATGGATGATGGTTTAATGATGGTCAGTAATGGTTCTTAAATTCAAAACTCTGGTAAACGTTTACAGTTGGCTATTGAAAATTGCCCATTTAGTTCGTTGATTTACCCATTGAAAATGGTGTTTGTTTTTTTTAATTGTTTTTTGTATGTTTACCAGAGGGTAAAATGGAAGATGGGGATAGTCATGGGATATCAGTGGGATAATATATACCCTCTGGATCATGGGATAAAAAGGGATATCATAGGAAAAGAATGGAAGAATGGATGATTAATGATAATCACGGATTTACAGCATGGGGCCCCCAGTCGATAGGGTTCAGTTGTTTAAAAACAGTTGCTGAATGAAAAATGGTTTATGGTAGATATATATATATATAACAAACTAGTTTTCATGGATGTTAATGGGGTGTATAAACCAACTTATAACTGGGGGGCACCATCCTGTAGGGGTAGCCTAATATTTTGGGACACCTCCATAGACAGTTTTAGATCAACACATGTAGATATTTAGAATATACATGAGATATATCATATATATAATATATATATAATATGTAGTAGAAATACACAATACACATCTATGATCATATATAGAAATCGTCATACTATGTTATATAGTATCATAGGTATCATAAACATTCATAAACTAATAGTATCATAGGCTATATCGGAGAATCGTATATCGATGGTCAATCTTGGGAGTCCTCTGTTCCTCTCATAGCAAAAAAAACTGAAGAATTAAACTACCGATCGGTTCAAGTTTGGGGATACATATGTATATATATATAATAGGTATAGCATATATAATATATCATAAATCATACTATGTTATGTAATATCATAATATATCATACTATGATATCACAATAACATGATCATGTTGATATTATATGATGTTATATAGTAGTTGAAAGCACCAACCAGTTGAACTGTCTCTGTGACAAGGTTACCATCCTGATCCCAAGTAATCCAGAGGTGCTAAGCCGCACTCTATGGCCTAGCACCAGTGTATGGATGTGTATGGTGTCCAATGTTCATGGAAATCCATAGAGTGTGGCTACAAAGGGGCCACATCCCCTAGCGAAGTTTGAACGGCTATTTGATTTGGCGCGTTGAAAATCTGAACCACATGACAGAAAAAATCTGAACCACACAGTTTCACCCATCATTTCGCCCATCATTTTCTCATGAAAAAAGTCGCAAGCTGCTTAAGTACCCCCAAATAAATAACACATATTTTCTCAAGTGTTGGACAATATTCATATTCAAAAATTTGATTAAGGGAAATCCACTTTTCCATACTTTCCCCCAGTATCAATATTTCATATTACCCAGTATCACATTTTGGATGATTATTCCCTGAATCATATTACCAGTATCCTTAAGGGAAACCCACTTTTCCCCAGTATCTTCATCGGACACTGCTCACGAAACCCCGACCTGGACCGTACCTGGCCGCTGGACAATTTAGGCCGGGTGGTGGTTTTGCAGTCATTGGATCATCGTCCCAAATACATAGTTAATTAATTAATATATATATATATAGAAAGAGAGAGAGGGAGAGAGAGAGAGAGAGAGAGTGAAACCATCAAAAAATGCCGAACAGAGTTTCCAGGATGCTAGTTCAATGATGTTTTCCCCAGAGTTTTCAGGTGTCCAAGGCATTTTCGGCATCATTTTTTGAGGGTTGCACAAAAAATCTAATATGTTTTAAAAGAATCAAAGCCCCAACCAGCTGGTCAATGGGCCACTCAAGGCACAGAAAATGACTGCGGGCCATGTGGGGGATTCGAAATATGGATCTGAAAAAAGTGCGGTATGTACTATATATACCCAATTCCAAGGAATTATGATCATCTTATTCCATGTAAGTGGCCAATTCAAACATGAAACATGGTAGCTGCGTAGCTCATCAGGCCAGTCACCTTCCTTAGTTCGCTGGTCGAACTAAGGGATGGTTTTTCATCCCAGAAGTCAACCATGGCTTGAAAGATCAGGGGGTTCAAACAAGCACTGCATTAATTAGGTATCAGTATGAATTATGAATATCCATAAGTCCAATCATAATTCAGTATATGTAATATTATAGATATCCAATAATCCAATATGATGAATTTCTTATGAATTATCCGATCAATTATGAATATCTTCTTGATCTCTATAAAATCATAAGCCGCGAATGTTTTCAATTTTTGAAAAAATGTGTGACACCATGAACTGGGCTAATTTTGTAGGTTGGTAAATCTAAAGCAGTTATTGGAATGATTGTTGTATATTAGCGTGTTGCTTTCAACTAATTCTACATCTGCTTGAGATTTTCTTCCAGATGCCTTGCATCCATTAAATTGCACCTGCCATACAATGACGAACATATGGATTATTAATATAGATTAATATAGTATATGGGTTGTATATGGATTAACATATACATATATGATCTAATATATGGCTTATTAACAAACAGGTAATATACACACACACACATTACCATCAAGACCTCCCCAACTTTTCACTCGCTTCCCCCAAATGCCTTGTGCCCCGCATCACCCTTGGGGTCCCTTCCTTGGGGTCTCCCAGGGGTCTCCCAGGGGTCCCCCGCGGCCTTGAGTTTGCCAATCTGAGATTTGTAACCTCAATCCATCACAATCCACCGGGGATGCCGAGACGGGCCGAGATGCCTAAATATCATTGCAACGGTAATCCCACGGTTGGTTCAAAAAACGGGATTCCCCGTGAAAAATGTACAATAAATGGTGCTGTACAATATAAAACGCTAGTACAATATATGTCATAATATACTTAAAGGGTAGTATTATGAAATATTGGAAGTACAATGAAATAATCTCGAAGATATAAAGGCTAGAAAAAAATCCCCAATCATGAACCAACAGGGGCGTCTCGCAGCCACTGCTCATATGACTCAGGGAATTCACATTCGGAAATCCCAGCCCCTTGGAAAGCCTGAAACGTCTTAGATCTAAGATCTCATTTTGTTGTGACGCAGTCATTCGCCTAGGCCTATAAGGTGAGAATCCCATGATAGCCAAGTTGACAAAAATAACTTTGTGAACTGCTGGGTTGATGAGGGGGATATGTCTAAAGCGTTCATGGGTTTATAAACCATCTTTTGCTGATGATGGAATTATGTTCCATTTATAGCGGGAAAAAAAACGAAAGGGTTAGTTTCTAAATTCTTTTGCTGCTAAAGAATCCATGTGTTTTCCATAAAAACTAAAGGAATAGTTTCTCTACCTATCCAGTTGCTTGGGGATGAACCCTTCGGGTGAGCCCCGTGTGACTGAGACTCCAGGCAGTATTGACACACGTCGAAACCTGGGGCCAAGGCTTGAGAAAGTAGCCAGAGAAAGCTGAGGTTAAGCACTTCTGCAGAAAACCACTGCTAGTGAAGATTGTCTAGAAATATGGTGTAAGTTTAAATATGTTCTAATCCCACGGCCCTAATATCATCTAATATCAAAAACGTTTCAGAAATCATGGTTTACAATATTGGATTTACATGGATTTACGAATATATGAGACCATTTCGGGAGCTTTTAACATTTCGGGGATGGTGTTAATTAATTGGAAAATACATGGAAAATACCAGAAAAGAACAAAAAATGGGTGCCTTTTGATGCTTTTTGGTGGTCTAGCTAGCTGCTTCAAATTTTGAAGGAAATCCCCATATTTTCAGCTATGGACCAAAGCCCTGGTATCCTGCTAAACACCAGGTGTTCACCCAAACCATCCACAATGAATGGCTATTGAAAATGATGGTGCCACCCCCGGTCGGATGGTGCCCTTAAAGAAAAGTGCAATTTCTTTGATCCAATCAACTTGATTCAAATTCTGGGTAGCTTATTTTCGGACACATGCAAGTGCTTAAAGCCAGGGTCCCCATCGGCCCGTGCGTTCAAGTCACGGCATTTCTCCTACGCTTCCGCGCAGACTTCCCGGGGTATGGATCCGGCATGGAATTTTTGGCATGTCATGGGACAGGGAGAATCCCTGGACTGATCAGTATAGATGGGGGAAACATAGGGTGTCTATAATAGCAGTAATAATGCGAACACCGACAATCAATAACAACAAGACAATACTCATAAACAAATCACAATAACAATAGTAATCATGATATGTAACAATATATATATATACAATATGTATAATATATACCATGTACCCCTTTCACGTTACAACTGATGAATTTTTGTTCACGTTACTGAGGCAGGGCAGTGCACGCACAAGCTCGCTCTCGAATGTCAAGGATCCGAGGTCATCAAAAAATGTTCCAACGGAACCGTGGAACATCTTACCATCTGGTTATGACTAACAGTTTGCCATGGAAAGATCCACCATTTTTAAGTTCGGTAAACCATCTATTTCTATGGGCCATCTATACCATGGCTATGTTAAATAGCCAGAGGGTAGATTCCTATTCAGGCTTCGGGGGCTATGTTTTTCTGGTGCATAGTTCAAAAAAAAGGAGGAAGTGATGTTTAGAGCAATGCCCAATAATGTCTATTTGGGCCCCCATGATTGGTTGTACTTAATATTTAGTACTAGAAGCCTCTGGTAATCAAACATGGCATTCTCGAAAATCCACCATTTAGATCCATTGAGTTCGTTAATTTTCCCAGCTATAAACATCTATAAAACTCCATGTTTAGGGAATTCCTAGCGTGTCATGTTTGAGACCGGAGGGCATCTCTCTTATGCATCCAGCAACCGCGCAGCCGCAGTCCGGACAGCTGTAATGGAGCTCATGGCGGTCGATGGTGTTGTGGCAATAGAAACATTCTCGGACATGGATATGACCTGGCTCAATGGGAATTTCAATTTCAGGATCCAATACATGGAGGTACGTAAACGTACCATAGTGTTGGCCATATGAATTGTGGGGATATTCCCTTCCTGAAAAATAGGCCAAAAATATATGGAATCGGTACCTCCAATAGAAAGGGCCATTGACCTGGCTGATTGGTAGATTCTGAGTATGGGAGTTAGCTGAGTATGGCATGGAGTGAAACTGAATCCGACTTGAAAAATGCTGGAAATGTCCTGGAAATGTCCTGGAAATGTCCTGAAAAACCCGAAAAAAATATGGTTTTGGTACCTGAGTACCTGAGTACCTGAGTGATGGCACCATTTCAGCCACTTTTCAAAGGGGAAAATGTGACGATGAACCAAACGGATCGGCGCTAGCCTTGTGGACAAAGCAACAAAATGACAACTAACGTGTACTAAAACTGGTTGGTGGTTGACTAACCTACCATTGGTTGGTAGTATACTGTTAATATATGGTTTATATTACTGTATATAATGGTTATTATTTGGTTAATGATGGTTATCTATATATCTGGTTGGTGGTGCAATGTGCCCATCTTGAAAAATGATGGACTTCGTCAATGGGAAGGATAACATCCCATATATGAAATGGAAAATAAAAAAAATGTTTGAAAGCAGCAACCAGATTATAATCCCCCATATATTGGGTAGTATAAATTACCAATATCTGGTAGTATAATAAACCACCAACCAGAAAATCATTGCTGGGTAACATGTCCTAAATTTCACCAATCCGGAGGCGTACAGAAAGTTCCACGGGTCTGCGAGAGTAAGACCCACAGGACCAGGAAGCCTAGAGATTCTGATACCATGTCTGTTTCAGATCTGTTTTGTGTTCGTTAAATGGGAAAACATGGGAAAACCCTTTACCCTCTGGTAATTTAACATAACTATGGAAAATCACCATTTATAGTGATTTTTCCCATTAAACATGGTGATTTTCAATAGCTATGTTAAATTACCAGAGGGTAGTCCTCCAGTGATTCATCAGAAAATTGTCCCAGATGTTTCGCTGATTGCGCCATTCGAAAAAAAGGCCGGGACAATCCAAAAAGGTCACACGAAAAGGTCACAGTCCGTCATGTCTTAGAGAACCATGTGTCTGCAAAACACATTACAGTAATGTTCATTTAACCAACGAAGCACTTATTTAAGTGATCTCAGATGAAGCATGATGAAACATATTAGTTATATATAATTATATGATACAAGTAGCCATTAACATCTCCATATATCAAAAAATATATATATATAATTATATATATATGGTTGGTGGTTTTAACCATCTTGAAAAATATTAGTCAGTTGGGATTATTATTCCCAATATATGGAAAAATAAATAAATTACTTTGCTTCGAGTGATCCCCACCATGACATTTCAAAACAGCTTGTTGACACCACTTTTGTCTGAAGCTTTTGTCACGGGACTTTTGCCCAACTAACTATCCCAATCATTTGTTTCACCTGGCAGGTCATTGTGCATGTCAGTCTGTCAAACAGGATATAAACATGTCAGTGGGCCATGTGAAGTAAACTCCAGAGCTCTCAACAGGTTTGCTTAAACATGACCAAACAGGCCAGTGGACCACCTGAGCCAAACAAACAAACATGCCCAAACATGTCAGCACACCGCCTGTCAAACATGTTTGTAAAAACATGACTGAAACAAGCCAGTGGACCACCTGAACCAAAGTCAAAAGCTCGCAAGCTCGTGTGTAAACTAGACAAAACCATGCCAGTGTTACTTCACCAGATCGCTGCAGCTGCAACTCTCTATTCCTCCACCAGACCTCTTCAATCAAAACCGATTAGGTCCCACAGGTAGAGCAACGTGTCAGGCCTATGCCTCCCCCGGACCTCTTCAGTCAAAACCGATTAGGTCCCACTGGCAGAGCACTGTGTCAGGATGCTTGCAATGCATCATAGACAGGCCAGGACTGCAGCCGCTCCAGCGTCGAAGCAGCTTTGGTTTCCAACTTGTCAGTCAGTTCTCGCAAGTAGGTAGGAGGGCCTCTGCGTAAAAGCTCCTCCACTTGCTCCGTGAACCCCAGCAAGATGAGATTCTTCAGTTTGCGGGCACGCGTCAGCATGACATAGATGGCTAGCCACCAGTCGGCATCCTCTAGGCCACCACCACGACGCAAATGAACCAGCACACCTCCGTCCAAAGTCAAGCCTTGCGCGCTGTAAGCAGTGCGCAGCATGCCATGCAAAAGAGGAAACTGCCAGCGAATCACTTCAATTTTCTCGGTTTCCTCGCCTAGCTTCAAATCAATTTTGAACTCTGCACGCACCAATTCCACAAAGAACAATGTCTTTGCGTCAGTTGTGTGATCGGCCACATTCTGAAACTTTTCTTCCCACGTCTGCAACAGAGCATCTTCCATGGGCGAATTCTTTCCTTTAAGTAATTTCACCCAGATACCTTTGGCCATGTAGTCCGGAAAAAAATGACAGAATCCAGGTTCCCGACGGTCCAGGCGCTTCTGATCTTCATGGTGCAAATCCACTTTCACTACCACTGCCAGTTTGTCTTTAACCAATCCAAGGTGTGGAGCCAAGACATCCGCCAGTCGCACAACCATGTTCTCGTGCACCAGTAGCATGCCTTGCAATTTGCCAGTGCGATGCGGGTTTGGAACAGTGAGCAGCTGATGCGTCAGCTGTTTGTCTATGGCTTTATTTTTTCTGGAATGCCTTTGGTCAGCAGCTTGCAAACAAAATAACGGCACATCCAGGTCTTGCGCATCTCGATTTGCCCGTTCCACCATGCTGCGAGCAATGTTCCGATGTCACATATCCACCATGCCACCATAGCTGTGATACACGACAGAAACCCTGTGTGATGTTGACTGTCTCAAGCATCAATCCAGCATGAGATCACTTCAAGTAATTTGTAGTAACTTGCTGTAAGATGTTGCCTGTCTCAAGCATCTTTGCAAACAGCTCCAAAGGTACAGAAGTGGAAATGTCTCTGTCCACCCCAGTGACTCTGTCATCTGTTCAAACTGATTGCTTCAAACTTTGCCACCTGCAAAGTAAGAAGTGGCATTGCCCCAGTCACTCTACCACACACGCGCGAGTTTGCAAGTAATATATAACATACTTGTCTGACATTCTTTCTAACTTTCTTCTGCACATTCTTTGTCCCATATCTTCCTACATGAGGTCCGGCAGGGAACACTTGGCGTGGATACTCGCGGTTGAGGTCCGGCAGGGAACACTGGGCGTGGATGGTCGTGGTTGAGGTCCGGCAGGGAACACTGGGCGGGATGGTCGTGGTTGAGGTCCGGCAGGGAACACTGGGCGTGGATGGTCGTGGTTGAGGTCCGACAGAGAACACTGTGCGTCGAGGGTCGCGGTTGAGCAGGAGGAGGAGGAGAGGAGAGGAGGAGAGGAGCAGGCAACTGACATAAAATCTAACAACCCTCACCTGGCAGGTGGGGAACAAAAACAAACCACCAACCAGATATATACAGACAATTTATCCCATAAATAACAAATTATTGACATTTTGAGGCGAAGGTTCCCAAATCTGGGAGGTCATTTTGACGCAGCTTGGCGCCTTGCCAGGGTTTGAGTTTCTTCACCTTCTCCACCACATGGCCCGCACGGCACCTGCTAAAGGATAGGGAACAAAAACCCAGAAATCATCAGGTTTAGAAAATCATAAGATAATTTAGAAACATATGGTTTTGAAATAATTTAGTAAACCACCACCACCACCATCATCATGAATCATCATCATCATCATCATCATCATCATCATCATCATCATCATCATCATCACCATATATCATTATGATCATCATCATCATCACCATCATCATCATCATCATCAATATCATCATCATCATCATCATCAAAGATGGTTTTGAAATTGAGCATTAAGAAACATTAAGAAAACAAAATCATACAAAATCATCTTCAACATTATCACTCAAGCAAATTCATGAGCCATGTTCAGATGATTTGACATGTCGGAAATGTCATTCCATTGTACCGGTTGATGGAGATGACGGTAGTAGATGATAAACATCCCCGATAGACCAGGTACTAGCACCCCTATATTGACCAGTAACTTGTTTTTGCCCCTGTCATTCGATAGAAAAACTGAGAAGTTGATACCCGTTAGTGCAATATCTTCTTCGAACACTTTGCCTCGATTCTGCATACACCAGCTCGACTGAGAGCAGGATCTATTGGTTTTGATGCGTATTATACTGCAATTCAATAGTTTAGGGCCAGCAAAAAAATGCGCACAAAAGAAACAAATTTAAAATACCCGCAAAAGATACAACAAGGCCAAAAATTCAAAAACTGTAGCAAACCAAACTTGCAATGGAGAAGAAACGGACCCTCTTGGACAATTCTTCTTCAAACGAGCAGTTTTTGAAAACGAGCGACCATCCACAGCACGTGTAGAAAAAAAACAAGAACTCATCAACATCATCAACAGGTGTTTTTCACGCGAGGCATCACTTTGTCGTTCATCACTTTGTTTAGGTTGTTTTAGGTGGACATGAGGCGTGCTTCTTTCCCCGATGCCAGAGGATACCGTGGGATGATCATCTGGTGGGGGCTACCTACCCCTCTGAAAAATCTGGTGAAAGTCAGTTGAGGTTATGAAATTCCCAACTTTTCATGGAAAGTCAGTGAAAATTCCATGGTATTCCATGGTTCCAGTCACCACCAACCAGTCATTTTTGTTAGTTTCAAGGATCATCGAAGTATATACAAGCAGAGAAATACCAACAGGACCAGACCAGAACCCCAAGAAGCATCATATGTTAGGGTTTCGGTACAGAAACGTCCAAGTCAGCTTTGATGTATGACTCAGGTATATATATATAGATACATCATTTTCTGTACCTATTCATATGAGGGGGTACCACATATTGCATCAGTTCGAATTTTCAATCATTTTCACCATAGACTGGGCATGAACGACAGTAGATCCACCCATCATGGAATCATCGGAGGTCCATAGTCATGGGGAAGCCCATGGGAAATCCAAAATCGCTGGTTGGTTTTTATTTCATGGAAAATCAAAATCTATGGATGATAATTAACTAGGGGTACCATTTCAGGAAAACCCCCATTTTGATCATCAGGGGATAACTAGGGGTACCTCATGACAAAACGGAAACACCTCCATATTTTGATCAATTTTTGATCAAAATGGGGCACCACTGACCTGAAGGGGCCATCAGGCCTTCCCGTCTCAAACGCTGAAAGTTATGTTCTGCAATCACCAGATTTGACCGCAAGCATAGGCTTCTACAAATCACCATAACTAATATGTAGAAAAAACGCACATATGTTGAATGTCTATCACTGTGTATCGATATAGATTCTGATTTATAGATATTATATGATATTATATGAATTTATATGATATAATGTTGCAACATCAATGGTCATACTACAGCAATGACAATAATGTCATCATGTGCAGAATGACCCAAATTCTGCCACTGAAGTTAAAGCCATTACTGTACTACTTTTATATAGTATTGCTACTTTGCTCCCCAACCCGGGCGTCAAATGTAGTATCATATGGCTTGGTCCGAAAATCAGCGACCCCCATCTATCATCTATCATCATCATTTCCCCAATTCTAGTGGTGTTATGATGGCCATGAAGGGGGCATGTTCAAACAAACAAAGGCGCGGCCCACGCCTCAGCATTGGTCAAACGTGGACTCGGCACGAATCACATCCGTGGACTCGTTGGCGGTTGAGACGCCACCTGTTTCTAGTTGGGTGCCATTTGTTCGAGATGTTTACTGATGGTTAATGATTGTTAATCATGTTTAATAATGGTTAATAATGGTTAATAATGATGATTTGGGAATCTGGAAAATCCCCCAAAAATGGGATAAAAATGCCGCCGCCGTTACGGGTCGGGGTCTGGTTGGGTCTGGTTGCGGTGTCTGTTACCCAGCCAGGAACGTCAGGCTTGAACCAGCGTGCCAGCGTGCGGCGACACGTACCCAGAAAGCGGCTTTGAACATCCACTAGAAATGGAGGTTTTAATGGGAAAAACATTCTATAAATGGTGGTTTGTCCGTTGCTATGCTTGACTACCAGAGGGTATCCATTTCAAATAGGATTATCTCAAGCATCTTTGATCGTGTTGAAGTCTCAAGAACAAATGTATGACTGCCAACTAAGATGCATGTTTCTCAGTGGAAGAACTGACTCCCAACCAGCCCATCTATCCCATCATACATCAATCATAGATCGTTAATAAACCATATTAGTGATTGTTGGTGGTTAAAAAAAACCTTAATAAACCTTGATTTTTCTCAGGGTTGCTCCACACACCACAGGTACAAAATGGGGAAATGTCAAGGAAAATGACCATGGGTTACCACTTTAGCTATCATTTCCCGATGCTTTGGAGCAACCCTTAGGATTTTTCATCACGACTTCCGCGTCTCCGCGTTCCGTTCCGTCCCTCCTTTTCTCCCCGCCAGCTTTCACGGGTAGAGGATTGACCTGCAGGGAATCGGATCAAAATGGTGTCATTGGGCTACCTGTCTGGACCTAGAAATGGCCATGTGTTTAGTATTAAGACATATCCTATATACATATATATATATATATACAAATACATAATATATATATATATACAAATATTATATATATGTATACAAAAATAATATATATATATATATAGAAATATAATATATGTATTATATATATATAAACCATTCATGTTTTGGTGGGTTGATGGTGTTGATCATTGCGCCCCTGCACTTCTTCTGCGATCTGAAAGCCCAAAGACTGGGTCCCTGCCTGCATTCCGATGCACTGCATGCAGCGCAGCCAAGTCCTACGACAATTGGGGTCTCAACTGTATAGCTATACCAGCGGCACAGGGATTGCAAAAAATATATGGCGATATGAAGAGTGTTTAAAACCTCCTTTGGCTGATGATTGTAGGGGATTGTACTAAGCAATATATTGGGGATTATTAATCACAGTCATTAGAGGAATCCCTACCAACCAACGAGTATAAAGGGGCCACAGAGGGTTTTGAACACTGCTCATACTGGGATATAATTAGTGGGGATACAATGGTGTCTATTAATCAATAATGATATAGGGGATATCACAGCTAAGTGCCATTGCAAAAATACATCAATGCATAGACGGCTGAAGTTCTCAAGTTCTCAGAACAGCATCTCCAAATTTACCGGGTGAATGATCATGATTCGCCGACCTGAAATAAGTAATGGGATCCCTATAAAAACAACCATTCCAGTGACGTCGCGATGGCTTCGGTCGTCATGAAATTCATCCAGAGATTTGCCAACCATTGCGGCAAGTTCTCAAAACGGGCGAGCTACCCTGAGGAAATCAAGCATGGTTGGAAAATTCCCAAGCTAAAAACATGGTCAATCTTCGGTAGTCCATTTTCTTTTTTGCTGGTCAAGGTAATTGTCCATTTATAGCTAAAAACTAAAGGATTTTTCACGCCGTGGCGTGACTGTGTGCGGTGGACACTGTGATGATGCAATTTTGCCCAGTTCTGCGCACATCCGCAGTTTTGTTCCGTCACCACAACCGCTGAAAAACCGTTTCTTTCAGCAGCGGCTTCACAACACTATGACCTTCACATTTGGTTTTGAAACTCAATTGTTTGGAAACTGTTTTAAGAGCATATCATCAAGAGCATGTTACAGGTTACTTGAACAAGTTGAGAGCGTAGCATCCAGAGCATGCTACAAGTTACTTGAACAATTTAAGAGCGTAGCATTAAGAGCGTAGAAACAAGAACGTTATTGCCTCCCTACCCCACCCCACCCTACCCATCCAAGGTTGGGGATTAAATCTACGGGAAAAATGCCCCGTTCAATAGCCAAGTTGGTGAACATAACTCACATAACTTTAATAACTGAAATAACAGTTGGGCTTTTGGTGTACATATGCATTATAATATATATATAATATGTATCGAACTAGTTAACAAACCAACAAGCATAACTCTAAGTTGGTTGATAACTCCAATAACTAGGCTTTCTTGGGATTATATGTGATTATGATTGGTTATATCTATACTTAATAAGGGTTATAGACATAGACCATTTTAAACCACCACACATCACGGCCCGGGCACCCTCTCCTCCCGCAGCAGGAGAACGTCGTAGAACATTGAGGCCCGCCTCAGTCACCAAAACGCCGCAGCTCCGACCCGATTCACGGGACTCCGAAATTCAGCGGAAAATCGAACAATAGCCATGGAAAATCACAATTTTTAATAGGAAAACCCAAACCATCTATAAATGGGCAATTTTCCATGGTTATGTTAAATAACCAGAGGGTAATAGGCAAGTACATAATAGGGTAATAATGGGGACATAATGAGGAAATAATAAGGAAGTAATAGGGTAATAATGGGGACATAATGAGGAAATAATAAGGAAGTAATAGGGTAATAATGGGGACATAATGAGGAAATAATAAGGAAGTAATAGGGTAATAATGGGGACATAATGAGGACATAATAAGGATGTAATAGGGAAATAATAGGTACAGAATAGGGTAATAATAGGGTAAGTAATAACAAGGTAATAATACCCACACACGCGTGTGTTGCCCAGACATTGACATTGAGAATCTCGTGCTGTCGAATATATGATAGGAGAGATTGCAGAAAATACTGCGTATACGCAGTGTTTTACAGTTTAGGATTCAAAGTTTTCAGAGCCTAGGTTTTAGGGTTTCGGGTTTTAGGGTTTGGGGTTTTAGGGTTTTGGATGGTTTAGGGTTTTAGGGTTTAGGGTTCGTCGTCTGGGAAATTTCAAAACACTGGCCCTGCACAGGTGTTTTCAGCATGTTGAAGGATAATGTTTACACATGTTTAAACGCCATTTGAACCTTCCGGGCAACACACAGCGCCTGGCCGTAATAATAGGGACATAATTTAGGAAATAATAGGGGCACAATGGGGACATAATAGGGACATAATAGGGAAATAATAGGGAAATAAAAAGGGAATAATAAGGACATAATAGGGAAATAACCGGGAAATAATAGGGAAATAATAAGGGAATAATGGGAATATAATAGGGAACTAATAGGGCAATAATAGGGACCTAATAGGAGAATAATGCGGAAATAATAAGGAAATAATAGCGAGATAATAGGAAAATAATAGGGAAATAAAAAGGGAATAATAAGATATAATAAGGACATAGTAGGGAAATAACCGGGAAATAATAGGGAAATAATAAGGGAATAATGGGAACATATAGGGAAATAATAGGGAAATAATAGGGACGTAATGGGAAAATAATCTGAATATAATAGGGAAATAACAGGAACATAATAAGTATAAGGGAATAATAGGGATATAATGGAGAAATAATGGGATGTTAATGGTATAGAAATGGATATAAGAACAATAATAATATATAATGATAATATACTGGGATATAGCTAACCAACTCTTGAGCAATCAAAAAAGGATAAAAAGGGCTGGGAAATCCTCGAAGATTTACTGGATGGTTTTTAGCCGAAACAAAGATATATCGACCTCATGGAGGCTATTTACCGACCATACGTATACTGAATTAGGTACCCTCTGGTTATTTAACATAGCCATGGAAAATCACCATTTTTAATAGGTAAACCATCTATTTCCACGGGCCATCTATACCATGGCGAACTGTAACAAATAACCAGAGGGTTATTAGATACATATAGAAAATCACCAATTTAAGTAGATGATTTGCATGTTGAATATTGCTATTTTCCGAATGGCGGACTGCAGCATGTCATCCGTTTGTGATGTTGATGATGATCAGTTTGCCATGCACGGCCTTGATATTTTGTCTCTTTTCAAGGCCACGTGTTTCCCTTGGAAAAAATCTGCAGAAAAACAAATCCATATCTACCATTATCTTGCGAGGGTACCCTCTGGTAAACTAACATAGCTATTGAAAATGGCCATAGAAATAGTGAGCTTTCCCATGAAAAATGGTGATTTTCCATAGTTATGTAAATGTTTACCAGAGGGTAGTTACCTCTACTAACCATATATCTAACCATCAGGGAAAATCACCATAAGGTAGTTACCTCTACTAACCATGCCATAGGGTAGTCTTCAATTTTGTGTCCCTACGTTCAAACCACCCAGGTTTTACATGGTTTTACCCCATGCGGGTGACCTAACCGGACGTGAAACATCAAAGCTCACCTGGTTGGTGGTTGAACCCTACAATGTGGCCCCCCCCCAGTGATGTTAGTTGGTTTAAAAGCCCCAGTAACTATAGTTATAAGCACCATAAACCATAGATATTGGAGTTATAAACCAACTGAACGCTATCTTGGGGGCCTCACAATGTACCCCTCTGAAAAATCATGGAGTGAGTTCGTCAGTTGGGATGATGACATTCCATTCCCAACTTTTCATGGAAGGTCAGGGAAAATTCCCATGGTTCCAGTCACCACCAACCAGTCACCCTTTTTGTCGTAGCCGCTTAGCACGGTTCAATCCTCCAGTTTCACCCACCGACCAGGCACATGGTAGCCATGGCAGAAAGATCGAGCCCGCCCTCAACGAAATCCAGCACGGGAGCTGCTTGCGGCTGGGCCAATAAGATCTCCTCACGGCAACGGAAGTGCGGAAGTGGATAGGAAGATTCCGAATGCCTCCGGTCATTCAACAGTTTGCTAAGGGAAACGGCCCATTGATAGATGGTTTACCTATTGAAATGGTGATGTTAATTGATTCTATGTGATTTTCATTGATTCTCCATATATGTCAAAATTACCAGATGATAATTGGGGATAGAACCCATATACACTTGGGATATTTGATAGTTTAACCCACTTTTGATGACGGGGATGCAGAAAAGGTTGGTCATGTGTCGCATCAAACCAACTTTTTGGGGTCCCATGGGGTCAGCCGCTCAGTTTCCTGGTTAAGGGGGCCCCCAGCACCAGACATCATGTTGTGAGTTGGTGTTTCTGTGGGTCAAAATACCAATTGGATGCCAATAGGCTTTTGGATCTATCCCCACATAGTCCAAAGGCAACCCTTCTTGATGATTTTCGCTATCTTCAAGAACTTGCAAAGCTGTCTGAGTATCAGCATGAGGGTGCATCATCCTAACATCTCTCAATGCCTAGTAGATCATGAACAGATTTCTTCGTCAAAATATCCCGATAGACGGTTTTTGGTGGGTGACCCTTTTGATCTGAATCAACATCTTGTTTGAATCAATCTCGTGTTTCAATTTTAAAGTCTACCCTCCAGTAAGTATTAAAAATCCAGCATGAATCTAGATGATTTCCAAGTAAAACAACGATTTCCATAGTTCCCCACCTGCCAGGTGAGGGTTGTTAGATTTTATGTCAGTTGCCTGCTCCTCCTCTCCTCCTCTCCTCCTCATCTCCTCCTCTCTCCTCCTCCTCCTCGTCGTCCTCCTCCTCGTCGTCCTCCTCGTCGTCCTCCTCGTCCTCCTCGTCCAACTGCGACCCGCGATCCACAGTGTTCTCTGTCGGACCTCAACCACGACCATCCATGCTCAGTGTTCCCTGCCGGACCTCAACCACGACCATCCACGTCAGTGTGCCCTGCCGGACCTGAACCACGACCATCCCCGCCCAGTGTTCCCTGCCGGACCTCAACCACGACCATCCACGCCCAGTGTTCCCTGCCGGACCTCAACCACGACCATCCACGCCCAGTGTTCCCTGCCGGACCTCAACCACGACCATCCCCGCCCAGTGTTCCCTGCCGGACCTCAACCACGACCATCCACGCCCAGTGTTCCCTGCCGGACCTCAACCGCGAGTATCCACGCCAAGTGTTCCCTGCCGGACCTCATGTAGGAAGATATGGGACAAAGAATGTGCAGAAGAAAGTTAGAAGATAGAATGCCAGAAGATTTGCCAGATAATAATATGCCAGAAGATATGCCAGATAGAATGCCAGAAGATATACCAGATAGAATGCCAGAAGATATGCCAGAACATATGCCGGAAGATATGCTAGATAGAATGCCAGATAGAATGCCAGAAGATATGTCATAATATATGCCAGATAGAATGCCAGAAAATATGCCAGATGCAATATCAGATAGAATGCCAGAAGATATGCCAGAAGATTTGCCAGATAGAATGCCAGAAGATATGCCAGAAGATATGCCAGATAGAATGCCAAAAGATATGTCAGATAGAATGCCAGAAGATTTGCCAGTAAGAAAATGTATAAATGTCATGGTGGGGATCACACGAAGTAAAGTATTTTTTCTGTGTTTATTGGTGAATCAATCAGCAGTTGTCTCCTTCTAGCTGGTGAGCAAGGAAACAAATTTGTTGCGTCCTGACCCACAGCCCCAGTTGTTTCCTTCTCCATGTTGTTCATTTGTATCTGCAAGGCATCTCGTTCTTCCTGCGCTGCTTCCCACTTTCGTCTCAAAGCCTTGGCAGCAGGGTCTTGGATGGATCCTTTTCGTGTGTTTTTTCCTTTTTTTCGGAAATCCGTTTCAGAAATACAGGGGGAGGTCCCTACAATGGGGTTACCTCCAAAACCATGGGTTTCAATACTAAAATGATCCAATTTTGGATGATTTGGGGGTAGCCCCATTTAAGAAACGACCAAATACAGGGAGAATATGGAGATGTCTAAGCCAAGTTAAATGTGAGATAATGTGAGTTGGTGCTTCTGTTTGAATCTGCAAGACCTACGAGGTGGACAGCCTAGATTAGATAGCCTGGTGTAAAAACTCCATTGACTATAGATTTATCTACCACAAGCGTCCATAGCCATAGTTCACCTGGTTGTAGAAGTACAAATCCCGCTCATTCTCAAGAGGAAGGTCATCTTCCAGGTCAGAAATTCCACTCACCCAAGCCACAGTTGCAAAGTTGTGCCCGACGGCTCAGCAAACCATGATACGGCTGGTGTTGATTTCCAGCAAATGGATGGTTTTTTTTTCACGACTGGAATCCTGCAGGTCTCTCCATTTCTGGCACTCAACCAACCCCACCAAACTAAGCTGACCCGCCCAAGCATTCAACCGGATGATGGGGTAGAAAATCCACACGCGAATCGGTCGGCCGAAAGGTTGGGGGGTTGGGGTTGGTTGAATCCCCATTAATTTTCCCATGATCCAATGCCCATTTTTGTTCCCATACTAGTTAGACAATGTTAGATATTCAGAGAATGTTAGATAGTTAGATATCCTATATATATAATATACAATGTATATATATATATATTCCCATCATATTCCCGTGATATTTCCAAATTCCCAGACAGGCCCAGACACCATGTTATCGCTGGTGGCTTGTTGCAATGCAGTGACCGCCTCGCAAAGGCGTTCCGTCAAGATCTCCCTGCTCACCTGAGCCATGAGTTGCTGAGGGGCCATCATGGCTATAGATGTCATGGCAGCTGGATGATTTACAAAGGAAAATCCTATTAAAATGGATGATTTAGGGGTATCCCTATTTTAGGAAAGCTTCATATGGTGAAAAAAAATGGTTTATAGTGGGAATCACATGGTTTGATATTCTGTATAAATTAATGGCTTAACTATTCAAATGGATAATCTACCGTTTCGCTGGGAAGAATATGGTATATAATCTGGGTACGGTATATATATATATAACTGGTTGGTGGTTTTAACCATCTTGAAAAATATTACACGTTATTTCACGTTATTTGGGGGGCCACGAGGCTGCCGGACGACCTCGCGACCCGCTCTTTGTCCAAGCTCAGACCGTCTTTGCGGCATTCAGCAGGGCCACGTCATTCGCCGTGACAACCTGGCGCCGCATTTGGGCAAACACAATGGAGTCAATCTCGTCCACTTGCTCTTTCGTCCAACGTAATCTGTAGCAGACCAGCCATTTCGCCACTGAAGCCGAGCATGGACGTGCTACCTTCTGAGGGATGATGACCTTGTTTCCTTTGAGATAGGACTTCCAAAGCAGCAAAAACCACTTGACTCTCGCCCCCCACGGAAGATGTGCCGCAGCCGGTGCCTCTTCTGCGACTGAGTACCACCGCTTCTTGTGGCACCAAGGTCCATCATACCCTGTGAATACATTGAACGCCATAAACAACTGGATGCCAGAGATATACACCAAAGGGTTCGACCCTTGAAGCATCATCGGGCCCTGCGCAGTCCACCACGCATGCATGTGCTCCAAAATGTCCCTCCCATACCGTCTGATTGCCTTGTCTGGGATAACCCAAGTCGCCGGCATCACCTGCTGGGGGACTCCAACCTCAGAGGTCAAAACAGGCTTAGGAGCTGGTGTCTGCTCAGCTGCAGCAACCCGTGAAGTCTGTAGGAGAACCTGTAAGATCGCAACATGTAACCTGCGATGGAAGTGCACTGCCTTAACCAGCCCTGTCCAAGCCTCCCAAAACTCAGGAGATCGCCGCTGGTTGATTGCGTCCGCAGCCCTGTCTGTCAAATTGTTGTGCCAGTAAGCCCACTCCTCAAGTGGCCCTGTGGCCTGTGCAGTTTGCCCATGCGAAACCACTTTGAAAACCTTAACAAGGGATCTACCCTCACCGACCAAGAGCTCCTGAAGACACATCCAAAGGTCTGAATGCGGCCTGTTCCTCTTAAGAGGTCGTTGTTGCAGCAACCGCTGGAGCCCACGTACCACTCCTTGGCAGTCACTCCACAAATGAACAAGCTGGCCTCTCTGCACTGCCCATCGCACTGCACAAACCATTGCTGTAAGTTCAGCCCGAAAAGGGGATTGAACCAAGCCAACCACATGCCCGCCCATGAGCAATCTGTTGTCAAGCGTTCCAGGACCACCTGGAACGACTGTCACTGCCCAGGCAGCGTAGCGCAACTTCGGCTCTTTCGGATGTGCGCTCGTACCATCCAAAAACAGTGTAACCGGTTCAGGGGTAACCAAAGTTGGGGGGATTACTGGTGACATCCTACAAAATCCATCGTCCAGAAGAAGGAACCTGGCAAAGACGTCCCATTCAGGAAGAATCACGGGGCAACCATGGTTTTGAAGACAAGACGGAAGGGTGGATACCACAGCAAGCTGATCAGCAGTCAGGTGAGCTCGGCAGGAAGCAAAGTGTGGGCAAATCCAAGCCCTATGATGGAAACCATCTTTAAGGGGACACCAAGGGCACTTGGAGGTAACTCTTGGGGTGAACTTGGCACGACCATTCTGGGTGAACAAGGTACCATCCAAGTGACAGCGAAGGTAAACTTGATCCACCGGGCCAAAACCTTTCAGTGCTTGATGCAGTTCAGTCAGGTCAGCATTTTCAATGCCTGCAAAGGTGCTCCGGTGCATCACTGCCTGAGACAAGACATGACCCCAAGACAGCTTGATGCGGAGGTGCAGCTCGTCCCAACCAACTGAGACCAAACTGAAGCAGCCAAACCGATCTTGCACCAGACCATGACCACCAACACCCCAACCGAGACGGGACAGCCGAGAGAACAAAACTGCAGTGGGCCCATTGGAAGGTAATCCATGATCAGGCTGAGCATACAAACCAAGGAGGGATTCCAACCGAGAGTAATCACCAAGATCCCGTGCATCACGGACGGTCTGAACAACTGCCCAAGCTTCAGGGTCGGTGAGCAGTGAAGAAGTCACCAGGTGCAAAGCCGGATTGGCCCCTTTTCTGTCAGACTTCAATGCCCGCATGGCACCAGACCTCAGTGAACGAAAGTGACCATCACCCAAGTGTACCACCGAAATTCCATGGAGAGCACGGGGCCAAGCCATCATGTGGATTGCTGAGATCTTGTGATGGTACGGCCCCTGGCTGGCACGAAGTCGGATCCAGATCGGAGGCATGCCAGCGAGGCGTTTCTGAACTTCAGCATTATGAGAATGCCTACTAAAGTTCTGATGAGCGCCAAGGTTGCGCTGTGACAACGCTACAGCCAAAGGGCCATCCCGGAATTGCTTCCTGGCATCAGGTTGATTGGACCAAATCCTTGTTTTGGTAAGGTCAATGGCCAAGTCCATGTGGCCAGTGAATTCCTCAACCGAGGCCCAGACGCGATCAAACACCCCAGCATCTTGAAAGAGAAGACCCCAGTCATCAACAAAGGTACGAAGACTGACCCGAACCTCCAGCGCTGAAATCCAAAGGTCAAGAACCCAGTCAACAACGACCATGCCAAAAACCGACAAAGCACAGCCCTCAGGAAGTCCACAGGTAGACCAGAGGGGCTCACCAACTGACCTCCGGACACGGAAGCGCCTGGTTTGGTGCGTGACAAAGTTGACCCAGGCACGCAACGTAGGCTCAGGGAAGCAAAGTCCATTCAAGGCATGCCACAGAGGGTGGCGTGGAATATTGTTGAAAGCTTTCTGAATATCCATCAGGACCCCATGCAATTCAGTGCCTTGCATATATGCCAATTCCAACGCAGAGGCAAGCTCATACCATATCGTTTTAGCTTGTCGGGCCGGAACCCCACCTTGCACACTAGCCGGAAGAATGGCTGCAATGGAACGCAAAGCTTCTCTGGCACGCTCAGTGGACCACACCCGGTAGAGGAGGCTGTAGACAACCACCGGCCTAAATTGGTCAACCTGTTGGGCATCAGCCTTTTTGGCAAGGCTCGACACAAAACCATTAGCCAATTGAGATGGCCAATCACGGCCTGCTTCAACCTGCTCAAGCAGCTGAACTAGAACACCAACCGCAGAAGGAGGAAGACCGACCAAGTCAGGTTGAGAGACTCCATCCGGTCCCTTGGCTGCCCTGGGTTTCTTCTGGCGAAATGCTTGAGTAAGCCTGTCCAAAGTCCAAGGCTTGTGTTCCCATTGAATGGGACGGATGACCCGGTCAAGAAAACCACAGATTTGAGTCCATTGGCCTGGTTGAACATGAGATTGCTTAACCCATCTGGGTCCCCAAGCATCTGCAAATCGCTGCAAGATCGCCGTATCAGAAGTGACAGGCCTTTCTTGGGAGAGGACCGACCCAACAGACAACCCTTCAGTGGAGTCAAGCCAGACTTGGTCAGCATGATGAGCAACCACCTGAACCACCTGGCCTTCGGAGACCAGTGGCAGGGAATCAAGCAAGGCCACCGGCTGGGTAAGGACAACTGAAGAATCATCCTCACGGACTTCTTCAACCTGCATCTCTACCCTGTCTATAAGGGTGTCAGCCTTGGGCAGCGGGTCATCTTTGCAGTCCTGGAAAACGAATGCCAAGTTGCTGGCACGCCGGTGTTTGGCATGCTGGTAGCGCTGGCGCGCCAGTTCCTTCTCATAGACTTGGACAAAACTCTGAAAACCCTGAAAGAGGCCCTGGATAAATTCCAACGGAGGGCAAACCAAAGGCAACGATGCAGCAAGGACCGGAGTCAGTCCCTGAGCGTTCCACCAAAGTCCAAAACCCCCTGGAAAGCCAACAGCACGCCGGATGGCTCTCCATGTTTCATCTCGATTACACCGTCCAGCAAGAGTGGTAGGACCACCTTGAAGAGCCCTGCAAAGAGACTGCAGACGGCGAAGTTGCCGAAAGTACCTGGCATGCTCAAGGCTGGTTCCCATGTAGGTGGGTTGCACATCTCCCTTGCGGGCTTTCTTCACAGGACAACAAGGCTCACGAGTAGTTGTGGTCTCAAGCACTGCCGCACGACCACACTGCTTTTTGGTCACAAAAACCCCGTGATGCTGGTTCCAGCATTTGGCCTGTGTTTCAACTTGGCACCAAAATTTGGCATATTCTTCAGTGAGATTGCCAGAGGAATCAAACGCAACATGACAACTCCAGGACGCCGGCCACGGAAAGGGTCGAGGAACAGGCCAGGAAGTAACAACCATTCGCAAGTCAGGCACAGAGAAGGACGCACTCACTGCAGCATGGTCAGCCCAATGATCAAAAGATACTTGGACACCCAGAAAGGCCGATTGCAGTTCAGGACTGATCCACATCTGGTCAATGCGGCGGGAACCCCGACCAGTAGCCTTGGCTGAGATTCCAAAACGCCAGGCAGCAAGATCTTGAACTTCACGAAATCCAAGGGCCTGAAGCCGCTCCAACTGTTGGAGTTCCGTGGGACCAAAATTGAAATCACCTCCAATGACCCGTGGGCCAGTGGTTTGACAACCCACCCTATCCACCAGTTCGGCAAGGAACGCATCAGTCTGGTACCTGGCTTGCTTATGATGGGCGTTCTCAGGAAGTCCATACAAAAGTCCAACGGTGACCCAGGTATCGGCAACAGCCATGCCAGCAACTTGAAGACGGGCAGAGGCATACGCAGACACATCAAAGGTATGTGGCAACGCTCGTGCAGGGTACTTTGACAGGAACATAACACCCGTGTGAGTGCCAGTGTCAGTACGCTGGCGAGCTGGACTAGGGGCACCAGGAACCACGAACTTCCAGGGGCTACGCAGCATCTTCAAGCCCTTCACGAAAGTGGAGATACCCTGCTGAGAAAGGTGGGTCTCCGACAAAATCCAAGCATCTCCTTCCAGATGGTTGATTTGATCCAACTTGCCATTCAGCCCTGAGGGATTTGCAATGCCCAAGGTAAAAGACGACGGAGACTGAGGGCCAGGATGAGAAGCTTCGCCCACCCTGACCAAGGACAAAATCAAAACTGTGAAAAACCACCGCCAAACTGTACACCATGATCGTGAAGAGGAACTTCCAATCCTCTGCCGATTGGCAGTGCAGGAAAAAGGTGAAATCGAGCCATTGGGCGGCATCTGAGCACGCTGAGAATGGCCTGAACAAAACTCGAAAAGACACGGCAGGAACCCCATGGTCATTGCTGCAAGGGCCCCAACCACACCATCCCTGTCATCACGCAGACCACTGGATCCACCTCCACAAGCGAAAATGAGGACCCCACCTGATATGCCTGCTTGAACTAGCCGAGGATCACTTGGTCTTGCAGCAAACCCGGTGAGGGTTCTGAAATTGCAACCAAACCAACTCCACACTCTGGCTTCCATCTGTAAAACACCGGAGCCCAAAACTTGGAAACTGATGAGCCCAACCCACAAGCACACCACACCGAAAGAGTGGCCGGCAATCCATGAGGCCAAGAGCCAGAGGAGTCCAACGCGGCTCACCCACCAAAATGCCACGGTAGAACCCAGGCGCCAAGCACTGACCTGCTGCATGACACACTCAAGTCCAAGGACAGCCAACGAACCACCCAGGCAGTGAAACAGGCCAGCCAAAAGGCCACAGCAGGCCCGGATCAAGCTCAAAACCGAAACACACAACCACCATGTCCTCCACAAGTCAAGGCATTGCAGGTGGTCATGAAATCCAAGAACTGTCAGCCCCGGAAATTCCTCTTGGTTCTTCGTTGAAGACAGCCAGAGACGCACCAACGTAGCACTGACCCTTGATATATAGTCCAAAACCCAGAAAATCCAAGGTGCCAAGTGCGAAGTGACATCGAGGAGGCAACTCACACCCCAAAGGACAGACTGCGAAGAACCAACCACGCTTGTTGTTTGAAGTCCAGCAAAGACCAAGAGGTGCGCAGCACACGAAGAGCCAGTGACAACCCCAAGGCAAATAGCCAACACCACAAGACCACCAAAAATCGACCCCCAATTACCTGCGGCAGTCAACCAGGCAACTGGGCACCTTCATTCCTGTCGTGGACGCTTGGCCAACAAGGTTTCGAACTGGCTCATCTGCTTGTTGAACATGTTGTCAAGCATCGTTTGTTGATGTGACACCTGCTGGCGGAACTGTTCCTGAAAGGCATCTTGGAAGGTCTGAATGGTAGCTGCCTGGCTGGAGATCGCAGCTTCAAACTGAAGTCCTTGATCATGAACCTGGGTCCTGATGTCTTGGAACTGCTTGGCATTGTCTGTGGCCTGTTGCTGGGAGGCCGCAATCAGGGTTTGAGCTTGACCTGTGAGCTCATGCACCTGCTTCTCAAGACGGGTCACACGGCCATCCACAGTTTCATCAGCATCTACCTCCATCTGCTGACGCGGCAGTTGCGCCATGACTTCAGCCAGCACCTTCTGGGTAACATCCTCTAAGGGATTGCCAATCTGAAAGGACTGAGTCCTGGCAGGTAACTTGCTGGCTGCCTTCGCCCAAGGGTCGTTCTTCTGGATGTAATCCCCTTCACATGTCTTGGACACAAACGACTCGGTGGTCGTTGTAGCCACAACCTTTGGTTCAACCCGAGGCGGCTGGGATGCATCATCTTCCCTGGCAATCATGACATCACCATGAGCCATGCGCAAAACTTTCATTGGGGGTTCCTGGACCGACTGAACACGGAACATGGGACCTTGGACATGAGACTTGGCTGCAACTGCTTGGACTGGTTTGGCTGTCCACCCGGAAGACAACAGAGCCTGAGCAACGGAAGCCTGGAGAGTTCCAAAGGCAAAGGGTCCTACCAGGTACGTATGACGCTTGCCAGGGGGAAGAAAGGTGTGCCCTGGTCGAAGCTTGGCAAAGACCGCAGCTGCATGTTCTGTCAGGCATCGAAGTCCATACTTGGTCCCTAACCGTGCTATGCCGACCACATGTGAAATGGTTTGGCGTTGAACCATCAACTGGGCAATGTCAAGCTTTGGAACCCATACTACCTGAAAATCAGGCGACGGTTTGCGTCCATCCAAGGCTTTCGGCTCAAGATACACACCACTGTGACCTGAAAACTGCTGAACCTGAAGTTGGAGGTGCTCAGGCAGACGGATGTGTGCTGAAAACATCTCAGCTTTCTCAGGTGGGCAATGGGAAAAGTCCATACGAAGCCACTGCTTGCCCCACAACTCAAGAACTGGTGTGTCCATGGGCAAGCTGGGAGTACTGTGCCATGCTTCACATCCACCACACTCAGCATCAGAACAGGCTTGAAGAGGCGGAATAAGTCCAAACACGTGTTGAAGTGGATGGGCAACTACTTGGGACCAGTCACCAGGTGTCTCATCTCTGAAAACCATAGCCTTCACCACGCAAGTTGGGATGGAGCGAACCTCGCACCCCGCCTGAGCAGGTGCACGAATCACCTGCCTGGCGCCAAGCTGTATGACATGGCCGTCAACCAAAAGTGGCTCGGAATTTGCAGCACAAACCAAAGGAACACGCTCAGCAGAGACAGGAAAAGTGGTATTGAAATCACCATCCGAATCCACCACAAAGAAAGCCAGAGGTCCAGTGGAGAGGACATGAGGGGCACGCAAGTAGGGTTCAACGCAGTTGGCCGACACCACAACAACCCCAGCAGCAGACGAACCAACCTGAGGCAATGTCAACTGGCCAAGTGGGTGACCATCATCACTCTGAAAAATCCCATGCTCCAAACGCAGCAAAGAAGGATCAACACTGATACCTGGCCGTTCTCCTTTGCCCTTGCCTTTGGGCTGTTTGTGACGCTTGTTACCAACAGGTTTGTCAGCAGCCCTCTTTTCAACCTGTGCCTGCAGCTCTGATGGCTTGATCAACATGTATGGAGGGCGAAGCTGGTTGGCCAACCATTTGAGTTCCTTCCAAGGGTTTCCAGCATCAAGTGCCCGTACAACTCCCTCCTCCCCAAGTGCTTTCAAAACCAACGCCGCTCTGGCCAAGGAATCAGTTTCACCAACGCCATGCTGAACCAACAATTGTGCCAGTCGGGTCTGAGGGGTAACACCAAGACCAGCCAACCGTGGACGCTGACAAGGATCCGGAAGTCCATCAGAAAATTCAAATCGAACCTGCGCAGCAAATGCATTGAGAGCATCCTGATCTGGAACAAGGGCATGACCCCACAGAACATGACGGACAAAGGAAAGGACCAAGGCACCACAGTGACCCTCAGGCACAAATCCAGTACTGTGAGATTTCCAGACCCCCATGGCCCCACCCCGAAAAAGTCCAATGACCTTGCTAAGAGATTCCATCACATGCTCATAGGGGGAATTCACCGACAACGTATGGAGCACAACTCCAACAAGATCGATCCTCCAGATCAGCGGAATCCAATGGTGTCCAACCAAAACTGCAGAGAGGACCGTGGAAATTGGGCCCAAGTCCAAAACCAGTGACTTCCACGTTTCAGGCACATCACATTGGGTAAGGCCAGTGATCAACAAGGGATCCCACACATGAACCTGCTGATCGGATTCGGTAAGGACTGCAATCTGCAACAATCCCTGCATGATTTCATCATCACCCCACACTGGTCCCTGCATACCCAGTAGGTCCTGGCGTTCAATGCACTTCATGTCAGGCCATCGAAGATCTGCAAGCTGATCACGTGTGGTGACCGGCCCCTGTGGGACATCAACACCTGACGGCAAGGCTTTCTGAACAACCTCAGTGCTATCAAAACAACAAGGCAGATACTTCTCAGCATTGAGTGCATCGGGAGTCCAATCAGGGGACACGACAGAGACAAGTGCTCCAGCAGGCAATGGCTTGGCTAAGTCAAATGGAAGTCCATCAACCCTCAACTGTGAACCTGGAACAGCAGACCCAAGAGTCACCTCTGCTGCCAAAAGTTGCGCACCTATGGTGGACGAAGCAACACGGAGAGACAAGTCAGGCTCATCTGTACATGGACGAGTAACCACACAGGTGATCGGTCCATCAGTCGGATCTTCAATCGGATCATGGGCATCTTCAGAGGCAGAGGCTGCAACGGATGCTTCAAGTGCAGTGGGCGCCACAGGAAGTGGCCATATTTCCCTACAGCAGGCTATCACCTCAGTCATGTAAGCCGTGAGTTCTTTCATAGGATCACAAGGTGAAGGAGATTCCATGGTCAAGTCCAAACAGCGCTTCACCTGGGCGAAAATCCAAAGCCCCATCAACGGTGCAACTGCCTGCCCAACCCCAGCCATAGCCAACCGCAGATTGTGACCCATGGAAACCGTGGGCATACCTCCAAGAAGGGCCCACATCTCAAGTGGGTGCAAGTACCGTGCATGCTCCATACAGGTGTGCATGTGTACCTGGGAGGTGCCAAGCTTCAGCAAGGTGCCAATCAGCCCCCGTTGTTGGAGTCGTGCATCACTCAAGGCAGCCCTACAACCACATGCACAAGTATACAACTGGTTGCCAGCACTGTGGAGGAGCGTGGGCAGTTTTTCGTCCATTCTGATCCACACCGAGTTCATGCACCCAGCTGCAAACTGGTAGTACTTTGACAACTCATACAGATTCAGCGTGAGCTGAGCCTGGTCAAATTGATGCCAAATGCGAAATTCAGGAATCAAATGACTGACAACTTGAATCGAATCAAGAACAGGCAAATCCAAAATCTCACAGGGATGAACCACCGGGGCAGTGAGCACAGCGATCCATCTGTCACGTCGACTGCACCATGCATTGCCAAGCTTCACAATGCCCTGAGCCATGCGATAACCTGTATCGACAGTGAACTGCCGAAGCATCTCTTGAGCAGCAGGGTCCCTCAGGATCTCAGGCGTGCATTCCAAGATCAGCACGGCAGCCTGCATCATCCATGAAACCACCAGTGTTTTGGGGAGGCTGGCAGAGCGAGGATCCTCCATTCCCCTCCTATCGCCCAAGACCGAGTGAGGTTGGCAAGCAATGCCTGAGCAAACCACTCCATGAAAAACCCCAAGCTGAAGCAACTGTTGCAGCACATAGGGATCAGTCAGGTCACCAGAGACAAAGGTGGATGAGGGATGGAAGGACTCATAGAGCTTACGCCAAAGGGGGTTTTGGTCAACTCCAGCTCGAACATCCCCACCTATTAAGCTAGGGGGGGGTCAAAAAATGTAAGTTACAAAAAAATAGGGTTGAGGGGGTCAAGAAGATAATGTTACATTCTTGTAATTTTCTCAAAACATGTAACTTACATTTTTTGAGAGGAAACGTCCAAAACTAGGGGGGGAGGTCAGAAAATGTAAGTTACATTTGCTCAAAAAATGTAAGTTACATTTTTTGGCCCTGTCATTGTTTATTGAATATATAGTTATAGATATATATGTATATTATTTTTTCTATATTATTATTATTATTAGCAGTAGTAGTAGTAGTAGTAGTAGTATAGTAGTAGTAGTAGTAGTAGTAGTAGTAGTAGTAGTAGTAGTATAGTAGTAGTAGTAGTAGTAGTAGTAGTAGTAGTAGTAGTAGTAGTATAGTAGTAGTAGTAGTAGTACTAGTACTAGTACTAGTACTAGTACTAGTACTAGTACTAGTAGTAGTAGCGTAATAGTATTAGCAGTGCTCGTAGTATTAGATATGCTTTGACCAGATGCAAGAGTGCCATAGAACTCCAGTTCGTCACCAATGGCTACCATTGGGGCTGGGGTAGTGCGGGCAAGTCGGTAAAAGCCAACGCACTGCGTGGTTTATGATGGATTGTGCTGGATCCATCATAGGTTCCAGTGACAAACTCAGCTCACACAGGATGCTGGATGATGCCGGCTGCTACTGGCGATTCATTTGGTCTGAGAATGTCTGGGATTCAGATGATTTGAGTTTGGCAGCGCAACGCAGAGTTGACATGAAAGGATATGAAAAGGTATGAAAAAAATCAAGGCAGGTTTCAATTAGATGTTTCTGTGAAATCCCTGTAGGGCCAACAAGTGCCTACAGTGTCATTTGCCAGTTTGTGGTATGAATCAATTCGATTCGATCTGTCAGCAAGGGTGTGTACAGAATAGAACTGCGCTGTGGCAAAGTTACTTTAGATGTGAGGAGTCGAGATGGGTTAGAGAAGGCTAGAGATAGCTAGAGAGTGCAAAAATCAAAGCGCTCGTCGCATGCTTGCCGCAATCTGACACATGATCTGGTTTAGTAATTAGTAATGTTTAAAACATGTCCTTTCATGTAGGCTGCATTTTGGCATATTTTGGCATGTATACTTTTGCATACTTTCGCATCAAGTTACCAGATGGTACCGGATGCTGCCGGATTCTGAGGACGCCTGTTGGGGGGCATTGGACGCCGAAGTTTGGGACCCAGCTTTCAATCATTTTCAGTGGTGCATGGTGGTGTTTCTGAAAATGTAAGCTAGACTGCTTGAGGTGATAAAAAAATGGTGGTTTGCAACAGATTTCCATGTCCAGGTGTGTACAAGTTTCATTTTGCTTATTTCTACGTAAGTGATGTCACAACACGGCATCTTTTGCAAAGCATCTTTCTGCTTGCCTAGGCTGACGCTGCACCTAGGCATGCATCGGCTGAGAACCACGTTGGGCACCTCAATGACTATAGATGACTGGGATAATACCCTATGTCATATATTGTCATTTTTTGATACAGTATTTTTCGTGCACTTTGCCTGGAATTGGCATGAATTGCCTGGTGAATGGTGGTGTTTTTGCAAAATGTAAGCTAGACTGCTTTAGGTGTTGAAAATGATGGTGTTTTGCAGAAGATCCCCATGTCCAAACAGTCGAGCTTACATTTTCTTATTACTTCTTATTCCATCTTATTCCCACATTATGTCATAAGGCGACATATTGAATCATAATGCGACATATCTTGCAAAGCATTTTTCTGCTTGCCTAGGCTGGCACTGCACCTGAGGGAGCATTTGCTGAAAACGACGTGGGACACCCAGATCACTGTAGATGACTAAGATTGGCATGGGCTCACCGACATTCACAAATATTGACAAGGTCCTTTGATAGTTATATAGTTTCTTGAAGTCTCTTATGGTTTCCAGTGGTTTCTTGATGCTCCCTATTTAAGCGCGAAAGATGTAAGTTGATGCAAGATCATGCAAGAAAAAGCAAGATCCTATTTCATATATATATATAAGGTGAGCAGTTTGGGGGAGGGTGTTTGAGATAGTGGTGGGCTGCATGGATTTTACATTTGTGCAGTTTGCCTGGGATTGCCTGGTGTGAATGGCGGAGGTTTTTGAAAAATGTAAGCTAGACTACTTTAGGTGTTGGAAATGATGGTGTTTTGCAGAAGATCCCCATGTCCAAACAGTCAAGCTTACATTTTCTTATTACTTCTTATCCCATCTTATTCCCACATTATGTCATAGGGTGACATATTGAATCATAATGCGACATATCTTGCAAATCATTATTCTGCCTGCCTAGGCTGGCACTGCACCTGAAGGAGCATCTGCTGAGAACGACATGGGGCACCTAGATCACTGTAGATGACTAAGATTGGTATTGGTTCACCGACATTCACAAATATTGACAAGTTCCTTTGATAGTTATATAATATACAGTTTCTTGAAGTTTCTTATGGTTTCCAGTGGTTTCTTGATGCTTCCTATCTATGCGTGAAAGATGTAAGTTGATGCAAGATCATGCAAGAAAAAGCAAGATCCTATATTATATATATATATATTATATATATATATGGTGAGCAGTTTGGGGGAGGGTGTTTGAGATAGTGGTGGGCTGCATGGATTCTGCCCCCCCATTGCTTTCAGCTTACATTTGTGCAGTTTGCCTGGGATTGAAAGGTGTGAATGGCGGTGGTTTGAAAAATGTGAGCTAGATGACTTTAGGTGTTGAAAATGATGGTGTTTTCCAGGGGATGCCCATGTCCACACAGTCAAACTTACATTTTAATTTCTACTTCTTGTTCAATCTTATTCCCACATTATGCCATAAGGTGCCATATTGTATATTATTGGATCATAATGTAGCATATCTTGCAAAGCATTTTACTGCTTGCCTAGGCTGGCACTGCACCTGAGGGAGCAATTGCTGAAAACGACGTGGGACACCCAGATCGCTGTAGATGACTAAGATTGGCATGGGTTCACCGACATTCACAAATATTGACAAGGTCCTTTGATATTTATATAGTTTCTTGAAGTCTCTTATGGTTTCCAGTGGTTTCTTGATGCTCCCTATTTAAGCGTGAAAGATGTAAGTTGATGCAAGATCATGCAAGAAAAAGCAAGATCCTATATTATATATATATATTATATATATATATATATGGTGAGCAGTTTGGGGGAGGGTGTTTGAGATAGTGGTGGGCTGCATGGATTCTGCTCCCCCATTGCTTTCAGCTTACATTTGTGCAGTTTGCCTGGGATTGAAAGGTGTGAACGGCGGTGGTTTGAAAAATGTGAGCTAGATGACTTTAGGTGTTGAAAATGATGGTGTTTTCCAGAGGATGCCCATGTCCACACAGTCAAACTTACATTTTAATTTCTACTTCTTGTTCAATCTTATTCCCACATTATGCCATAAGGTGACATGTTGTATATTATTGTATCATAATGTGGCCTTTTCTTGCAAAGCATTTTGCTGCTTGCCTAGGCTGGCAGTGCACCTGAGGGAGCAATTGCTGAAAACGACGTGGGACACCCAGATCACTGTAGATGACTAAGATTGGCATGGGTTCACCGACATTCACAAATATTGACAAGGTCCTTTGATATTTATATAGTTTCTTGAAGTCTCTTATGGTTTCCAGTGGTTTCTTGATGCTCCCTATTTAAACGCGAAAGATGCAAGTTGATGCAAGATCATGCAAGAAAAAGCTAGATCCTATATTATATATATATATATATATATATAAGGTGAGCAGTTTGGGGGAGGGTGTTTGAGGGATGCATGGATTCTGCCCCCCCATTGCTTTCAGCTTACATTTGTGCAGTTTGCCTGGGATTGCCTGGTGTGAATGGCGGAGGTTTTTGAAAAATGAAAGCTAGACTGCTTTAGGTGTTGGAAATGATGGTGTTTTGCAGAAGATTCCCATGTCCAAACAGTCAAGCTTACATTTTCTTATTACTTCTTATCCCATCTTATTCCCAAATCATGTCATAGGGTGACATATTGAATCATAATGGCGGAGGTTTTTGCAAAATGTAAGCTAGACTGCTTTAGGTGTTGGAAATGATGGTGTTTTGCAGAAGATCCCCATGTCCAAACAGTCGAGCTTACATTTTCTTATTACTTCTTATTCCATCTTATTCCCACATTATGTCATAAGGCGACATATTGAATCATAATGCGACATATCTTGCAAATCATTTTTCTGCTTGCCTAGGCTGGCACTGCACCTGAGGGAGCATTTGCTGAAAACGACGTGGGACACCCAGATCACTGTAGATGACTAAGATTGGCATGGGCTCACCGACATTCACAAATATTGACAAGGTCCTTTGATAGTTATATAGTTTCTTGAAGTCTCTTATGGTTTCCAGTGGTTTCTTGATGCTCCCTATTTAAGCGCGAAAGATGTAAGTTGATGCAAGATCATGCAAGAAAAAGCAAGATCCTATTTCATATATATATATATATAAGGTGAGCAGTTTGGGGGAGGGTGTTTGAGATAGTGGTGGGCTGCATGGATTTTACATTTGTGCAGTTTGCCTGGGATTGCCTGGTGTGAATGGCGGAGGTTTTTGAAAAATGTAAGCTAGACTACTTTAGGTGTTGGAAATGATGGTGTTTTGCAGAAGATCCCCATGTCCAAACAGTCAAGCTTACATTTTCTTATTACTTCTTATCCCATCTTATTCCCACATTATGTCATAGGGTGACATATTGAATCATAATGCGACATATCTTGCAAATCATTTTTCTGCCTGCCTAGGCTGGCACTGCACCTGAAGTAGAAGAAAATGTGGCAGAAGGCTTCCCCTTAGCACAAAGTTATGTAGCAGAAGGCTCCCCTAGCAGAAAGTTATGTAGCAGAAGGCTCCCCTAGCAGAAAGTTATGTAGCAGAAGCCTCCGCTAGCAGAAAGTTATCTAACAGAAGGCTCCCCTAGCAGAAATATATGTAGCAGAAGGCTCCGCTAGCAGAAAGTTATGTAGCAGAAGGTGCCGCTGGCAGAAAGTTTGCAAAAACATTTTTCTGCCTGCCTAGGCTGGCACTGCACCTGAAGGAGCATCTGCTGAGAACGACATGGGGCACCTAGATCACTGTAGATGACTAAGATTGGTATTGGTTCACCGACATTCACAAATATTGACAAGTTCCTTTGATAGTTATATAATATACAGTTTCTTGAAGTTTCTTATGGTTTCCAGTGGTTTCTTGATGCTTCCTATCTATGCGTGAAAGATGTAAGTTGATGCAAGATCATGCAAGAAAATGTAAGATGCGATGTTACATTATATTACCATATAATGCCTATATAGTAAGCTGTTTGGGGGAAGGTGTTTGAGATAGTGTTGTGGGCTGCAGGGATTCTGGCCCCCCTATTGCTTTCAGCTTACATGTTTGCGTCGCATAGATGAGATCACCTTTGGTCATTTCATGATATGTTATGTCATTTTTTGTGCATATGTGCGCATCATTGTGCACTTTGCCTGGAATTGCCTGGTGAGTGGTAGAGTTTCTTGAAAAATGTAAGCTAGATTACTTTAGGTGTTGAAAATGATGGTGTTTTCCAGAGGATGCCCATGTCCACACAGTCAAACTTACATTTTAATTTCTACTTCTTATTCAATCTTATTCCCACATTATGTCATAAGGCATCATAAGGTGACATGTTGTATATTATTGTATCATAATGTGGCCTATCTTGCAAAGCATTTTGCTGCTTGCCTAGGCTGGCAGTGCACCTGAGGGAGCATCTGCTGTGAACGATGTGGGGCACCTAGATCACTGTAGATTCTGGATGGCTAGGATGATATTCTATGTTCATTTTTTGTGCATGTGATTGCATATGTGCGTATCATTGTGCAGTTTGCCTGGAATTGCCTGGTGAATGGCGGCGTTTTTTGAAAATGTAAGCTAGGCTGCTTTAGGTGTTGAAAATGATGGTGTTTTGCAGGAGATCTCCATGTCCACACAGTCAAACTTACATTTTAATTACTACTTCTTGTTCTTATTCTATCTTACGCCATCTGATTCCCACATTATGTCACAAGGTGACATATTGTATGCTATTGTATCATAATGTGACATATCTTGCAAACCATGTTTCTGCCTGCCTAGGCTGGCACTGCACCTGAAGGAGCAGAAAATGTGGCAGAAGGCTTCCCCTTAGCACAAAGTTATGTAGCAGAAGGCTCCCCTAGCAGAAAGTTATGTAGCAGAAGGCTCCCCTAGCAGAAAGTTATGTAGCAGAAGCCTCCGCTAGCAGAAAGTTATCTAGCAGAAGGCTCCCCTAGCAGAAATATATGTAGCAGAAGGCTCCGCTAGCAGAAAGTTATGTAGCAGAAGGTGCCGCTGGCAGAAAGTTTGCAAAAACATTTTTCTGCCTGCCTAGGCCGGCACTGCACCTGAAGGAGCATCTGCTGAGAACGACATGGGGCACCTAGATCACTGTAGATGACTAAGATTGGTATGGGTTCACCACCGACATTCACAAATATTGACAAGTTCCTTTGATAGTTATATAATATATAGTTTCTTGAAGTTTCTTATGGTTTCCAGTGGTTCTTGATGCTCCCTATTTAAGCGTGAAAGATGTAAGTTGATGCAAGATCATGCAAGAAAATGTCAGATCCAATGTTACAATATGTTACATTGCGCACGTTGCCTGGGATTGCCTGGTATGAAAAAATGTAAGTAGCTGCAGGGGAGTTTTCCAAATTTCTGCAAAAACACATGAAGACCGTGACCTTAAGGTAAGCGCTTATGAAATCTAGCAAGCAGATGCAAACAGCATCAGCAACAATATGGCAGGCAATCTTGCAGATGGTGCATGATCCAAACAAACCGGGAACAGCAGAATATAGTATAAAAATGAATAGAAACAGAATAAGGTAGCACAAGATAGTACCAAATAGTAGTGCTAGTAGTACTAGTAGTACTAGTAGTACTAGTAGTACTAGTGGCAGCAATATTAATACGAATTAATAGTAGTAATAGAGATATAATAGCAGCAAGAATAGTAGTGGTTTTCATATTATTTCATATTACTTCATATTTTATCATTAAAAATTGCTCGGGGTATTTTGAGATGATTCGATCTGCACGTCCCCCCCCCGTGCCCCCCCCCCCGAAAATAGAAAAAAACGTGAATTTTTAAAAAATGAGGGGGGGGGTCACAAATTGGAAGTTGCATTTTTTGACCCCCTCATTTTTTATTTTTTCATTGGGGGGGGGCAAAAAAATGTAAGTTAGGGGGTCGCGAAAATGTAACTTACATTTTTTGACGGGGGGGTCCCCCCTATTTGTTTGTAACTTACATTTTTTGACCCCCCCCCAAAAAAAAAGCTGCCCAAGGGGGTGGGGATGCTCGAACTGCAAAACCCAAACGGTCAGCAGAGACAGTAAATCCACCCAAGCCACAGCACAAGTCCAAGATTCGATACAAGGCAGGCCGTTCACACACCGGGACAGGCACCAAAACAGAAGACGAGTCCACAGCCAGGCGAAGAGGTTGGACAGATGTCACCAGTAATTCTACCCCAGCTATGGTTGCCCCTTTCGGAATTGTACCCTGAATCCAGATTCGAAGTCCCCGTCTATCCTGTGATTGTACAAGATGCCAGTTTCCTTCAGAATTGTAACAAATTGTAGAAAACACCATTGGGAGTCTTTGTCCAATCTTAGGCGAATCCAACACAGTTACCATGGCAAGAAGTACCCACAACGAAAACTACCCCAGGGGATCAGGTTGCGCAGCCTCACCGCTGGGAGGACCCTGGGCCAAGGCTCTTGAAAAATATTAGTCAATGGGAAGGATTATCCCATATATTATGGAAAATAAAAAATGTTCCAAACCACCAACCAGATAAGATTGTTAGTGTAATTCATCGTAATCTTGGGGGTATATAAAACGGGGATATAAAATGGGGATGGCTACATGGCGTCACGCTGGAAAGTCGCAAGTCGAAAAACTTCGATGGTGGACCAATGGAGATTTTCCCAGCCAGCTACCCTCTGGTAATGACTAACATAGCTATTGAAAATGGCCATAGAAATAGTGAGTTTTCCCATTCAAAATGGTGATTTTCCATAGTTATGTAAGTTATGTAAATGTTTACCAGAGGGTATATAGACATCCATTTTGATCAATCCCAGCCATTCTCATCAATTTGTCAAAGGGAGAACATCACGAAATTCATCTTGCCACCCAAAAAAAGGTGGTGTCCCCAAACGATAGCGTTCAGTTGGTGCAAATAACTCCAATAACAATGGTTTATAGGTGATATATCTATAGTTAATGGCGTTTATAAACCAATTTATAACTAGGGGGGCACCACCTTGTAAGACCTGAGACCCACTTCGGCTGAAGTCACCATGCTTACCCTCTGGTAAACGTATACAAAAAACTATGGAAAACCACCATGTGAAAAAAAGGCTAAGTCAACTATTTCTATGGTCATTTTCAATAGCTATGTCACAAATTACCAGAGGGTAAAGATTGTGAATTTCCACCGTTATTTTAGTTTACTAGAGGATACTTAGCAGCCATTTTGGGTTGACAGGTCTTCCAGGAAAGTCATCATGTCCCAGAGGGTATACCTTATAGCTATGAAAATCATCCCCAACTGCCCGTTTCACATATCCAATTTTGCACCATCATTTCTGTTGGTTGAATCCCAATTGTGTTGTTGGCTAAGCCCCTCTTTGGTTGATGCTTGAATCCATATCATATATATATATATATATATCATCCATATGTGTATATATATATATATTTCATATTATATCATCCATATGTGTATATATATATAAATACATATTATATAATTATATATAATATATTATATACATATATAATGTATAATATATATATATATCATATCCATATATTCTTACAGGTAAATCCCAGTTTTTGAGGATGAAATCTCCATGTTTGATAAATCACGCCGGGCCACTCCCAGGCTTTCTCCTTCTTGCGACTCAGCAGATTCCAGCCGTTCCACGCTCCTGTCCTTCAGGTTGCATGAAGAAACCCACACAAAATATGGGATTTAAGATGATTAGACTAAACAAGAATATGGGATTTACAGGGATTTGCCATGAATTTAGACAAAAACGAAAAATAAAAAAGAAGTTCAGAGTTACCATGTTACCATGATTTAACCAACAAAGATTGGAATTTGGTATGATTCAACCAACAGTATTTGGATATGATTTGAAGCAACACAAAGTTGGGATTTCTCAAGTGATTTTAAACCATCATAACCAGATCATCGGGATTGGACTCAACAAGTGGCTGTGTTTTTCAAACTTGGGATACCACTTGTTGCTAGTTGCTGGTTATTATATGGTTAATGATGGTTGTTAAATGTTATTAATAATCTGGTTGGTGGTATACCTACCCCTCTGAAAAATCTTGGAGTTAAAGTCAGTTGGGATGATGACATTCCCAACTGAATGGAAAGTCATAAAATTATATAAGATTCACGTTCCAAACCAACCAGTTTACCATTGATTTGCCTGTTACAAAAGGGACAATGTTTGATGACTCAAAGTGGCTTGTTCCAAGCCATGGGTGATTCAATCAGGGGTGACACTGCAAACAGACCCCTGAAACCAGAGTGGAGATGGATATGAACCATGACTTGTGGTGGATCATGATGGATCCATATCCATCTGGCTATGTCCTAAATCCATCCAAATCCCACAGTTTTGTCAGTTATCATCATTGTTCCAATGATTCAATGGCCATAAATTGATAGAAATTCGGGTTCAATCCCAAAAATCTAAGAAAGAACATCAATAATCCAGTTTCGGCCATAAATTGGGTAGTACAACATCCCATTTTTCAGCCCAGCGTCTCTCTCCGATTTCTGTGGTGGAGATGGCGTAGGAGGCATCAACGGCGTCATGGGTGGCCTGGGGGCCGGCGCGGCCGGCGCCGGTGGCGCGCCCCTTGGGACTGCGGGAGATTCGGCGACGAAGACGAAGTCGTCCGGCACCTCGCAAAGGATGGGTGGAGAGGACATGGGGATGGGTCATGGCACCCTGGTACCCCTGGTGAACCCCAAGTCATAGCTGGGATTTATGGATGTGAATAACCCACTAAATATATGTATCTATAGGTATTGACCCATACCCACATCAGTACACTGTTAGTTTGATGCTGGAAACTCAAAGTTCAGATAGCCCGTGGTTCGACATAGTTCGATCAGCCAAGCTAGATCAAACATGATCAAACTGCTTTGTGTGAAAAGTTCATCTGAATTAAAGAGCGCAAGAAAGACATTAAAGAACTCTTCCAATTTTCTTCAAGTATCTCCACGAAAATTTGCCCGCGCCTTTGTGAAATCCCCCAGCAGGACCTCTCGGGGAATGGGTTTTCCAGTGACTTTCAGAACGTAGTTCTGAGCCAAAGATAGTTGACTCTTCAGACTCTGAACTTCCCGGCCTGACTTGCAAAAAAATGGTCGCATGTGTCCCATGGTCCCGGGGGGGTACATCATGGATTCTTTCGTTGTAGCTATATTAAGTAAGCCCAAAAAAAGATAGAACAGTCTTGCCACGGAAGTTCCATGATGTTTTCTCCATATTTTCTCCATATTTTCCAGGTTTCCAACTGTTCTAGCTATGACTGGGGGGTGCGATGAATTGCGGAAACTGGGGATGATGCTGCAACACCAGGACTTCCATGCGGCCAGTAGCCTCTGCTTATTTAACACTTTGCTATGGAAGCCACTGACCATAGAAACTGATGATCATGTCTTGATGATTTACTTGTCATGATTTTCAAAAAACATTAAAATTTACATTAAAATTTACCACACTTAAGTTTTAATGGTTAAGTTGATCCCTTCTGGTGCTGCGCTTGCCACGTCCACGTCCCGTCCCGTCCACGTCCAAGCGTCGCAGCTGGCGAATCAGCAGGGTGGTCGGATCCAGATTCACCACAGGTCGATTCCGAATGGATCCGGCCGTACAGGCCTCAGGCGAGTCGACATTTTCAGTTTGCGAAGTGGAAAATCACCATCTTTCATAGAAAGCTATTGAAAATGGCCATTTATAGTGGATTTACCCATTGAAAATTATCCATAGTTATGTTAGTTTACCAGAGGGTAAATCAATGTTAGTCATTACCAGAGGGTTTTTTCATGGCCGCTGCAACCTGTTTTTCAAGCCCTCCCGTTGTCGTCACAGATTCTCCTGGCCGTTGCATCCCAGTTGCATACTGCAAGGTGGAGAGGTTCTCCTCCCAGTTGGAGTCCAAGACCGAGATGCAGGCCAGCATTAAGGTATAGCCTGAGCCACCAATTGCATCACGTAGCAAGATGGTAAGCCTCAGGACTGAGCGAGCTCAGTCAGAATTTCGAAAATCTGGAAAATCTGTCCGGAATCTGGAATCTGTGATGTCTCGGGCGTTTTCCCTGACACCCCTATATTTTAGATATGGTAAAACCAAAACAAGGTGGGAAAAGTACATCATGTTAACATGTTTTTCTTCATGGTACTTATTTGTCCATCCTTTTTCGGGAGCGCTACACGCTTGCATAGTCCGGTAAGATCTGGAGCTAGAACAAAGTTTCGCTTCAAAGAGTTTGTTTCCATGGTTAATGATTAAGCATGGATATGTGAAACAACAAAATTTAGAGATGTAGTGCGATAGCAATACGAGATTTGGGATTTGTCCAAGAACCGGCGATACTTCAAAATGGCAATTTCATGGGGAAATTGTATTCTCAAGCCATGAGATTGTGTTTTCTCCCATGTTTTAAACTTTTGTTTCAGACGAATCCCACCCTCAAGCGTCATAAGGATGATTATATACTCCAATGAACCTTCGGTTGATATGTAATCAGTTATGACCAAGGGCTACATAACCCAGAAATGACATGGAGGTCTCTTAAAATGGAGGATCCCCAAGTCACTGTAGGTTTCAATACTAATTCATGGTCATCCATGACGACTGGATGATAACTGGAGGTACCCCCCACGACGAAACGGAAACCTCCACATATAAAGTATCACCCACTTTCTACCCTCTGGTAATTTAACATAGCTATAGAAAATCACCATTTTTAATAGGTAAACCATCTATAAATGGGCCATTTTCCATAGCTATGTTAGTTTACCAGAGGGTAACTGGTTTATAGACATGGCATTGCCAAAACCATACCCGGGTGCTTTTTACTACCGTTTCACAGGACCAAAAAAGGATCAACCAAGGGTCTTGGACTCGCGATACGGCACCATGAGTTTTGAAGCACCACGACTTTGCTTCGCCAGGGACATGATGACTTTCCTGGAAGACCCTGGAAAAACCCAAAATGGCTAAGTATCCTCTAGTAAACTAAAATAACTATGGAAACTCACCATCTTTAAGTTCGCTAAATCAACGAACTAAGTGGGCCATGTTCAAAGTCTCTACCCCGCTACCAGCTAAAATGTTTGCCAGATGCTAATTTTGCACCAGTGAGTTGGTGCTAAACATCCCATGAGAAATCCCAGTGTTTACAGTCTTTCATAGTTACCTAATGGTTACCATCTCACTGGCCATTTCAGGATCCTAAAATGGAGGTACCTACCATATATAAGGCCTATTTTTTAGGCCTATGTAAGGGAATATCCCCACAAAATATGGCCTTATATGGTACAGTACCTCCAATTTAGGATCCTGGAATTTCCATTGACCATCTGGTAAACTGTTACATAACTATGGAAAATCCACCCATGTTTCATGGGAAAATTCACTATTTCTATGGTGATTTTCTATAGCTTGTTAAACTACCAGAGGGTACCATGATTACCAACTGGTGCACCATTTCTTCATCCACCGTATGGTATAATAATATATAATAATGGTATAGCTGGATGAAAACAAATCATAAATAAACCGTGTATACTTATACCATAGTATTATTGTATGTGTATATATATATATATATCAATTTATATACCAACTATACCGGAAAATAAACTCAGTATGGTATGGCTGGATTCCTGGATGTTCCATATGGTTTCATATTGTATAACGTATATCCCAGTACGATAAAAAGCCATCGGATTTGGGGTTGTTCAGTTGTTCCATGTTTTTTGTTTTTTTTTCGCAGAAACTCAAGTTGCGCAAGTTATACCATGATGTAAAACTAACTGACATATAATTCCCTGGGTAAATTAGCATAGATATGTAAAACCATCGTGTCCCCTGGGAAATCATCTATAAGTGGTGGATGTTACATATATGCATCCATATGTATCCATATGTATGTTAATCAACTGTATCGTGTGTATATAATGTATATATATATACAGATACATAATGTATATGTAGTACATTGTACAGTGTATATGTACAGTGTATGTGTATAAATATATATATATATATACATAATATGTATGTATGACTAACAGGGTAGGGATGTAAATTGGGTGTGATGGTGATACGATCTCATTTGCCTGACATGTGTCCAATGAATGAGGACCCGACCAACAAATCGCGTGATATCGCCTACAACAATGGCACTGAAATCGTAGTCATACAAGCCGAACATAGCGAGTTACTACAGGATGGGGCCCCCCAGTTATGTTTGTTGGTTTATAAATCATGAATTGATCCCCATTGACTAGTTCGTTATATCTACCATTAAACCATAGAATTCAACCACTTATAAACCAACCGAACTCTATCGACTGGGGGCCCCATCTTGTATGGATCTACTGACATTTGACGAACGTTGTGCCATGACAGCCCCATGACCATTCGCGCTAGGTCCCTGTCTGACGAATTCTCAGAGCTGCCCCTTCTGTGCCCTCCATCCATGGCTAGCTATTGAAAATGTCCATAGAAATAGTGGAGTTTTCCCATTAAAAATGGTGATTTTCCATAGTTATTGAAAATGGCCCAGTTGAAATAGTGAGTTTTCCCAGCTATAAAATGGGTGGATCTTTCCATAATTATGTAACCGTTTACCAGCGAACTAAACCTCTGCAGGGATTCCATGTTTGAAAAGAGGCTTTTCTATCATCATTGCCAATCGAATAGATACGCAAAAAATGACAAATTCTTTGCTGGTGAACGTAGATATTCCCATTACCAAAAGACTAGTTAGGATTAGTTTGTACCCTCTGGTTATGTCAACATAGCTATTGAAAATGGCCATTTATAGTGAGTTTTCCCATGAAAAATGGTGATTTTCCATTTTTTTGTATGTTCACCAGAGGGTATCCATCTAAGATTGACCTCATCATGGTCTATCCATGTTTATCTCTGGATCTCAACGTCGTCACGAAGGCTGCCTTAAAACGAACAAGGACTGGTTGATGCCCACGCTCTCTTGCAGAGTTCGCCCCGTAGCACCTGAAAACGTTCTCGGGGCATTGAATTTCGAACAAAGAAAATTTAGATATTTTAAGCAACAAACATAGGGGTTACATGTGCCATGGTCAAAAGTTGGTAATATTGGTAAAACACGAATAAACCATCCTCAATCATCCTCAAATTCACCATTTTTATAGGTGGTATGGTTGCCATTCTCAGGTGGTAAAAATGACATTGTTTTAACCTATGAAATTATATCCCAGATTAGCTCACCATGGTGCTGGAATATGAATCCCTACATAGAAACCCCTTAAATTCATCAAGCAGTTTTGTAGGGCTGTCCGAGTCAACCACCGAGATGCCATCGTTGATCATGTTCAACGTGAAAACATCAACTCCTTTACGATACGATAATATACATATATATATAATAATATATGTATATGTAAATATCAAATATATATATATATATTATATATATATATTATATTATATATACTATGGGGGTACATGGTACGGGAGTCCCTTTGGCATCACTTTTCAAGCCCCCAGTTTTGGGCCCCCACCGGCCATGTTTTGTCACACTATCTTCCAGTTGTGCAGTTTGAGAAAATTGGCATGGAAGCTGTCCAGACGGCATGGCTTCTGCAGCTAGCACGGCTCACAGCTCGTCGCAGAAAACACAATTTGACTATATCTATAGCCATGTCCTCTGCCGCCGCTGGTATGGAAAGGGATGCTGCGGAAGGTGCTGCTGTAGCCCATGTGCCCGGGATGGATGACCGTATAGCTGCTTTGAAAGCTGAAAGGCAGGCCTTGAAACGCCAGCTGCAGCAAACCAGTCGAGAAGTCAAGGCCCAGGCTGGTTCAATTTCATCCTTGTGTGCCATGTTTGTGTTGGTGAAGCTGTATTGACATTCCATCGTGCCACTTGCACCTTCATCTTTCCCATCTCAGGTTTTTTTTTTGGTGAAGCTGCATTGCACCTGCATCGCACCACTTGTACTTTCAATCTTTTTGTTTCAGCTCTGCGCCGGGAGAAAAAACGACGCAGAGTCCTGAAATCGGCGGGCAAACTGAGCACCCAAGACCTCTCGTGGCTCCTGGCCTTCAAAATGACCCGTCAGCAGTAGCAGCTTCTTCAAAACTATATGTCTCACTGAAGCACTTGTGATTGCTGTCTCCCGAGGAGTCAGCAGCAGCTTCCTCAAAACTATATGTCTCACTGAAGCACTTGTGATTGCTGTCTCTCGAGGAGTCAGCAGCAGCTTCCTCAAAACTATATGTCTCACTGAAGCACTTGAGACTGCTGTCTCTAAAGGAGTCAGACAGGAATGTGGTGAAGTCACACGCGGCAGGTTACCTAACGACTGCTGTCTCCCAAGGCATCAAAAACCCGTTTTTGCGTGCTTTGGCACCTGTTTTTGCTGTGGCCCCAAAAAACTACTAAGGATACTTCCAACCATTTTCGCAGACTTTGCATTGGCACGGCAGAGTCACAGCTCATGCACGCATGAAAAACTACTAACCCGTGAAATTGAAATCACAATGGCTTGGACGCAAAACTACTAAGGAATTCTGCCAATTGAAAAGAAATAGAAGAAAGTGTTTCCTTTTTTGTCCATTGAACAATTCCTTAGTAGTTTTGCCACCGAGCCAATACAAAGTTTGAAATTCCCCTTAGTAGTTTTCACACAGAAGCATAGTAGTTTTGCGGCAGAGCCAATATAAAGTTGTGACATCGTGCTTAGTAGTTTCACACCGAAGCATGCTAGTGTTGCAGTGGAGCCAATGCAAAGATTGACATCGCCAACGGCCAGTGAAGCATTTCATCTTGCAGCTGTGATGTGCCACCTGCCGTGACGGCACATGTGTTTCTTCCTAATTCAAAGGGCCTTTCCGGCCACATGCGGCCCCCCCCTGCACCCCCCGGAATCAAGGTTGACGAAAATGTCTTGCTGTGAAGACCTGACGCTTTGGAAGTTGGCTGCTGCAGTGATTAACACCAGGAAACAACATTGATCCTGGGGGTGCGGGGGGGGGAGCCGCTGCTGTGACCCTATACGTGGGGCCTCGTGCTGTGTGTGCAAAAGGTCTGAATTTGGGGTCGCTAACGGACGCTGATTTCAGCCCTCTTCATTGAGGGCCCTCCTTGTATATATATTATATTATATATATATATATATGTAAATATATAATTATATATATATATATATGTGTCTATGTATATATATATATATATATATTCACATCATGTTTGGATAGACCCACATCATGAAAAATGCTCCCTTCCAATCTCTTGCAACTTTGCTATACGTTTTCTTCACACGTGCGTCCCTAAAAGGTGGGGCATATCTCCGAAAATAATCCACCGGCCACCTAAACTGCAGACTTTGGATAGAAAAAAAACCACGGTGCGTCAACTTAGCCAACATAAATCAAGAATAAGTCCATAAATCCCGTGAAATCTGTGTTTTCGGGGTTAAAACACCATATTTGGGGGTTATCCTATGGTTTCCTCAACAGGGGCCCCACCTTGTATCCATCTGGGTGAATCATAATTCACTAACCTGACATGTTTGGTCATTTGGGATAGTTCCAATAGTTCCCCTTTCTTAACCATCCATATCAATCGCATGGAAATGTCTTATTTTTCTTGTTTAAAACACTATATTCCTAGGTTGGTGGTATACCTACCCCTCTGAAAAATATGAGTGAAAGTCAGTTGTTACTATTCCCAACTGAATGGAAAGTCATAAAAATCCATGGTTCCAGTCACCAACCAGAAGATATATATAATATATATATATATATATATGGTTTATAAACCATTATAATCCCCATTAACTATAGTTATATCATGTTATATCTATATGGCAGTGTGTCAAAACCTTGTACCCCTGGTGAACATCAAAATAGCTGGTAAATGGATGTTCATCCCCCTAAAAATGGTATTAATAGGTATTGATCCATGGCCATATCTATATCAAATCGCTTCGAAACGACGTCCTTTCCCACTCCGAAAATGTCCCACCTGTGATGGATTGCCGCTCGGAGCCAGCGAGGTCCACCAGGGTCAACTTGGACGTGCGGTCGATGCTCGCCTCACTCCGCCTATGCAGACATTGAGGAGATGATGTGGTGACTACCCTCTGGTAAACTAACATAGCTATGGAAAATCACCATTTTCAATGGGAAAATCCATTATGGATTGGTTTTGTTGGGAAACAAGGTGGTGCCCCCAAACGATAGCTAAGTTGGTACAAATAACTCCAATAACCATGGTTTATAGGTTTCAATGGGAATTTCAGGATCCTAAAATGGAGGCACCCACGTACCTACCATACATAAGGCCTATTTTTTAAGCCTATGTAAGGGAATATCACCAGAAAATATGGCCTTATATGGTACAGTACCTCCAATTTAGGATCCTGGAATTCCCATTGAATTGAGGAGATGATGTGGTAATGACTAACATAGCTATTGAAAATGGCCATGGAAACATCCAGGAATCCAGCCATACCATACTGAGTTTATTTTCCGGTATAGTTGGTATATAAATTGATATATATATATATTATATACAATACTATGGTATACGGTTAATTTACGATTGCTTTTCATCCAGCTATACCATATATTATTATACCATATTATACCATACGGTGGATGAAGAAATGGTGCACCAGTTGGTAATCATGGTACCCTCTGGTAATTTAACATAGCTATAGAAAATCACCATAGAAATAGTGAATTTCCCATGGAACATGGGTGGATTTTCCATAGTTTTTTGTATGTTTACCAGAGGGTATGATGTAGTAAAGCCAATAATATATATATATATTATATATATATGGGATATTGCAGGAATTTCACCAGAGAATATGGATTGATATCTAAGTTTTTGTTCGCGTATAATGAATAACAGTGAAATATAATGAATAATAGTGAATAGTGGTTAATAACAGTTAATGTTGTTCATAGTGGTTAAAAAAACAGTAATAATGGGAATATGACGAGACTTAACCAACAAACATTGTGCTATAATGGGGATATAATGGGGATACAATGGATAATAAGTGATAATTTGCTAATACCCTCTGGTAAACTAACATAACTATGGAAAATCAGCATTTTTAATGGGAAAATCCACTATAAATAGCCATTTTCAATAGCTATGTAACAAATTACCAGAGGGTAACGGTTGCTATAGTAAACCCAAGTTTGCCAATGCCATAAACCATCCCCAAGTTTGAGGTTTAGGGTAGGCCCCGGGTAGGCAATGGGACGATGCTTAAAATGATCCCCAGTCATGGTTGGTTAGTGGGATTGTTCAGTATTGGGTTAACCAGATGGGAATATGATGGGATATGTCAAGGGGACATTTATATATATATATATAGTTTCTCATCAAAAAATGTTCCCATGAAAGTTGTGCCATTTTGGAGATACTCTCTGGTAATTTTAGTGATATACAGTTTGCTATGCAAAATAAGGCTTAAATAACAACATATTCAAAAGGAAAATCATCGAAATCAATTGGCCATGGCTACCATGGCTATGTAACAAATGACCTACCCTCTGGTAAACTAACGTAGCTATGGAAAATCACCATGTTTAATGGGAAAAATCAACTATAAATGGCAATTTTCAATAGCAATGTAACAAATTACCAGAGGGTAACCAATGTGTAGTGAGTTGAGTGGCTGGGAAAGATGCTTAAAATGTGAAAAAAACGTATACATATCATCCCATCTCCCTAACATTAAGCCCCCCCGAATGGACTCCAAAATGTGTAAATATCTTTGTTTAATATTGATGAGAAGGTAGGTATTCTATATACACATATCCACATTATACACAGATATCCATAGATGTTGGGAATGTCAACCATGTCAACCCGAAACATGTGAATCAGGTCAACCATAATGGGTATACAATCCAACTTTGGGGAATATAATCGTGATATCATGGACTATATAATAGGATATACAGTATATATATATATGTTATGTACTGTGTATGCACTCTACATCTTGGTTTGTCCTTCAAGATGAGGGATAACCCGATATCCCAACTGATTGCCGTTCATTTCGGGGAAAATGATGATCATGTTTGGGACGTCGAATCAGCTGGACACATCATCACATCATGAAATCAAAAAAAAGATGGCTAGTCAGTTCGTGAAAACACCGATTTATAACTGCTGATTCTGGATGGTCATCTCCGCTATGGGAAAATGTGGTTTTCATAATTCATCAATATTCATCATCTGTAAAAATTGTGTTTGATGCACCCCCGTAACGTTTCAAGAGTCACATCGTCACATCTTTTGATGCACGCCTTTCGATGGTCAACATCAAGACGGAGTGAGATCGGCTGCTGGCCTGTTGTCTAACTTGGGGGTGTGGGACCGGCGGGCTCCACGCATCGTAAATGGATGATACCCCGTTCGATTGATGGAATATCCACCTATGATATATATATATATATGGGATCAGATGGGTGATATATGGGTTATAAGCATTTATAAACCACTTACTAAGAAAAACCTGGATTTTTCTTTGCAAAAATCATCGAACTAGCATCATCCCCAATTATTTGGGAGAGAGTTTTTACCCCCATATCTACCCTCTGGTAATGAAGCATGGCTAGCTGGAAAATCCCCAAACTATAATAAATGGAGGTTTGTAGCTGGGAGAATCCTGTAAATGGGTCATGTTCCACAGTTTTTATTATTTTTTATTAAAGTATCGCAGGGTAAACATCTTGTACAACTGGAGTTTGGAGTTGGGAGATAAGGTTTGAAACTAGTTGGAGTTCCCTAAAATCCTTCAAAAAAAGGCGACCCGACCCGTGACCATCGTGACCCACCTGGTTCATCTGGTGACTGGCCACGGTACGGTTTTTCACACCGGCCTTCCGCCACGGGTCCAGGTGGTCTTTGGCGAACCGTTCAGGGTCGGGATCTTGACATAGGGAAATGATGCTTATCATACCCTCTGGTAAACATACAAAAAACTATGGAAAATCACCATTGTTCATGGGAAAATTCACTACTTATCATAGTCTGGTTGGTGGTTGAGCCTACCCCTCTGAAAAATATGAATTCGTTAGTTGGGATTACTGTATTATTCCCAATATATGGAAAAATGAAAAATGTTCCAAACCACCAACCAGTAGTGGTTTAATGGGGTTTAATGTGTATATTCAGCACTCGCGAAAGGGAGCTCAGCATGTAGGGGTTTAGCCAAGACAGATTCTTATGCATTGGCTGTTTTTTTAACTCTACATGTCTCAGAAAGTCTTCAAGAGACACAAAGAGAGAAGAATCGCTGAGAAGAAACAAATTGAACCTCCTGAAACGCCAAACAGCCATTGCTGTGAGGAGAATAGAAAAAATCCAAGAAAAACACTTAGCATTTTCAAATGAAATACCTGCCCGTTGGACTCCAGAGGATTTACTTTGAGCCTCTGCCATTGTACCAAGTCCATGTTGTGTGGATTTGACAATGTTGTAATGATGGTTCATGTGTCAAGTGATGGTGTTTTTTTTGTGAAGTATATCAACTCAAGCTTTGTGTCAAGTGCTGACTTGTTCTAAGCAGGTATCTACCATAATGCATGTTGGATTCCGGAACATTTTTGGCTGGCTTGATCATCTTCGAACAGCTTCCTGGTAGGTGTGGGTGGCTATTGCTGACTGAGCGGTCTTGGACTAGGATTCCCTGCAGGGTGGGTGGCTGAACGGTTTCTGATGTGAATGCTATCTCTATTTTTCATTATTTTTCTCTATGTTTTTTTTGTCTATGTTTTCTCTATGTTGCTCTATGCTTCTCTGCCAACTAAAAACCAATTATAAAATCAACCTTTTTTTTCAATAGTTCTCTATGTGTCTCTATTTTCTCAATGTTTCTCTATTTTGCTCTGATGTCATAGTGATCGGCGTGTGGCTCTTGGGAGCCATCATTTTTGGCTGGCTGACTCTGGCTGGTTAACACTTGACAGCACTTGGTGGTGGACTGACAACACTTGATAACGTTTGACAACATTGGACAACACTTGACAGCACTTGCGCCGGATAGAACTTCATAGGGCCTGAGACCTGAAAACAACACTGGATCACTGTGTTTCTCCATTGTTTGGACCTGAGCCTCTCTGGCGTCAGGAAGTGAAAACATGATTTAAAAACGGTTCATTTCTTTTTTGGGTCTTCTCTATCCTTCTATATTCTTCTCTAGTTGTCTCTAGAAGACTTTTTAAGACATTTTGAGTTGCCAACAACCTATATATATAATTCAATTACAAAACAAAAACTTGAAAAAAAATATCTATCACAAGTAAACCCCTCGAATCCAAGCCCCTTTTTGGTGTTGCTGATATATACCGTAATGGGATAAAATGAAAATACAATGGGAATTATTATGTAGCCTCTGGGGTTTGAAACAACATAGCTGGTTGGGAAATCACCATCGAACATTTCTCGGTAAACATGGCTGGGAACATCATCGAAGTTTTTATGGCTAATTGTCCAGCTAGCTATGTTTGAAGACACCGAAATACGGTAAACAATGATTTCCCACTGGTAATTTTCCACTAATACAAAGCAATGAAAAATGATCATTCCCACGACAGTCGTGAATTGACAAAGGCGGCATATCTATGGGCCTATGGTAGCCTAACTTTCTTCAGAGGTGAGGAGCGGACTATGCCTTGAACCAGAGACTCAGAGTAGCGGACGCAGCCGGTCACTACTCGCGCCTTGTAGTAATTCAACGCCTCTGAGGGTGTCCTGGTGGATGTGTTTTTTTGAGCTGCCAAACTCTAAAACAAGTGTTTTATTGCACAAATCCGATCTAAACTTCCCCAAAATCCGCATAATCTAGGCGTTTTTCTTTAAAAAATGGAAGATATCTGCCAAATGGTAATTTTACTGGGGAAAATGATGATTCACTAGTGGATTTAGGGCTTTCTAAATGTTCAGACAAATCCAGGTGGTTAGATCAATCTGCAAGGCGAAGAAAATGCTTCTGGCTTCATCACCATCGAGTTCGGTCATGATGACCCAATAACCCACAGGGTGCCTTAAAGGAAAAGGTCCCACAGTATGTCCCTACAATTCCAGATTTTCCCAACAACAAATATCTCGTAAAATATCCCCATGGCACCATTTTCCTGGGACAAGTAATATTTTTTTTCAGGACAGGCTGTTCAGCCTGAAATCTCCTGCATTCAAAGACGAACAAATTCTCCACCGACACGGCAGCTTCACCTGGGAGTAACATACCCTCCAGGAATCAAACGGCTATGAGTCAAAACCTAGTACCTATAGTTGGTAATCTAAAATAGTTGCTATAGCTGAATGGTTATTACATGTTATTACCCTATGGTAAGTTCATAGATTCATAGCTTTTGACCCATCTCCAAACCTGGCAATGGTTTAACTCCTCTCTAAATGGAGGTTTTTCTTCGCTGAAATGATCTAGAAATAAGGTGGATTTTCAATTGGCCGTGTCTGATTACCGGAGGATAGCCATTGAACACGAAAACTATTTTACCAGGCAAATTGAATTATCTTCAATGGCCCATTCTTCGTTACGTAACAAATTACTTGAGGGTACCTGTCATGGATGTGATAAAACATTGTAAGACACCAATAAACCATACCCCATTTACATCCATATAAACCCCATTTGGATCCACTTGGGGTCCGCATTTTTTTTAATTCCATGCCCAACTAATTTTGAAACCAGGGGTGATGGCTTTTGTTTTGTACAATTTCACATCCCAATCCCCCCAAAAATAGAAAAGAACATGAAAGAACCAGTTTCTTCACCAGATGCACTTTTGGAAAGATCATCCAAGAATTGGATCAACTGCCCCCTAAATTTCACCTGCAACCCTATTTTTTGGTGGTCTTGCAGTGGTCTGGAAGATCATTTTCCTATAGAGTACATATGGGTTCCATATTACAGTAAATCCAGCGAATCTAGCGAACCCCAGGAGTGGATTGTTCCCATTGTTTCCCGGGCAAATAATCATCAGCAACCTGAATTCTATCATCATTTGGACGGTACAATCCCTATTTTGCTTAAATTCACCATTGCTGGTGAAAAAGACATGTTGCTGCCTCAACGACCTTTTTAGTCGCCATGTTTGCAATTTTAGGGATTGCAATTCTATATCATAAAGTAAGTGTAATTAATTCATCCATTATTAAGTGTGATTATCGCCATGGCTCATTTAATCGTCCGTTCAGGGGATGTATCCTCCGAACATACAAAAAGATGTGGTGTTTACCCAGCAGTGTAGATCATTTTCGGAAAGCCATGGCTTGTTCACATCTTGTTGTATGTTTTGTATGTTTAGCCTACTTGGTGGCTCATCCCACGAATCCTTTATAACTAGGGTGAACTAACCTACTAAGTGGGATGAGCCACCGAATAGAATAAGATACACTGGTGGTTTACTCTATCTTCTTCTAGATAAAATAGATTATCAGTAGAATAAGATCGACTAAGTTCAAATTACAAGTTTCCTCCGCTTGTGGATATCCTTTACCTATAATATCATAATATCATATAATATCCTATCTGGTTGGTGGTATACCTACCCCTCTGAAAAATATATTTTGGTCAGTTGGGGTTACTATTCCCCACCAGCTATAGTTGGAGCAACCCTGGAAACCCCTCTGGTAAACGTTTCCGTAACTATGGAAAATCACCATTTTGTAGCAGGGTACCCTCTGGTAATTTAACATAGCTATGGAAAATCCATTATAAATGGAGGTTTCATTGGGAAAATCATCTGTAAATGGGCCATGTTCCATAGCTATGTTAAATTACCAGAGGGTAAATCCACTATTTCTAAATGGTGATGTTCAACAGCAAACTGTTAGTTTAGCAGAGGGTAAAATCTACCATAAACATCCATAAAGATCCATAAATAAACCATAGTTGACATATCATAATATCATCTGGTTGGTGGTTTTAATCATCTTCAAAAATATGAAAGTCAATGGGAAGGATGACATCCCATATATGAAATGGAAAATTAAAAAAAAATGTTTGAAACCACCAACCAGTCATATAATATTCGTTACCCTCTGGTAATTTAACATAGCTATTGAAAATCACCATTTTTAATGGGAAAATCCACTATTAATGGTCATTTTCAATAGCTATGTTAAATTACCAGAGGGTATTCATAAAAATATCCCAAAAAAAATAGGTTTTTGAGCAACCCAACGGTTGACCTTTTTCGTAGCACTGGTCGATCGTTTTCCAACCACTGGGCATCCCGGGCGGCTGTTCCAGCGCAAACGCAGGCCATGGTTTCCGCCGCTGGAGGCGCCATGGTTGGTGAGGTGCACCGGATTCAGCAGGTCGAAGATTTTCCTGGCAAAAAATGCCACGAAGCCAAGCGAAAAAATGAGGACATCATGGGAATTTCATTAATGGGATTGATATGGACAAAATCTGGGGAAAATCTAGAGAATCCCTAATCAAACCCTATTGATATGGGAACAAAAAATGGCTGGTTGGTGGTTTTTCGCCCTACCCCTCTGAAAAATCATGGAGTTAAAGTCAGTTGGGATGATGACATTCCATTCCCAACTTTTCATGGAAAATCAGTCAAAATTCCATGGTTCCAGTCACCACCAACCAAATATGGGATTGATATGATTGATATGGATTTTGAGGAAACCATCGGAAAAATCTGATGTTCTCCTTTAGGGAACCATTAATCAATGGGATTAGGGATTCTCCATGGGGATTTCTCCATAAAATCTATGCAGTTGATGCTTGGATGATGGTAAACATCAGCAACATAAGCGTTGGGGTCCCACCTCGCAGGGAAACTGACAAGATTGGGTTAAGTGTGGTTCAAACATCAATGGCCATTTCAGGAACCTAAATTGGAGGTACCTACCATATATAAGGCCTATGTAAGGCCTATGTAAGGGAATATCCCAGCAAAATATGGCCTTATATGGTACAGTACCACCATTTTAGGATCCTGGAATTCCCATTGAAAACATGTTAAAACTATGGATAGTTAGGATTAATATAACCAACTTGCAAAATTTTCATTTGGATGAGATATGAATGTGGTCATCGGATGTAGGATTTCTATGGGGATATATGGGGATATAATGGGTGATGGCTATATAGTGGGTAGACAATGAGTCTATAAATGATTTATAAATGTGCTAGTACTTGGGCATTTAACCAACAAAAACTTTGAATCGGCTATATGGAATACATGTGACTATAATGATTATAGTGGGTGATTATAGTGGAAACCAAATGCTTTGTGAAGTTTTTGGAATCTCAAGTGGATTATGTATATATATATATATATAGATTATATAGTTGGCACCAGCTACAGCATTAGGGTAAGTAGGGCTGGTGGGGTTATAACTGGGGTGGGAAATAACTAACTTCCTGTGAAAACCAAAGGCTTCCCTGCAAGTCGATTTCGCTGGAAGTGAAACATAGTGACATCGTGAAACTCTATATGGGTGTGTCTGAAAATAGTGTACCCCTACACCCAATGGTTAATGATCATTATCCCTACTAAATGGCTATAATTGGGAGTATACCCCATTTTCAGACATACCCATATGCCCTCAGGTCACTTTAGCGACCGAAAAAGGGCACGGGACATGAAAGCATTGCATCTTGCATCTTGCATCGCATTGCCCCGTGATCACCTTCATGAAACTCCTCGAAGTTACAGGTGGTCTTGCTCCATTGCTTCATCAGTCGAGATGATGCGGTATTGCCCATGACTCCGATGGTAAAGCCGCCATTTGTCCTTGAGCTCTGCATCCTTTATCTTGTATCCGTGTTCTTCACAGTATTCCAGCTTGATGTTTTCCAACTCGATCTGATTCTCGTTGAGAAAGGAATCCAAAAGAACTCTGAAGGTGACAGGAAAATGCTGGACCACAGCCTTCTCCCATGGCAAAGCTATCCCAGAGATGTGACTCACCAACTCCATCTGGCTGTCTTTGCAATGGAGCTCCTTGAATTGGACGAAGTGCGGGAGAATTGCAGCCCGCAAAGCAGTGTCCACGTCGTCTTTGAACGACTTGTCCTTGTAGTGGTGATATGGGTCGTCATACGCATCCCGAAATTGGAACATCGCTTGCGTCAAGTCGCGCCTTTCCACATGAAAGCGGTAGATGCCATCGTAGATGCAGTCCGCACGCTTGAAAAGCACTCGACGTATGCCACAACCCAAGACCTCGGTGTTCTCGGGCGTTGGAAGGCTCAGAATCAAAGCTTTCCAATTGATTCCGTTCTCTGTCACTGGCAGCTCCTTTAGAGGTGGATCCTGCGCAAGGCATGTCTGGTGATACTTGCTGTAGAGCGCCTCCATAGTGCTTGCCAAAGGCTTTTGCAGCCCTGCCAGCTGCATCTTCATCTCCGTCACGGAGGGCTTGCCAGCCCGGGCTTTCAATGAGCTGGGCATCGTGTCCCGGCTCCTTTATGCCCACTTGGGCCGTTCACAGCTTGAGCCAAACTAACTTACTAAGTGGGATGAGTCTCAAAATTCATGGGGCACGTTGGTTGGGAAAAAATTACGGCTGAAACTCTGGTAAATATAGTAGAAAAAAAAGGTTTCCCTGCGAATTCCCTTCATCATCTTTATCAAATTCAAGGTAAATGGGACCTATCCCATTAAGAACCCCGAAATCCATAGCGATTCAAATGGAACAGATTTGGCTACAATTACCCAACATATAACGTGGGGATACAAATGGATATAATATGGTTTGATAAGTAGTTTTGTGTGGCAAAAAATATCCCATTCCATCCACCACATCCATTCATCTTGTGGAGCAGAATTTGGGTCCAGAATGGAGATCCCGCAAAACGGGGTTTGGATTTTGCATGTTTTCTGATTTGGTGCTAATGAAAAAATCAAAAACATTGCCCATCGGATTCCCCATGTCTCGTGAGCTATCCAATGGGAACGAAAATCATCGACTTGGCATATCCAGGGAAAAAACAACTAAATCTTATAAACCGCAAAGATATGGGTGCCTAACTTTTGCAACACACCAATGTTTTTCGAAAATCTGAGTAGTTTCAGTAGAAAAAAGTAGCCCCCTGGAGGGATACTTAGATCCCAGTGTGGATGGTATTTGTCACAAGAACACGTGTAACAAAGCCCCTTCCTAAACCGAAGCAAAAGGGTGGATCCAAAACCCTCAGATCTAAGGAGCGACTGTGGCTTGGGGATAGTTCTTACTATAGGAATTGTGAGTAGAAATTGGATGTAATCCCACTCAAGTCTGGATAAGAATGGGTCCCACTTCATGGGACACATCTTGTATTAAGCACTTCTGATCAATGGTTAGAACTTGGGGATACTTGGGGCATATATCACAAGAATATCCAAGTAATGGTATTTGGAAGGAAAAAACATACATTAGATCCATCTGTAAACCAAATGGGTTCAAGCGCAGTTGGCAACAAATTTACGACTCTGACGCACTCGACTCGTCCAGTCATAGAACTGGAGCAAATCAGGCCGGGCGCACTCATTGTAGATCTGAAGGAAAGACAAGCGAAGGGTGAAACTTTTGTCACCTTAGTTGTTTTTTGGCATTCCGGTGAGGAATCTGAGTTTCAAGGTGCAGGTTTCAAGACTTTGCATGACAACAACATCCAATATTCCATGGATGTCCACCGTCTTGTGCCGTTCGGAGAGCCTGCATGCAATCGATGGGTTCAACTCAACCGTTCTGATCAAATTTAAAAGGACGTCATGCAGAGTGGAAATGAGAAAAACTGTTCTCCAAGATGAAGTGTTCGGGACGGCTTAGTGTTGTTGCAGTTCCTCAACATCGCTCAAAGTCATTGCGATAGAGGATAGCAACCATAAAATCCTAAAACCCAAAAAACATGATTTTCTGGAAGTCGTGGAATCCTTGATTCATCATCATCTTCGTCGGCATTATCATCGCCACAATTACAGCACAATATGTACATATGCATATGTGAATAACTAATGATTACTATTGTCATCATCAACGCAACTATATATCACTCATCATCACACAAAGTAATTAGTCATAATAACCCGCAATACTAATAACAACAACGAATGACAATACGTGGTTCTAGATACTAATGTAGGACAGTATCTTATAATATAGAAATATCCTTTCATATCACCATCATCGCCAGATACGTTAGCATAACAATCCTTGCATCATCACCATTAACACAATAATATCCTAAATAATGATATATAATGATATTATACATATACAATAATATTTCAATAAGAACCAATAATAATAATGAATATACTTCTGAACTTTCTTTGGCAACAGTTATCAATAACAACCCTGCAACATAATACCCTATAGTTCTATATAGAAAGGATTATTGTTGACTGTTATTACCTATCAATATCTATCCCTAATTTGTCCTTATAGGCTTATAAACTAATATTTAATATATTGATTATTATTGATCACTATTTGTTATTATGGTTATGTAGGGATATAATGATTGATCATTATTGATGACTATTACGATTATGAGTTATTGTTATGATTGAGTTACCTACCCCTATATACCCTCTGACTCTGGTTAATTAACATAGACCCTGCTAAATAGGGGTTGGAAGATTAGTTTCCACTCAAATTTGGTGATTTTCAGGGTCTATGTCTATGTTAATTTGCCAAAGCGTAATAACATCCCTATATTATGAGAACCATAATTAGAAAACCAATGATAGCAATCGTAAATCGTAATTAATAATAATCATCAGAAAATTATCCCGGCAAGAGACCCCAAACAGTGTGGGGGAATGGGAGGATAATGTGCGATAATGTGGGTGATGATGATGATGATGATGATGATGAAGATGAAGATGAAGATGAAGATGATAATGATGATGATGATGGTAAAGATGATGAAGATGATGAAGATGATGAAGATGATGAAGATGATGAAGATGCAGATGATGATGAGGAGGAGGAGCATAATGAGGATGAGGATGACACTGTTGAGGAGGAGGATGAAAAGGATGAAAATGTTGCGGAAGATCAGGTGGAGGATGATGTTGCCGAAGATGTGGTGGAGGTTGGTGATGTCAAGGGGGAGGAAGATGATGATGTTGAGAGTGATGGTGTTGAGAAGGAGGAAAATGACGATGTTGAGGATGATGATGTTGAGGATGATGAGGTGTAGGGTGATGATGTTGAGGATGATGAGGTGGAGCATGATAATGTTGAGGATGATGATGTCAAAGGGGAGGATGAGGATGATGCTGAGAATGATGATGTTGAGGAAGAGGAAGATGATGATGTTGAGGACGATGAGGTGTAGGAAAAGGCCGGAGCCCAGAACCTCGGCGCACACTTTGTGAGCCTGCATGATCGAAATGCACTTGGACATGTCACAAGAGCCACTTTAATATGGACATTTACAGGAAAAGTGCCCGAGCCCAGAACCTAGGCGCACACTTTGTGCGAGCTTGCGCAGTCAAAATGCAAGTCAACATTTCACAAGAGCCACTTTGCACGGAAATTTAGAGGGAAAATGCCGCGGCCCAGGTTCAGCCCAGAACGCGGACACACATTTTGTGCGAGCCTGTGCAGTCAAAATGCATTTCAACATTTCACAAGAGCCACTTTATACGGAAATTTACAGGAAAATGCTCGTGCCCAGAGCGAGGACCCTGATCAAGCACCGGCCTTTACTACTACCGTAAGAACCCCTCAGTGTGGACACTCTATGGATATATATATATATATCAATATATATATATATATATATCAATCCCAGATGCTCCATGTATGGAATATTTACCTTGGTTGATTTTTGGGGTAAATGTAGGGATTCATATTCCAGCACCATGGAGAATATGGGAATAATCAATATCATTCAGTATCCTCACCATTCCTCACAGGATGGGGCCCCCAAGATAGCGTTCAGTTGGTTTATAATCGGTTTAATTGTAATTTAATTGTGGTTTATGGTAGATATAACTACAGTTAATGGGGGTTTATAAACCAACAAACATCACTGGGGGGCCCCATCCTGCACCTTTGTTCCCGCCGGGTCGCTCTGCAGACTTTGCTGCTCCATTCGCTCGAACAGGCCTTCGATACACCGCGGAACGATGCCCAGACGTTCGGGCGCCGTTCGGCTGGGGTTCACCTGGCGGCGACCTTTGAAGGGATGCGGCTGGCCACCAAAAAACGAGATACCGTTGGAAAATGTGGGAAATTCCAGCAAATGATGTGGATCTATGGTATATGATGGTATATGTGGGTTGTGTTCCCCTAAAAAAATCAGACAAAGCCACATAGAACTGGGGATATTCCATGAAACTTTGACGATTTGGGATGAAAGAGTGCGAAAGAAAGGGATCAACTAGGGCAAAATAAGCCATTTACATCCCAAAGTGGCTGTCATGTATCTAGAATGGGTTGGAAATGGTTGGAACACAACTAGTTGGATTTTGTGGATCAAATAACGCAACTGATCCCAATTTCAGGAAGCTTGAAACCCCACACTGAGCAGGTCTCGTCCGGCTGCCCTGCGTGTTCTGTGTTCCCTTGATGCCAATGCAGATGGTTATGTTCCGATCTAGCCGCAGGACGGAATCTACAAATCTGGATATGGGTCAAAATCGGGGAACGGTACAACATGGTAAAACCATGGCCAATGGACATACTAGTCATTGATCAAAATTGGTCTATCTTCGTCTACTTGGTATATCAACCTAACATCACTTAACATCATTTTGGGGTCAATCAGTTGCAGTTTAATCCATGCTGAGTTATCACGACCTCAAATGACGTCATCATAAGATGATGGTTTGTAGAGGTATACCCCAATAATGGCCTTCTTTCAGGCTTGTTCAAGATGGTGAAAGATCATAATTCATCCAGATAATATAACATATATATATATACATATATACATGTATATACGACCTATATATATATGTATATATACGACCTATATATATATATATATGGCCGAGTTCGAATCATTCACTAACAATAACGGTTATCATACGGCCATTTGGGAGTACCATCCCCCGCTAGCCAAATATCATCCATGGCCTGTGGCACCTTCCCTTGTGCTGCGGCTTGGTAGACAAACCTTGCGAAAATTGCCAATGGAGTACCATGTTTTTTGGAAAGCAACAACAGTGCTATAACATACATAATATATAGAATTGTCTATGATTATATATAGAAAAATATGTATAATTATATACAGAATTGTTCATAATTAAATATATAATAATTATAGAATTATTTACAGTCATATATATATATATAGACAATCTATACTCATAATCATACCCATTAATGTATTGGTGGCTAAACTATAAGAATTCACCAACCTGAAATTAGCTGACATGTTGGGCCATTTGGGGATGATTCCCATATATAAATATATATAAACCATCAGTCCATTGACGTCACAGTGAGGTCATTATATTAATATAATATATATATACATAATTCATCCAAGCTATACACAATAATCCATGTACATATATATATATATATAGTAAAATCATACCCTGGGATTTGGGCTACTGAACAGTTTTTTTGAGTCAACCGTAGCATATCCGCGTGATGACTTTCCAGGGAACTTACAGCAGAGTGGGAAGCCCAACTGTTTATGAATGTCTATGATGTGTTGATATGCTCATACATCTGGATAAATTAAAATAAATCACAAGCTTGAAACAATGCTATTTCGGAATAGTTACCCCTACTAAAAGCATCTATCCAGTGACGTTGCAGTGAGGACGTTACAATCTATCCAGATACATGTCTCACTTGAATTTCAAAACACATGTATATGTATGTACCAACAACGTGTATTCACCAAAGTTTCAGTCTATCTTGATTACCCCACGGTACATCGGGCAAAAGGATCCAACTCCCAAAAAAAGTATGGTTTCAAAAATTTGCTCTTCGGTAATCAGCTCCGTGGCTTGCTGGAAATGCTCCCTTTGAATCGATGATTTTCTAGCGAACTAAACCTCCACTTACTTGGGAGATGTTCTAGCCCTATGATAGTGCCATTCCCATCATATAACATGAAAAAAACACATTGAATCCCATTGAACCACTATGATACCCATCAATTCCTATGTATTCCTATGTCAAGATCCAAACATGTACTGCAATGATTGCAGGTATTCTACATATTCTACATAATATATATATACAGTATATATAATAATATTTATTATTATTATTATAGTTATATATATATCTCATCATATCTATTGTTGCGTGCGGTCCCCATTGCAAAGAGGTGCCCTGTTCATCCAGTCAGAGTCGATCCCCAAGCCCCAAAGCTCACCCCTCCATGGTGTGGGTCTTTCCACTTCCAGTCTGCCCTGCCGAGCTGGGTCGCTGGGTCGCTGGGAAGGTCCTGGAAAAAAATCTGTTAAAGTTAAACAGGTAAAACTTCCATGTATTTTTTCCCTTGAAAAGTGCCATCTTGCAGGTTTTGTCCGGCAATTTATATAGCTATGGGAAATAACTATATTGTTCATATATCATCGAACTACATGGGCAATTTTCCATAGCTATGTCAGTTTACTGGAGAGGTTATAAATGGGTACATGACCATAATTGCCGGATATTGCCACAATGATCTGCGAATTTCTAGTCTCAACTGCACCCGAGAGGGTACCATTAAGTACCACATTTTAGGCCCCAGATTGCTGGGGAAAAAAATTGGGTTTTCACCCACCGAAGTCCGGATGCAATGAGTTGCCATGTCAACCCCGACAGCCGGCCATAGGCAAAGACGGTGGCGTGGTAGCCATCCAACACGGCATCCAAGAAATTGGCTAAGCCCGCATCTTCAAAGACCTGAAGAATGATGTCATGGGATGATCACTGGACCACTGGTGGTTGAGCTCGCCCTTTTTCGTCCTACCCCTCTGAAAAATCATGGAGTGAAAGTCAATTGGGATGATTATTCCATTCCCAACTGAATGGAAAGTCATAAAATTCATGTTCCAAACATTTCCAAACCACCAACCAGCATACCTAACCAAGTCCAAATTGACCATGCTTCTCGTGATTGACATCCAGTAAGATCCTTTTTAAGTCTGAGAACATATTTCACAAAATTAAGAAAACGTGTGAAGCACCTCTTAAATTGCAAAGTTGAATGTTGAACAAACACCAGATGAGTATGCTCAATGAACAAGAGCAACACTGGTTGGGCTTCGCCCACATACGACATAGTAGAAAAACAAAAAACATGCATCGCTGGGGAACCAAGCGACCATCAAGAACAGTTAGTGATGTTTGATGGCTTTAACAAGTTTTTTAGATCACAAAATGACTGACTGCCATGGCAGCCATGGCGGGTAAAGATATCCAATTCGCCATGAAATTGTCGGCAAATTTAGAGGTTTCGTTGGCCATTTTACAGTAAGGCAGGCTTTGTCTTAAGCCGTCTCATCATCTATTATGCTTATAATGCTTATATATATAATATTATATATTATATATTAATATTATTATTATTATCGTTATTATTATTACTATTATCATTATTATTATTACATATAACATATTACATATTATATTGTATATATATATATTGTACATGTCATTCATCAAGACGGCCATTTTCGGGGCAGAATTCACCCATGATTGGGACATGGGATTTCTGGGCGCATCTTGCGCCTCTTGCTGTGAAGTCGGAGGAGGAAAGACTCGGTCCTGGAAACATCACAACTTCGGCATCTTTTTGGGGGTTACCCTCTGGTTATGACTAACAGTTTGCTATTGAAAATGGCCATTTATCGTGAGTTTTCCCATTAAAAATGGTGATTTTCCATAGTTATGGTAGTTTACCAGAGGGTATATACTATGAGATAGTTATGGAAGGCATGGCCAACTTGTTGTTTGATGATTTACCGTTGATGTTTTTTTTCCATAGCACGTTGATGTTTTTGTTGAGGGAACAGGAAGGGGGTTGCTAGATAAGTTGCTAGCTATGTGGGTCCATGTTCAAATCCAACGCTAGGATTTAAGTCATCCTATTCATGTTCAGTATTCCTAAAGGTTTCAGAATCCAACGGGAATTGCAGGAAATCGTTTAGCCGTGGCCTTAAAAACTATCACAGGGCTGTCCGGGAGTGTCTCAATTGTCGTGTCATTGTTTTCACCGATTCCGGGAATAAAGCCAAAATCATCCAACTGTCACTACGACAGTAGACTGGTTGGTGGTTTCAACCCCTCTGAATAATATTAGTCAGTTGAGATGATTATTCCCAATATCTGCAAAAAAAAAAAAAGTTCCAAACCACCAACCAGTTCTATTCAAACACCCTGTTCTTCAAAACGGATCTGATTGAAAAGCTCTTTGAACCGGCTTTGGTCACATGGGCTCTGGTTTCTGTCCCTGCATGGGGACGGTGAGGCCCCCAAACGAGGCCGCTAAGCTGACTTACAACTTGGTTAACGTTTGGGTAAGTGCCGGGGATATATGGAGGTTTCCGAAAATAGGGGTACCCCTAAGGCCCTAAATCATCCATTTGATTTTCGGATTTTCCATTATAAACCATCCAGCTATTGGGGACCCACATGGTAGGAAACCTCCATTGATGGGGATATACCCTCTGGTAAACTAACATAACTACGGACAATCACCATTTTTAATGGGAAACTCCGCTATAAATGGCCATTTTCTATAGCTATGTTAGTTTACCAGAGGGTAACCTTTAAACCAACAAACATGTCACTGGGGGGGTGGCCTCACCGCACACAACTCCGCACACTGAGACCGGCGCGAATTCAAAGGTCTTCCCAGCATCACTTCGTCCTTGATGACAAAGGGACGTCCAAACATTGGAGGGTTCGCCCCCAATTGGCTTTGGCTGAAATTAGTGGATACAAATAACATCAAATAACATTAAATAACAATTGGGGGTAGCCTATCAAATAGCCTATTTGATGTTATTTAAATAACAATTTGTTGAGTTTTAATCCATTGGAATTGGGGGTAGCCTATTTTAAGACACCCAATTTCGTCAAGATTTCCTCTGAAAATTGATACAATATCCCCCTATGACAATAAACTGGGTTTACGAAATTCCTGGGATTGTCTGAGTGAACATTATCCCCCCTAGCTTCGTCTCAAGATCTGTTGCTATCTGGATCACGACATCTTTCATTCTTCTGATCTGGGATATAGCGATGCTTGAATGGGTCTGACTTGATCTCACTATTTCCAAATGCTTTACGCAGAAGTGCCACACTGAGTTTCACTTCAGAATGCCGTGCATGAAGCGGTACAATACCAAAATCTTAAAGCTGAAAGGCGGTAATCCTGGCTTGCCCAAAAACAGGCTACCCCTAAATCATCTGGAATCAGAGGATTCAATCATTATTTTCCCATATGTTTCCTTCTAAAACACGGCCATGTTCGTGGTTTCACACCCCTTTTTTCAAAATACCCCAGGCACCTCCAATGGTATGCACTTTCTTTGGTGCATCCTCCTGGCACAGCTTCACTAGAAGAAACTCACGGCTACACCCCCGAAATTTCACGTGGAATCTCCCAACATTGGGGGATCCAATGATCTTCCTGGATAAAACCCTGGCTTTATACGGTTTCCATGCGAAATTTCGGGAGTGTACGACATCGGAAAACGTGTGGCTGTAAACTCTACCACTAAACCAGCGACTTCTCATGGACGAACTCCAAAAATTCGGGGTGTAAATACCCATACGTGGGTATAGTACTACAATGTGGGTATAGTGATAGTACCCATACAATATATAAAGCACCCCGTAAAAAGATGCGAAAAAGTATGCAACCAGGATGGTAGTTCGATGATTTTCCCTATAATTTCGTATATACATATATGTATATATGTATATATGTATGTATATGTATATATGTATATATGTATGTATGTATGTATGTATGTATGTATTTATGTATGTATGTATGTATGTATGTATGTATGTATGTATGTATGTATGTATGTATGTATGTATGTATGTATGTATGTATGTATGTATGTATGTATGTATGTATGTATGTATGTATGTATGTATGTAGTATGTATGTATGTATGTATGTATGTATGTATGTATGTATGTATGTATGTATGTATGTATGTATGTATGTATGTATGTATGTATGTATGTATGTATGTATGTATGTATGTATGTATGTATGTATGTATGTATGTATGTATGTATGTATTATGTATGTATGTATGTATGTATGTATGTATGTATGTATGTATGTATGTATGTATGTATGTATGTATGTATGTATGTATGTATGTGATGTATGTATGTGATGTATGTATGTGATGTATGTATGTGATGTATGTATGTGATGTATGTATGTGATGTATGTATGTATGTATGTATGTATGTATGTATGTATGTATGTATGTATGTATGTATGTATGTATGTATGTATGTATGTATGTATGTATGTATGTATGTATGTATGTATGTATGTATGTATGTATGTATGTATGTATGATGTATGTATGTATGTATGTATGTATGTATGTATGTATGTATGTATGTATGTATGTATGTATGTATGTATGTATGTATGTATGTATGTATGTATGTATGTATGTATGTATGTATGTATGTATGTATGTATGTATGTATATGTGTGTGTGTGTAGGTAGGTAGGTAGGTAGGTAGGTAGGTAGGTAGGTATGTATGTATGTGCATGCATGCATGCATGTATGTATGGATGTATGTATGTGTATGTATGTGTATGCATGCATGTATGTATGTATGTATGTAAATATGTACATATATATATACATATATGTGGATGTATATGGTCTATGGTGGTCCATCCCATATTGGGAATCCAAACACAATGAAAATATACGGATTGATGACATTCCCATCCCCCAGTCAGGTTTGTCATAGTGTATCATCCAACTTTCGAAAAAATACTTGGTGATATCTGACCATGCCACGGGGTCCCACCTCGTCCCAGGTGATTCGCCCACATGGACCACTCTCCTAGAGTTTTTCACGAACGAGCCAAGATCTGACACCCTGAACAGCATCGAAAGCAATGATATACCTAAATTACCTTATATATATTAGTGTATATCATATATATAAGGGATTATTATGAATTATTTATATACATTGTGTGTATGTATATATATATTAACTGTGGCGGCAATGATATACCGTAGAGTCGCCGTAGAGTATAAGGTCTTGATCCATCAGAGAGCATCACATAACATTCCAATCGAGAATGGACCAAAACTGGATTTGCGGAAGTTCAGAAAGGCAGCTCCATCTGCCATAAAGAATATATATGTATGATTATATATATATAATCATATTATATATATATATATATTCTTTATATATATATACACATATGAAGAGAAGTTCTGATGGCGCCATCTCCAATAAACTCCAACCATCAACTCCCCCACCTCTGGTAGCAAAGGCCTGCAGGTCGCACCCACGAGTTATAGATCGGTGATTTCACTTTTTGTTCGCCCATTTTGGGGCCAAGAAGAGATTAATCTGCAGTTGACAAGCACCCGGATATTGTCCAGTCATGGAGTCCAGTCGTCTCAAATATTCTCAAATATTTAAGGCCCACAGGGCTGGCCTGAAGCGTGCACACACTCGTACCCGGGCGGCGCCGAGCGCCGCTTCATCTGCAACGTCGTCACCTGTGAAATCTGTTTGTTGCACCGGCCTGGTGGATTTAGACATATCTTATCTTCAGGGAAAAAAGTGCCTTAAATGGGTGATATCGCCAGTTTTGGCCATTGTAATAGGGAACATGATGATCTTAACCACTAGATTTACTATATTTTACTATGATTTCAGGGTACCCTGTGTTCAGACAAATCGATTTAATATCGGGAGGCTTTTGTTTTGAATCTGCATGATTTGTTTCCGCCGTGAAATGGATTGCTATCGGTTGCTTGAGGTGGCTTTCTACATCATCCCAATGAATGTGAGACATCCAACAGCACCACAGAAAAATCTGAGTTGGTCCAAAGGTTGGCTGAAAATCCATCATTTGCCGCACGAGCTGATGGCATCACAACTATCCGAAAAAGTGAATGACATTGAATAACAATCTTCTTCAGAATATTCCAGTAAGGTTTCAGATCCCTCGAATTCAACTCAGAATCTTTGCCAACCCGAAAAAGTCACACCCAATACTATCAATACCCAGTGATGATCTGATTGGTGTCCCTTTTTCAGGCGCCGAAAAGGAAACTCAGTATGATCAGTATGAGGTTTGGGTGGTATCTAAAACCTCCAACAAAACATGTTTATTGTTGGACTTACATGGATTTACCAGAATCTACCAGGGAAACTTCTAGCGACCTCTAATGCACTTTCCTCGCGACAATTGCTCTCGCCAAGCTTCAAACTCCAACCACCGGAACAGCCAACGGACAGCCAAAATTGGTGCCAACATGATATCATGGTGCCAACAGTAAACGAAAGTGACACAAACCCGTATCCCGGTCAACACTGGGGAACCCAACAAAAACCAGACTTGAGTTGCCCCGCTGTAACACCTCGTCCCCCTCACCAAAACTTCCGCTCAATTTTGCGTGAAAAGGTGTGGTTGTATAGTTGCTGGCCTGAAGTGATCAACCCAGGTCTCTGTTCACACGAAGAGGTGGTTCGCTAAACAGGTGATCGAGATTGATCAAGCATGGCAATTGAACATCCCCTAAAAATATCTAAACATGATAGTTTTAATTTAATGGCAACATCAACAAATGGTGAATCTTCCAGAGGGTACTCTAGATATCTCCAAAGGATGGGCACCTGCGTCCATGTTTTTCCCATGGCCATGGGCTGTTTCCAGGGATTTCCAGGGGCTGCTGTTTCGATTGCAACAGTTTCGGTGAAAAATTCGCCACAGAATTTGATGCTTGCAGCAACCAGAATTGTCCCTCGATATGAAAAAAAAACGTGCATCAACCCTCCAGTCTCAATGAGACCCCATTTGGGAAGACAAAAAACCTGACTGTCACTTCTGATGGGGCTCAACATACAGTAAGTCTAGTAGCACAAAACTCAATCCCTCGACAGACTTTCGCAGGGTTCAACTGATTCTAAGTGATCAACTCCATGTAACATGCTCTGCCTAGAGGAATAGCGTTCTGTCCACACTTTGGTGTTTGAACCAAAATGGAGAACGTTTTGTTCGAGTCCAGAAGGCGGGTGGAAAGTCTACTCCTACTCCTACTCTTTCCTTCTTCCCAAAGTACTAAACCCGTAGTGCCGGTAAAAAACTGTCTACAGTACGGGTAGTCACAGGACGTACACGGTGCTGGTCACTGATCGACCGGTACTCATTTCTATGTCGCCCGCGGGCTTGCCGCAATGAACAATATCTTCCCAGAAAATCCCAATGACTGATTGGATTGCTATCTTTACTGTTGTTGGTAAAATTAACTGGTTGGTGGTATACCTACCCCTCTGACAAATATGAGTTCGTCAGTTGGGAGTATGAAATTCCCAATATGTGGAAAAATAAAATTCATGTTCCAAACCACCAACCAGTTAATCATTTGACTTTCAGGGTATAGTTGTATATATACAGGGAAGGTGGAGCAAGGGCGCTGGCGACAAGGGTCTACGAACACCCGATGGACCCATGCATGACGAGCTGAAAAAACACGTGAATTTCAGGGCTCTTTTCTTCACAATAAAGTGGTCTCCACACCACTTTAGTGCAACTCAGAAAAAATCGATTGAAAAGCCGGATGGGGAATCCTCACATTAATTAATCAGAGATTTGCCATCATAATTCCTACTTCTTTATGACGCTATGACCATCCCCCCCATTTTTCCATGGGAAAAAAACAACAACTTTTCACCATGGATGGGATTTCTCAGAAAGCAGCTCAAAAAGCATCATTCGCAGAGATTCCTCAGCCCAGATACAGCGGAAAAACTCTGTAGAGTACAACCAAATTCACCACTCATTATGCTATCCATTATTCATATCTATTCATACTATAGATTTTCCCATTAAAAGCCCGGTTGTAGGGGATGTTTTTTGTGCCACGTTTGACCGGAGGGTAGGGTTTTTTGATCTGAAATTGCTGGCACCCTTAATCAGCTCAATTTGATGGTCCGCCAAGCAAAATTCGATGCGAATTGAAAGCTAATGATTTAACCTGTTTGCTGGTTGAATGGTTAACCACCTGATATATGGGAAAATGATGGGTTTAACAATGGTTAATGATGGTTAATAGTGGATTATCTGGTGGATTATATTATATATATATGGTTGGTGGTGCAATTTCCGTCTTGAAAAATATGAGTTCGTCAATGGGAAGGATGACATCCCTTATATATATATATATATGGAAAATGAAATTCATGTTCCAAACCACCAGGTTTGGTAACAGTTTGATATTGAAATCACAATGTTTCATAGGTACATCATCTATAAATCATCTATAAATGACCACTGTAACATGGCTTCCGTGGCTCATGTTCCTCTTTTCCAGCCATTGAAGGCGAGCACCAGTTTCAGAGTTTCAGATACATCCAAAAAAAACATCTTATTGATTTAAATCCATAATGCCCATTCATAGTCCATGAAAACAAAAAAACATTAATAATATAAAGTCAATAAATTCATATTAATCTTCCAAATGCCGAATGCCCGTTAATGCCCATTAATGTTCCATTTAAAAAAAAAGATAACAAAACATCCATATATCCGAGTCATGTCCCAAAATTCATCGCATCCCCGCAAAATCGTGAAAACACATAATTAGTTACATTGTATGGTCCCAAGCCCCAAATATATGGTTCAAAAAAAATGTTCCATCTCCTACTGTCCCATGGTATCATGGTGGGGATGCACTGTTCGGCTGTCCTTTTTGGATCTCAGAGCTGTCTCGAATCCTTTGGCTCCAGAAATAGGAAGGCCGAAGCAGCCGCATGGCCCATGCTGGACCTGGGGTGACTGATCCGCCTGGATTCTTCCCATATCCTGCCTGATGTGCTGCACCAGTTACAGCTTGGTTTGTTTAAAAAAAAACTCATGAACTATAGAATGCTATAGATATATATACAATAAGTCATGCCATAAGTGTCCATAAGTTCTAGTTATTGGAGTTATGTTCACCAACTTAGCTAACAAACGGGGGGCACGACCTTGCACGTTCAGGTCCCCGTCCCATGTGGGGAACTCCCGTCCCGTTTTCCCATGGACCCCTGCTGCGTGGCTGCCAACGCAGTGGTGGCGTGAGGCTGCAACTTTTGGCAGGTGAAATGACCTCGGCGCAGGATGAATCGCAGGATAAATCAGAGGGTAAGCATCAAGATTCTGGGATTTATAGGGAGCTTAGTATGTAGGCTTAGTATGAATGGAAGGTCACCAACAAATCATGAGAAATCTGGTTTCATTTCACCAAGAAATTAATGGGATTTGAGATGATTTCATGGATCGCTACAACTCTACAACTACCCTCTGGTAATTTAACATAGCTATTGAACATTGCCATAGAAATAGTGGATTTACCCATTGAAAATGGTGATTTTCCATAGTTATGTTAGTTTAGATGTTTCATTATATTGTTTGTCACTTTACGGTGTTCCCAAATTGATTCACCAGGCTCTTACGAATTTTCGCCACTGGTTTGACCTTGGAGATCAGGCACCGCAACGGACTGCCAATTTTTTGAGACAGCATGGACAACCAATTTTTTGAGTCCCACTTTTAGGGGATGTTTGACCAATCTTGAGATGATTTTGGTTAGTTTATGTTTGATCGATGGAATTGATAGCTGTTAGAAGAATCTCTGAGGCCATCCACACCATCTATCATCCACATGTTCGGAAGTCTAACTGGGCGAAGTGTTGGAAAAATGCCCGCATGTTTGATGCTGAAACTCACCCAGATCTTGTTGGGGTACTTGGGGATTCAGCCCTGTGGGTTAGTTCACCCCAATTACAACTGGTGGTTTTTCGCCCTACCCCTCTGAAAAATGATGGAGTTAAAGTCAGTTGGGATCATGACATTCCCAACCTATGGAAAGTCATATTTTTTTCTGTTCCAAACCACCAACCAGACAAGTTGGGTAAGTTTTCGGCTTCATGAAATCTTTGTGACTACCCACAAACACGAGGCACCACTGGGACCACAAACATGAATTAAGTTATTCATCCATCAATCCCATAGGATCCATGGTGCTGCTATATATGGTGTGCCATGGATCCCATCAATATACCCCAGTCATGTTAGCATATATACCAGCACCATGGATCCTATGGGAATGTTTATTCAAGATCTTTTTTCGGCGTTCCAGGGCGCCTTACCCCACGGCACGTTTCCATTCGCTTCGACATCCGAGTTCACCGGCTATGTTGAAGGCCAAGCAGATCAAGAGCGCGTTCCAAGCGCTTGGTGTACCACTCTGCAAGTCCTCGTTCCTGGCGGACAGGCTGGGTGGAGTAGCGTGGATTTTTTTGGGGTGTAATATTAGCAGAATGTGTAGAATGTGTAGAATATCTATGTAATCAAAGGAAGTTGGGAAGCAATACTTCCGAGTTACGAATGACTTTTACTTGATGAAATTGACTATGAAGGGTGGTACGTGATCTAACAATACATAATCTAACAATACATAACAAAAGAATAAGAAGCTATGAAATTGACTATGAAGGGTGGTAGATCATGTGACAATACATAATCCAACAATACATAACAAAAGAATAAGAAGCTATGAAATTGACTCTGATGAAGGGTGGTACATCATGTAACAATACATAATCTAACAATACATAGCAAAAGAATAAGAAGCGATGAAATTGACTATGATGAAGGGTGGTAGATCACATAACAATACATAATCTAACAATACATAACAAAAGAATAAGAAGCTATGAAATTGACCTTGATGAAGGGTGGTAGATCACATAACAAAACATAATCCAACAATACATAACAAAAGAATAAGAAGCTATGAAATTGACCTTGATGAAGGGTGGTAGATCACATAACAATACATAACAAAAGAAGAAGAAGAAGCTGTGACACAGGGTGGGTGAAGAAGGGAAGCGATGATGAAGGGGAGTGGTGCGGAAGGGAAGTGGCGAAGAAGGGAAGTGATGATGACGGGGAGTGGTGACGAAGGGAAGTGGTGAGGAAGGGAAGTGGTGAAGAAGGGAAGTGGTGAGGATGGGAAGTGGTTAAGAAGGGAAGCGGTGACGAAGGGAAGTGGTGAAGAAGGGAAGTGGTGAAGAAGGGAAGTGATGATGAAGGGGAGTGGTGACGAAGGAAAAAGGGAAGTGATGATGAAGGGGAGTGGTGAGGAAGGGAAGTGGTGAGGAAGGGAAGCGGTGACGATGGGAAGTGGTGACGAAGGGAAGTGGTGAAGAACAGAAGTGATGATGAAGGGGAGTGGTGACGAAGGGAAGTGGTGAGGAGGGGAAGCGGTGACG